CCATACTGGAAAACTATTATGAAGATAAAATGCAAAAACATTTTAGATTATTTCCTTCTGATACATCCTGAACCGAAAACCTAAAGTAACGTATTCGGAAAATGAAGTAAAATGCAACTTTGCTACATACTTTGAACTGACTAGAGCCGATATAGATAACGAGAAAGTTTGTAGCAGATTACCATCGATAATTACGGAAGAGATACATATTGAAATCTAACTTTCTAATGAATTCTTCGTTTAGATAAAGAAAACTATGCAAACTACTTAGTAGTGCTGCATGGTATAATTTCTAAAGTAGCCCTAGTCGAACTTTTTTTGACATGCGCATGAAAAAACATGAACATATTGAGCTCAAGTCTTGGCAAGCGCTTGAATAAAAGATGTTCGACTAGGGAGCTGAAATTACCCCGAGTACGATCAAACCAATTATGAGCTTATTTTGATCGCCGACAATTAAAAAGTTATTTTCATGAATAGAAAAACTGGCAAATGCATGATTTTGATATTTTCTTCTTTTATGTGCAGAACAATTGAAACGTTTATGTTATTTAGTCAATAAAATCACGGATGTACGAGTCAAATAAAATGTTTCGCTACCAAAACAGATAATTTTCAATAAATGATAGGAGCTGAGAAATTCAGACGCATACTATGTCGTTACATTTAAGATTTTATTAGATTCTCTTTCTATTCTTAAAATACAGTTTTTTGCATGTAAGTCTACGAGCTGCGTTCAATCTTTTCGACTGAAAAAAAAGAAATAATATTTTTCGCACTGACAATAGTTTCAAATGGTAACAATAAAATCTCTGTCAAACTGTTTTCATGAGATGAAGTTTTCCGGAGTTCGATCTATTTGAAGATTTTACCCTCGTAACAATGCATGACTTAGAGTCTAGTTCGAAACTTTTTTTTTGCTCTATTCTCCCGATCTGCGTCTAGATATTATAAAACAAAGAGCTATTAACAATCGATTCTGACATTGATTCCTTCGAACTCTTCAGCAGTCGATTTTCATTTACTTGACAGATAAGATTTATCTTGGTAATTTTAATTGTACAACCATTCACAGGAAGAAAATGTTCGTATTATCATTGTGTCTTTATTTATCAAAACCATACTAAATGAATAGGCAACAACAGAAAACAAACAATTATGAAGGTAGACGTCGATCATAAATGTGATCGAACAATGGATTGTGTATTGAGTCGAAGATAAAACGATCTATTTTGCTAATGTATCCATTTTGAAAATCACGTGCATACATTGATTTTCGATAAGCAATTTTTTGAAATCCAATCCAACCATTCTAATAATATAATCAAGGATAATAAAAATGAAAACTATCAGAAAATTCAATATCTCTTTATTACCTTACATCGAATGCATACGCATTCAAGGGTTCTATTATAAATTGCTGTTCCCGGTTGGGATGATATCACATTAAGATTATCAATAATATTTTGATCATGAATTAGTGTTAATAATTTCAAGCGTACAGGCTTTTGACGAAAGCTAGTTCGAAGATTAGCCTGAAACATAGCGAATTTTTCAGAAATATTCGTTTTTAAATAATTCGTATACTATACAATATCATTGAGAGCTCGATATAATCGCTCGATATCTTCTACGGTCTGATTAAACCAATCGATATAGAATGCATGTTTATTTAATTTATGAGCTAAAAACAAAACAGCAGAGGTAGAAATATTCAAGAGAAAAATTTAGTGTTATCAATCAGATGAACTGTCTTTTGAGCCTTTTCTTTCGAAAAAAAATATGATATACAATTGAAAGTTGTATGGTATTTGAATGTGCTAGTTCTGAGAGACCGATTTTTGACGGAAAGGAATACCTTAAATTATAACTTTCTTTATTATTACCATAAGCAACGTCTAATGATGATTGTTCTTGAGAATTCTGTCGTGCTTTGATGGGATCTTCAAGAACAGTATTCAGCTGTAATTAGAAGCAATGATATTATTGATAAATAATAATAGTTTCATATCTACCAATGAACAACCAACATTTGCTGTCGTTTCAAGTAGTTCAAGCATTTTAATATTGTTTGATAATGGAAATGATTGTTGCATTAATATAGGTCCAATATCGAAACTGTTGATTAAAAAAACAATATAAGAAAAATAATATCTTATACACTTACTCACTGTTTGGGTCGAATATCCATAATAGACACGCCACTGATTTGATCTCCACTAGCAATCGTATAGATCAATGGAGAACTGCCACGCCATCGAGGTAATAAACTTGGATGAACATTAATTATTCCTCTAATAAATAAGAAAATGCATCGACGAACTTGTCGAAAAAACGGAAGAACGGATTCGCTTACAAAGGAAAACATTCAATTAATTTTTTGGGCAATAGTTGACCAAATGATGCAAGAATACCGATATCAAATTGAACAGATGATTTTGATAATAATGCATCTGTATTTGGCCAAATATGAGTTGTTAATTTCAATTTTTCAGCACCATGCATGACAGTATTTGAAGTTGAAATAGTTGTTACTACTTCTAAATGTTTGATTGGTGATTTACCATTGGCAAATAGTTTATAGAGATGTTCCAATATATGCATAGAAAAAATGTCTGAGCCAAAAAAAGCAACATTTAATGGTTTAACGATTGAAGTTGAATGAGAGCATTTGGGAAAACGAAGGTGTCGACTAGTAGTCCATCGAACATAGAAAATAAACATTGAAAATTAGAACGAATCTAAAATAAAAGATCATTTACAGTCAGTCATCGATAGTGTTGAAATGAAGAAAAATCAATCTTGTTTTGTATAGAACAATTTTTACTTAATTAAAAATTAGACTCATCATACTCTTCCTATCTTAATTATGGCTGCACATTCACAGCAATCAAAGTATCCTTTCTTTTACAGTACGTCATTTTTGTCCGAAAGTCTTCGAATTTTTCAGTGATTACTGAGTTGGCGATCAGTGAACTGTTTCATCGCTATAACTAAAACGTGATAAAAACTTATTAAAAAAATAATTGACTAGCTTTTCCAAACCATTACAATTTTATAACCGAAGCAGATTCCAGTCGATCCTGAAAATCGCACAGTTTCGTATTTCTGTAATATTGATAAATTTTGAAGTATTCAATATCTCGCGAGGAACAAAGTCCTTTTGCCTATGTGATACAGTGGGGAAAAAGCATTTTAATGTTATCACAAGAAATATATTTTGCTCGTATCAGTTATAATTCCTTATTTAAATAATAAACATAAAGCAATAGACATCAAAAGTATTGTTTTAGTTTGAATTGAAATAGTACATGCATTACAAAAAGTAATTTGCTTTGTATTGGTCAATTGAACAGTATTCAAATCAACTCTTGGATTAACCTAAAATTGATCGAAAAACATGCTTGAATTCTTTCACATGCAAAATATAAAACTACTTACAAAAAGAGATAGAGAAAGAAGCACATGAGATAAAATATTAAACGAATAAGAAAATCCTATAAAAATTGTTGAAAAACATATGAAATCAATATTCAATAAATATAAATTGTTTACTCTCATATTTGCTTTGATACTTCTTCGATTATTCAATTCTAATGGATCGTAGACGCCTAATTGACCTGGTTGTCGTTTAAAATATCTTTAAATTATAAACCCAATATGAAAGAAAACATAAAGCAACGGACAAACACATTTACTTGTAAACAAACCAAAAATCTAATAAAATATTGAATATGAAAAGAAACCAATTATTATTAATTATGAATAAGACAGTTAATATCACGTGTAAGGCAACTTCCGGTAGGAATGTCTAAAACCGATATTTTTGAGTTAGAAAAAAATAATGCGTGTGAACAGTTTCTTACTTGATTCAGTTTGCTACAGGCTTGTCGAACATTTATGATATCAATTTCAAGATCAGATAATGTAATAATCTGCATAGAACATATTGAAGAATATTATAATCATAGTTTCAATAAATGCCACTTACATTATATACGCTAATAAATAATAGAAGTATATTATCGACCATAGCAAAACCAAAAAGTAAAGCGGCCATAGACATTTTATTAATCTAAACACACGTGAAAATCCGCGTGTGCGCATGTATATTTTATTCTAAGTTAAATGTTTGCAAAAGAAAGAATCTGTTTTATTTTATTGCTTTTGAATTTATCTGAACTTACATACATGTATATCTACTATTTAAAGAGAAGAAAAAAAGAAAAGTAACACATCTGATTCATAACGATCGAATTCAAACATAGACATTTTCATTAGTAGAATAACAAACAAACATAAGAGGAAAAAAAGCAAAACAAAGTGAAGTAATCTTCTTGTTTTTTATAGATATATCTCAATTATCGGTTTTTTGAAGGAAACAACCGGATTTATAATACAAAAACAAATGTTCGAACAATTTGTAGGTTTAACGTCCACTACCACTTGTAAGAACCAAATCATCATCATCGACTTCTACTCGTGCTCGTTTATTGCGTCGATGTGTTGTTGTTGGTGTTACTGCTGCTGCTGCTACTGATGATTCATCGTTAATCTTTGATGTTACACTAGCATTGATGCTTGACACTGATCCTAATCGACTTCCAATGTTCAATCTAACAAATAAATCGAACAGAAAAATAAATCCTGACTTTCTCCTTTACACTACCGTTCTTCTTCGGAATCAAGTAATTTTCTATAGGTCGAAATTTCTCGATCAAGTCCAATCTTTGTATCAAGTAAATTTTGATAATCAATTTGCATTTGTTCAATAAGTGCTTTAAGATTTTGTAGTTCATCATCGCGTTCAATTAAAGTGTCATGTTGTTGCTGTTGCATTTGATACGTACGATCTTCTAATTCACGACAGCGCTGTTCTAATTGCACCATTTTTTCAGTAGATGCATCGCGAGTTTTCATAGCTTCTTCAATACGTTCACGATACGATGCTAAATCAGCACGGTAGTTATTTATTTGTTCAACTTGACGTCGATTGGTTGTATATAAATCTTCAATCTAAAGATTGACATTAGAGAAAAATTAGTTATGACTGACTGCTAACAATTCAGTTAAGGTACGATTTTGACAAATATTCTACTATCTGAATAACTATAGCGTGCGAATATCGATCTAGATGAATAAATTTCTAACCTTGTTCTCATATTGTGAAGCAATGTCTTCTCTTAATGAAATAATTTCTTGTTCATTTTGTGCTCGCAATTGTTGTAATTCTTGCAAAAGTTTATCATCGTATTGTTGTCGTAAACCATCACTTTGAACGATTTCATAACATTGTTGTTCTCTGATTTGTTTTATATGCTAAAAATTTTTAAAGATTTCTATAGATAAAACAGAATATTTTGTTCAATTTTACGGTCTCATGAACTTGTTCATTGAATTCTAATTGTTCACGTAATGTTTTATTTTTATTTTCAAGATCAATACGTAATAAAGTTTCAGATTCAAGTTGACGCTTTAATGATGCTATTTGTTTTTCAAGATCATTATTCAAACTTTCAAGACTCTAAAAATGAGAATATAGAAAAATTCTACTGGAAAATGCTGTTTCTCATACTTGATTTTCTTCCATTTTACGCGCTGTATCAGATGCAATGGAATTGCAACGAGCTTTTAAGTCAGCAATTTCATTTTCATATTGTCTTAAACGAGATTCAAATCCACGTGTATCACGATCAGTACGAGTAAGTCTAATACAAAAAAAATAGTTACACGAGATATGTTCGATTGTGTATTCTATTACTTTGATTGCAAATCATTATTTTCACAACGATGTTTTTCAAGTTCGATTTCAAGACGAGATTTTTCATGAGCTAATTCTTCAATAAGTTTTTTTGCGTCATCTTGAAGACAAAACAAAGAGAAGTGAATTTAATCGATAGTTTATAATTGAACATACCTAATTCACTTTCATATAATGCTTTTACTTTCGACGTTTCAGTTTCAAATGATTGTGTACTTGTTTTAACAATATTCTAAGGTAAAACAAAATAGGTTTGACTTTCATTCGATTGAAACTTACTCGTAATTTTTCATTATCTTGTTCAAGACGTCGAACCGTATCAATGATAACTGCTAACCGATCATTGAGTGTTTGTAATTCATGTTTTTCTTGTTGACGTGTTATATTGAGCAATGGCGATGTTGCTAATGACGTTGATGATGATGATATTGAAACACCGGATAATGTACGATGTTTTATTCCACTGCCGTTTGCTGTTAACGAGGGCGTAATAAAACCACTATTGTCACTATTTGTTTTAGCTGCATTGCCTTTAACCGGTGAATTTTCTTTAACATTAGTATCAGACCGGGATGTTGAAGCGGTACGACGACGAAATACTGAGAACATTTATTGTATAGAAAGCGTGAATTCGATTATGTTAATGTTGATTGTTAATATTAAATTTTGACTGATGTCTCTCTATGTAAAAGAATAGACAAAGAACATTATATGGAAAAAGAAGAGAAACCTATTTCCATAGGTTGATATGTATGTTCATGCATATTTATGAAAGCATTAATTGAAAAAATAAATATATCTAGAAAAATAATTTATTGATAGAAAAGATATGAATAGAATTATACTCATTTAATATTAGAATTAACATGCGATATGTATGACATCTATCGATTGATGCTCTGCTGCTGAACATCGCCAAGAACTCGATCACCTTTCTCATGTTTGTATGTAAATAAATAAACGATGTAGAAGATGTCTACAGGGCAGAACCCATCGGATTCGGGTTCATAAACTCTTTGGCACGATCGTCTCTAGGACTAGGACAGTTTGGCATTTTATCGATCAGGTTATCGGTTTCTGTTACTGCAATTTACTATTGAATGATTATTTAAAGAACAATATTACATATATATATATATAGTAAATATCTAGAAATTTTTGATCATAATGTAAAGTCACCTTTAAATCGTCAAATTATTCTAGGCAGGTAAATCTTTTTTACCCTAAAAATGTTGTTTAGAAAACAATGTAGAATAACAAGCTGTAGGTAATAATATTGGCGTATTTTTCTCATTAACAACCATCAATTAAATATAACAATATTCAATAATTAACTAAATCGATTTCCGTGCGCAAAATTTTATTTCGATTATTTCTATACTGCTTATGATATTCCTATAAATTTGTAAAATTGTTAGATTCGTTTTGACTTAATACGACATGTATTCATTAAAAACAAAACAAAAACATGATAACAATAACAAATCATGGTAAATGGTGAGAAGAAATTAGTACGGCACAAAAACAAGAAATCCGATGAGAAAAAACGACGCTTTCATAACTAAAGTTTTTATTATTTTCTATTGTGTTGTTGCTTTTGTTTAACAGTCCAATTGTGTAAGCGAGCCATATTTACTTCAGTTGTTGTAATTTGATCTCTATTTATCAATCAGATACATTCATACGGTTAACATGATGAATTCAGTATTTTAATTTTACCTTAAAAAGTCAAGATCTTCAACAACTTTTTGAAGTGTTTTTTGTGCTGCACTTTGATTTCCACGTAATAATTCATCAGCTTCGTCTAGTGTATATTCAAGCATGACATTAGCACCTAGCCATAAACAAACCTAAGAAATGAAAATTAATCTAATACTACGAGTCCAAAAGAAAAATCACGCGATCATACTTTATCAGTGGGTGGCATGATTGCTTTGCCATAAAGATTGTGAGATAAGAGAAAATTTGTTTTCATATCGGTATCGTTGTCACGATATTTACGAAGTTGTGCAATCATATCTAAAGTTCATCGTTATAATTTTGCAAAAATCAAAAAAATAAATAAAACCTACCTAAACAAATTTGAATGTCAGGTAATTTTCCTCGTAAACGTTTTTTCTTTTGTAATAAATTCATTTCCATAAATCGATATTTGCTACCCAAATCGTCAAGTCTAAACAAAACAAAAGCATGCCATGTTAACTTTATAAATTGTAAGATTTCACGAGGAAAATTCTATCATTGATTAATTGCTATCGAAGTTTAGACGATGTATATTCCATAGACCTTGATGAATAGTCTGAAAACACTTCACACTCACACACCCTTGACGTTCGTTCTATTTCATTGCGATCCTATTGTTTACTCACCTTCGAATAACTGTATCCGGAGAATCATTTTCTGGTTGTTGCATAAAACTGTCTACATCATCAACAAATACTGCCTTTGGTATACCTAAATGTTCACTATCACCTCCAGTAGTTAATGATGCCATCTAAAAAACGATCATTTAAAAAAATAAATTATCTTGAAACATCAATTTATAGCACATTATTGTTTTCCTGTGTAGAAAAATCATTACAAATAAATAGAAAAATCACAAAATAGAATCAAAACATAGATTAGATTTTAAGAGCATGTTGTCGTTGAAAACTAAAATTACAAAAAAAAACACTGATGACAAAATCATGCATGCAGTTTTGCTTACCGTATACTTATTTTTGCGCGAAGGAATAAACGCATAAGAATAAATGCAACAAAAGGCCAAAGTAATATAAATGCAATGACTTCTCGACGAAAACCTGACAATGGCCACCATCGCGACGAAGACTACAGTGTAAAACGTTTACATAGGAAAATTATTCAAACTTAAAAATCTCTTACATTTGATTCTAATCGAGTAGATAATTCTCTCTAGAATACAATCAATAGATATTATTATTCAAAAGAAACACGTTTTCTCTAACCTGCTGAAGAAGAGAACTTGATGTTTCCAATCGATTAAGTCTTTCTAATATATTATGAATATCTCGCTGAAGTTTATTCAATGCTGTTAATATAGCACGTTGTGTTTCTTTATTGCAATCATTAGCTAGATGACTTCTATTATTAATATCAGATACAACAGATGAAATTGAATAGATGACTGGTGTAGATGCATTGTGGCGAGGAAGTGAAGATGGCTGTGCTGTTGATCTATTTGTATTTTGTACTGAATCATTTGTTCGATTTTGACTACCATGCAAATGTGGAAAAGATCTTGTTGGATTTGGAGATGGTTGCTATGAAATAGAAAGCCTAAGTAAGTTAAATAAAATAGGCTCAACAAAAAGCAAAGGAAATATTTTTTGCGCGAAGAAATTTTTCGGTTATAAAATTTAACTGCGATTTGAATATTACTTTAATAATATTGTAATCTGATGATATTCCTTCATAATCTGAAGATATGAAACAAGATGGATCATCATAAAATTCATCAATATCTAGAGAATTATTAACAAGAATGGGCATGAAATAGATTGAAACCTTTATTTACTGGAAGACGTTGTTGAAGACAAGGAAGAAGCCGATGATAGAGATAATGAACGATTTGAAGCATTATCGTCGACAACAGGAGTTTGAATAGGATTCGCAACAAGTGGATCATTATGGTGATCATCTACATTGAATGCGAGAGTGCTTTTTGGTAGAATAGTAATTTTAATTATCTTTTACCTTTGTCAATAAGATTAACAGAAGCGTGATGTTGCTGTTTTTCTGATAATGTATTCGATGCTTGGCCATCTACAGATTTATTTGGTAATCCAACTGATTTTGCAAATTCTATGACTTCATTCGTTTGAGGCATTGTTTCAACAATCTTAATTATGAGATTAATAACAAAAGTAGCAGCAGCCAATATAGAGTAGATGTTTGCTTTTCTATTTACTTTTCCGATTTCACCAATATATGCTAGCATAGCTTGTTCTTTAGTCATTGATCGACATCTATCCCATGCCTCCCTGTATCAATCGATCAAATACTTAATTGAAGAAAAAGAAATAAAGCATTGTACCATTTAGCTCGAGCAACAATATTAAAAACAGACGGTCGTGATTCTTTACATGGACCCTGGGTCACTTGTTTATAAAGACCATAGAAAGTTAGTTTTGTTAAATTCGACGGTTGAATAATACCTGCAGACATATTACGAAATAGACACTTACAAACGCAACTGATTATTCATCAGTGGATTATTTTACTGATCTACATCAATTTCTTTAGCACAAGACCTTATCGAATTTCGAATCTCTACCATAAGTATTTGTTCGGTCTACATGATACTACTACTGAATACTTTGTGCAATGTAAAAACTTCCGGTTTCTTTCAATCGTAAGGAGGCACTTCAGAAAAAAAACATTTAAATTCTGATACAATAAATTGATGGTAACTTAAAAACGAATTTTTTCAAAATCTTTTGAAAGCATAAAGAAAAATGTCCCTTTGATTGCTTTATGAGAGAGCGAGAAAGCTCCTTTATTATATCTACAATCTAATGAGCTCACCATGCGGTGGTAAATTTTGAATAGTTTTCACAGCTGTATTAAATCTTTCGTCTAAATTTGTTGAAGATGCCATCAAACAATCGATATCTAGAAAAGCAAAACCACAAGTATACGGGATGATTAATAAATATTTTTTAAATGCTAGAATATCTCAATCAAATTTCAAAATTTTTTCTAATTGTCTGAATCAGACGAACGAGATTCTATATCTGAATCGGTTCCGCTTATTTCTTGTTTTATAACATTGGTCATCGGTATTGATGATTTAGCTGAACTAGATCGAGCAATAAATGATGTTGCTGAGTCCGTTCGTTTATTAAAATTTGTTTGTACGATGCCCGATGCTGGTGAACCCTGTCTTATAGGTTTTTCTCGTACAAGTGTTTGCTGTTTCGGTAGTGGTGGCAATACAGTTCCCGATGATATTGGACTTGATATACGTGTTGTTGGCGTTGATAATGATGTTAGCAGTATTTTGGTTTCATTTTGTATTGATGATATTGGTTCGATAACAGATCGTTGCTGTTGAATAGGACGTGGTTGTTTTAAAATCGTAGGTTCTCTACCAATAAATCGTGTTAATTTTTCATTTTTAGCTAAAAATATTAAAAATTTTTGATGCGTTAATTGTTGTTGTTGTTGTTGTTGTTGTTCTGTTGGTAGTAAAATTTCTTCTAAAATATTCAACGGTGGACCGGTACATGCATTTGTTGATATTAGTTTTTGTAATGCTTCGTATATAATTTGCCGATGATTATTATCTTGTTGTGGAATACTTATTTCGCCTGTTGGAACATGACATGTTAAACGATGTGAAAATGAACGAAATAGTGTTTGAGTTTCGTTAACGAATTCATCATAAATAAAACGAACTTGAAATGCACGTAAAAATATAACATAATCAAACAATAAAAAAGACTCGTGATCTTCAATTAATTGAAGAGTAACTTCCAGAAGTGAATAGGGAAAATCTGGACAAATTGAAAGCATTATTGCATGCATTTCTTTTAATGTTGTTGGTGGTGGTAGTGATGCCTCACATTTTAACCAGATTTGAGTGAGAAATGCACGACGATTATATGGTGTAGCATTGACAAATGCAAATTCGCGGCCAACTATATGAGTTTCTCGTTTTACTTGTAGAAAATAATCTCGGAAAAATGCATTAGCATCGATTTTGGTTTTTTCTAATGGCGGCGGACGACGACGAGCTTCAAGAAGACTACGTATACAATCTTCAAAATAAACTGTCAATTGATTTTGCTTTATATATGCTTGTTCAGAAGAATAATCATCAGCCATTATGAAAATTTAAGATTTCTCATCAATGAATTTACATTTTCTATATCAAGTGTTGTTAAGGACAACCATACCGAAGCAATATGAACGAATAGAAAACGACTGAAGTAAAATGACATCTATCGATCCAGAAACATGAGAGAAAAGAAATGCTGGAGGTTTAAAGTGACAGACAATGTTTGAAATAATGGTCATAGAAAGGAATTTTATCATTGATTAAAAATATACAATAGAAATCATTTTCTTTAGATTCCTGTTTTTTTTTTGTTCAATATGGTTTATCCAGCATATGGTGGTGCAAATACTCCGAATTCAATGTCAGGCGATCAAAATCGAAAAATATTTCTCGGTGGTTTAAGTTATCAGTAAGAATGTTTAGTTTTCGATAAAAGAAAAGAATAACAAAACAAAACTTGTTTTTCTCTTAGTACTACCGATGAAACACTACGTGCATTTTGTTCACGTTTTGGTAAAATAACTGATTGTCTCGTTATGAGAAATCCGGAAGGGAAATCTCGTGGTTTTGGTTTTGTAACGTACGAAGGTAGGAAAAAATCATTTTTATTTTTTTCTAAAAAATCAATTATTCATGATATATATAGACACATCGTCAGTTGAAGACTTTATGCGTTCAAGACCGCATACTATTGATAATCGCCAAATTGATCCAAAACGAGCCAGTAAGTATTTCTATCTTCTTCTACTCAATAGGATAATATCTCTTCAAACTTTTGAGTTAAATTCTCTTTTTGACACGGTTGAATAGTTTTTCGTCAAGTTACTTGTACATAATATCTTTGTAATTTAATTCACTCGATATACTTATTGTACGAATATAATTATCTCTACACTTCATCAATATTTATTCGAAACATTTAACCTATAGATTTTGTCATTGATTGCGGACATAGATATTCTGTTGACGAGAGTAATATTTAAAATTTTCATGGTGCCACTCTATCCAATTGTAACAATTTATTTAATCTATATGATTTTTGTTTGATTTTAGTGCCACGCGAAGAACAGAATAGTTCAGAAGCGCATTTAACTGTTAAAAAATTATTTGTTGCTGGCCTACGCGAAGGAATTAATGAAGAAAGTCTCCGACAACATTTTTCACGTTTTGGAAATATTGTTGAAGTTCTTGTAATGAAAGACCGTGATGGTTAGTTTAAATTAACAAAAAAAAAAGAATAACATAGAATTTCATTAAGCGAATAATCTTTTTCTTGTTTGTAGGAAAACCTCGTGGTTTTGCTTTTGTTACATACGATGATTATGATGCCGTTGATAAAGCCGTTTTAGAAAAGCCACATATAATCAATGGTCGAAATTTAGATGTGAAAAAAGCTGTACCGAAAGAAAAAATGCAAGATGAATCCGGAGGTAATCCAGCTGCTGGTGGCGGTGGTGGTGGAGGCGGTATGTCACAATTTAGTCGTAATAATCCTTCAAATTATTCCGGAACGAATTCTGGTCCACCGCCACCACCTCCTTCGTCATCTCGAAATAATTTTGGTGGACAGATGCGAGATGGCTATAATGCTCCTGGTGGAAGTTGGGATAATCAAGGTGGAATGTCGCGAATGTCTAATCAAAATCAAAATTATAATCAACCACCTGCACCATCCTACGGTCAACAAGGAGGATACAATGCAAATACAGCTGGCTTTAATCCACCAATGCCACCAACAAATACTTATCCACAATCATTCAATAATATGGGTCAAAATCAACCACCACCACCACCTCCTCCGCCACCACTTCCACAACAACCACCTATGATGAACTATGATATGTATAGTAACACTTCAAATATGCCATTTAATAATAATTCAAGTCAAGCACAAGCTTCCAATTATATGCAACCACCTCCATTACCTTACGGGCAAAATCAACAACAAGGTTTTGGCAATAATTCAAACAATTTCGGTGGAATGAATGATCCATTTAGTGTGCCACCAGCGCCAGCTGCAGGAAATCGAGGCTATAATAATCCATCATCAACAGCAACACCATATGATAATACAAATTCATATGGCATTACTTCACAAAATTATGGCGGTGGAAATTATAACAATAATATGCCTACACAACAATCTCGTGGCGGCGGTGGTGGTGGTGGTGGTCCTATGCGTGGAGGACGAGGGTAAGTCTAGTTGTTTACGGTTTTTTTTTGATCGAAATATTGCTTGTTTTTCAAGCGGCGGAGGTAGTGGCAATTACGGCAGTAATTTAGGTGGAGATAGCGGTTATGGTAATCGCTCAGCTCCCTATCCACCTCGTGGTGGCCGCGGTGGTCGTGGCGGAGGTGGCCGTGGTCGTGGCCGTGGACAATAGAAAAAAAAGCAAGTGTGGTATGTGTTTAAGGAGAAATTGGAAGAAATACTCAAATAATTGACATCCATATTGAACATGTGTAAAGCATTTTTCTTTCGATATCTTTTTGTTGTAGTCTTCTGTTTCATTCGCCCTTATGTCTTTTGTCTTCAACTTTATAAACAAAACCAAGCATATATACTCAACCAAAAGCAAAAACTAGGTTCCCTTCCTTAGAATTATATAATAGAAAGAAGAAAACAGCTATATATTAATATGAATATACATATATTTTCCTTCTTTTGTACAAAGCTGTATAACATCAGTTAGAGTTAAAGTATGTTTTACTCTAGGATGATATTCTAAAGAACAAGATAAATAAGAAAAAAAATCCAATGTTTTTTGTGTGGTTGTTGTTTCATTTTGTTTTTGTCGTGTTTCACATCAGTTGTATAAGTCACCATGTGTTTTTTTCTTTTGTGCCTGTTTCTCTTAAATACATGTGCGAAAATTGACATTTCACTGTTATGATTCTAATTAAGCATAGAATATTAGTATGAGATCTTATTACTGATTAGAACACATAGATATTAACAGTTATGGCATACGAACAACTAATGATTAGAACATAAGATTCGTTATTTATTCTATACATATGAAGAAATCGGTATAGACTACTTGTTATTTCCTAGCTTAAATACTAAATGTTTATTTTATTTTATTTATAGGAATATTAATTAAGATATTACGAAGTATATTTTTTGTTTATTAATACATTTTCTTGAATATATTTATTTTTACTAGAAGACTTTGGAGTATATAAATTCCGATAGAAACAAAGTAGATGAACTATGAAAGTTTAATTGTTTTGTTTCTCTCATAATTTATGTTCCTATAAAATATTAATTATACAAGAAAGAAAAAGTATATATATATATATATTCAGACGGCTTATACATCTGTTGTTAATATTTTGCTTTTGTTTGTGAATATTTATAGGAAATCTTATTTAGAGTAAGTGTATATTAATTATTGTTTGTTTCATGTTCACATAAAGTGAACAGAAGAAGAAGAATGAATATTATTGTTCTGTGTTTTCTGACGAGTAGAAATATTGGTTATCAATTCTATCGAATAGTCTAGATTACAAATCCCTTAGGCGAATCAGCAACAGAATACACAAAGTATCGCAAACATCTGTTGATGGAAAGTGTTATATTTATACAGAATAAGCATCAAAGAATTATTAGGTAAGTATATTTAATATTGTATCTTTTAAGTTTAATTTAATTATATTTTTCACAAGAAGAAGAAAAACAACACTCATAGTCTCAATTAGTACAGACTGTCAAGAATAGTTTCATCTTTTTTTTAATTTTTATTTAGAATAACAAAAATAGATCATGGTTTGGCAAGAGTATTGTATAGTCAGAACGAAAACAATTTGTTATTAGAAATAAGCTGAATAAATAAAGTAGACGAAAAAAAAGTGCTATTTTAATTTTGAACAACCTAGCAAAAATTATTGTCTTATGAATAGCAATTAAGATTGAGAACTTCGAGCTAGTTAATAAATTTTGGAACTTTTCGATAATATTTGTTTTTGTGTTTATAGGCGATGGAATAATCTTGTAGTTAAATGGCTGATACAAAAATTTATTGAAATCAACCTACTACGAATTCAAGTCAAATATTAGCATTTGTCAATTAGAATATAAATAATGAATCAATACAAACGTAACTTTTCTGTGATAAAAAGTTTTTTATTTTATTTTTTATTTTAATAAAAACATTTTGTTATTATTTCACATATTGTAAGATTTCTTCATATGAAAGATGAGTTTTTACAAGAAAACTATTAAAGTTGGGATATCAAAAAACAAAAATTTGTTGTTATTTTTCAATCTGTGAATAATATTCAATAACTACTGTCAATTGAATGGTCGATACAGGAATTGGCACCTTTAACCTTGAAGAGTGTTAAGGAAACATGCTTTACGATGATGAAGACATTTTACTTGCAAGGCGTATTGTTATTTCATGTAACGAAATATAATCGAAATAAATAATCGAAATCTTCAATACAATTTTTATGTGATAATGTTTTATCCGATTTCAATGCAATAAAAGGTGTTAGACCATTATTAGAATCATACAGTAGTGCTTTTTAGATACGTTGCCTTTTGATTTTGATTTTCTTATTTACGGGCTTGATTTACAAGTTCGTTACAAAATTAATTATAATGAGCAACATTTTCTTTTCATGAATAGATTAATCTTGTATCGATGAGACAAAATTTGCAATAGAAGATTTCATAAATTCATGATACTATGATTAATAGAATATATGACTGGATGAATTCAAACATTTTCACAAATAGTATTGAACTATGCAAAGTCTTGATGCAAACGTTTAAATTTCCCGATTTATCTTCTTCTTAAACACAGAGGATAAGTCACGCCAATTCCTCAAAAACATTTTTCATCTGTAAATGATGAATTGGATTCTAAATCAGACTTCTATTCTATTCGTAAGAAAATTGACGAATCCGTTTTCTTTCATTTGATTTCATTTCCACAGCAAATTTTATTGAGTATCTGTGTCAGAGGATACAAATCACTATTTTGAAGGAACAAAAAGATTAACGATTGTCGAACTGCTTCTTAGAGTACTAGCCAAATATTTTGCTCCGATTAGTCCGCATTAAATGTACGTGATACACAAGCTTGTGAGAGTGTGTAGGTCGACGTATTATGTGATAAATAGGGTAATAGAATGAAAAAAGAACTTTTTGAAATAATCTGTATCAAGCAAAGACAACTAGTGAACAAATTTTTTATTATGTGAGAGTGAAACAAGTCGCTTTAATGTGGTCCGATATCCATTGCATGGTTGATGAAAATTTTTCAGTTTACATAAATAGAAGTAATTTTAAAAGTCATCCCATCAGAATCTCCTGGGTAGATCTGAAACTATTTTCATTTGTATTGTAGGATTATGTCAAGGGGAAAACGGCGGACTTGAAGTAGAAAAGTACGCCAAAGTACTTCAAAGTAGACTGCTTGAAGTAGCTCAAAGTAGAGACAAGTAGCTTAAAATAACCTCAAGTAACGTCAGGAAAATTTGAAGTTGCAAAGTACTTCAAGTCCAAAAGTCCGCCGTTTTCCCCTTGATAAAAATTTAGTTGCTTTCATTTTGAATTAATGAATAAGAAAAAAGTTCAAAACTATCGTCAGTATATTGATATCAATGTGTATTGAATTTCAATAAAACTATTTTACTTGCAACATATAGCTCAAGGTCAAGATACCATATAACGTACAATAAATCAGCCCCGACCAGCAACCTCAAATGGCTCTCGAAAATTCGATGATTTGTTCGGAGGTAATACCGAAAATATTATCTTTTTTTCTTAAAATCTATTTTACCTTGAATTCAGATTCACCACCGAAATGTTTTACAATGAGTGATACGGATAAAACAAAGAGAACACCTTAGTAAGATATAAATATTGAGAGTTAAGAAATAATGACTATTTTTATTAATAGATTTAAAGACTGAGATCCTCTACGTTCTTCTACTGTGACACAAACATCAGATATAGTGCAAAATCAATCGAATACAAGTGTATTATCATCACTGCGTAAAGATCTTCAGTCAAATAAAGCTTCCGTTATACTTTCTTCAACTAAAACAAAGACTGAGTCGAGTAAAGCAGATGACTGACTCGGTCTTAACGATGAGTCAAGCGACGAAGATGAATTATCAACACATACAACAAAACAAACTTGAGCCTGTTGTTACTACTGTTGCTAAAAAAAACTCCAAAAGTAGTAGAACCACTGAAAAAAATCTGTATTAGATGATTTACATGAAGATGATCGACGTGCTTTATCAGAAAAAATAACTGCACCAATAAAGGTTAGAACACCTAAGATTACACCAGATTTTCTATTTGATGATCGAACAAGTTCAAATATATACTGCCAGCTTCAAATGGAATATCAAAACCTCAATAGTTTGCCGATAGTCAAGAACTAATGCATCAAGAATATGATGTTTGCAGAAAAAAAAATGAAATTGAAGAATGGACGATTGATTCTTTGTAGTATTTTATATAAAACTTTTCATTTGAGCCCAAAATATCCTACTTCCAATTTATTGAATAACCATACAAATAAGCACCACAATTTATTGTTGATTGCATTCAAGTACTGTCCGCAGTAATTTCTTCCAATGTGCTATATTCTGAGATTTAGTTTTTTTTTTTGAATATGTAGTGGGCAACGTCTCTCCTAAAAATCCATTGCATTCTCATCAAGCATACCACTATAATTGACTTCAATGTATTTCTCAAAAGACAATGATCTCTTTCGTTCTGTAATACACGTGTTTATCGAATAGATATCTCGATATCCGTTCTAAGTATGTATATCTCCTATAGACGTATATGTATATAATAAATCCCTCGATCTTTCTCTCTCTCTCTATTTCGTTCGTTCTTTCTGTTCGTCATTTATTTATTTCCAAATGAGCTTCTCCGTCGATTTGTTTAAATAGTTTTCTTATTTTTTATAGAAAGCCATCATGCAAACAGCAATTCATAAGAAATTATATGATTTACGAGCGAAACCAATTCAAGTAATTATGAAGAACAGAATTCAAATTATGTCTAAATATGATTTATATTTTAAAGACTTTTTGTAATATACCTAAATTGGGAAAACATGAACATACAAAAACATTTAAAATAATTGGTAATAATGAAAGTCAATTTTTGCTTGATGACAAAGTAAAACATAACAAACAACCAACAAAGCATTTCATTGAATTAATAAATATTTACATTTCTAGCCAGCATTTCATTTTGAACATATATGGGGTGAAGGAACAACAGGTGAAATTTATGATCGATTTTCTCGACCGGCTATTGCAGATCTTGTAAGAGGACGAAGCAGTAAGAAATATAATAAACAAGTGGAAAAACAATTTGTATATATATATATATATATATTTGATTATCGTAGCACTTCTTTTTGTTATTGGTCGAAATAAAAAATCTCGCAATGATATTCTATTTGGTGAAACAAAAGATACGGGCCTTATTTCTTTAACCATAAACGCACTTTACAATAGTATTGGTGAACATCGTGCACTTAAATATGTAAGATTATTGATTGGTTTTTATCTTTTAAAACTATTCTATTCTATCAATTAGTATTTTAGACCGATGGGCAATAATATTTACAAAGTTCAATCAGATGCTCAAGCAATGTTTGATCGACATCAACGTGATCTCTTACCGAAAGTGAGCAGAAATATTATCGGTAATATGACACATACAAGTATGTTAGAAAAGTAAGTAATTGAAAAATGCCGATGTTTTAAATTTGTGAGAGAAAAAATGATGACATTGAAATATTTGCAAAGAAAATCTTAATCGAAACCAAGGAAATCTAGATAAGACAAAACGAAAATTTTGCTTTACAATCAATTTTAGAAGACGTAAAATGCTAAGATGATATTCAAATTTTTGTTTAGATCAATTCTTGATCAAACATCGAATGTATCTGGTATTGATGATGATCATGTTTATACGATATTTGTTTCCGCTATGGAAATAAATTCAATTAATACAAATTCTATAACAAGCGATCTATTGAAAATGTTTACTGAAGGTATTAATAATGATCCATTTGAAAATCCTCAATCGTGTATTGAAATGGAATTCGATGATGCACGTAAAGCACGACGAAAACTATTTGATACAACGAAAATACCAATGAAAGAAAATTCCACACGTTTATATACAATTCGTCTTGTACAAGCAAGAAAATCCGATCAAACAGAAGTATATTTGAAATACTTTTAGCCCGTGAAAAGCTCAAAGTTTTATTTTTGTAGAATATTTCACCAATAGTTAGTCAATTGACATTTATTGATTTACCTACAAATAAAAATGCAGCAGGTATGATGGAGAAGAAAATATGTATATGTGCAAGTGTTCTTCTTTTTTCTCTCTTCATTTTAGATTTAAAAGCCGTAAAAGATTTTATTGTTCCACCGAAAAAACGATCTGTAAGATTAAGTTCAATATCTATATAAGTATAAAAATCGATTTTTCGTTCTGTTTTTAGGCAGATTTTTCGAATCATTTACAAGATTTTCTACTTAAATTTCCTATTCAAGATCATCATCAACAATTTATACCTATTAAACTGTTGCTATGTGCATCAGCCAGTAGTAATGATGCAGAAGATACTTTAGTAACTTTTTACGGCCTAATTTTCATCGTCGTCAACTATCCTTTGTTTTTCTTTGCTTCTAGCATGACATCAAATGGTTAATGAGTCTTCAAGCGAATCAATATCTTGTTTATTTGGGTCGCGAAGAAGAGAATCATGTTACGCGTGATGAAGATGATGATCATCATCATCAGCGACCTCCACGTCCACCATCATTGCATTATTCGACATCAATAAATCGTTCCGAGCATCATAGTTTAGCACAACATGTTCCTAATTCAACTCCGCTTGCTCAATCAACACCGCGATCAGTAACGCAATTACCATCGTCAACAACCACAATGATATCTGTTCATACTGAACGTTCACGTCAATCACAATATCAAACAATTACCAATACACCAAATCGATCGTTTAACTATATGACAAGTAGAGTAGAAAATTTTTCATCTTGCTTTCTTCTTATTTTAATATTTAAGATACATCTCAGTTGGCACCTCCGGCACGACCGTTATCATCTTCTCGACTTGTTATGTCAAATCGGTCAGAAGAAACTCCTTCGTGTGCCACCTATCCGTTAACGCCTAGTACTGGTATATCTCATTTGAATGAAAAAGTACCACCTCGTTTACCACCGCGAATTCAACGTACACCTAATAAACATTTACAAACTGTCGAACAAGAAGTACCTACTGCATCAACACAACTAAAAGCGAATTCAATTATTCACAATCGACGGCCACCGCCACCATTGCCGCTTCCGGTAGTACCGCCAGTGTATAATACCGAATCTAATAAATCAAATAAGATGCGTTTATCAAGAAAACTTTCAAGATCAAATTCAATTGTTGATGTACAACAACGAGCTTCTTCTGTTGTTGGCTCTCGTATTTTGCCGACTACAGCATCATCGACAACAAAGCGTGTAACGCTAAAAGAAGAACATTTACTTAAACGTTCATCATCTGCCGATCGTGTTGGTCGTGAACGGTGGTTACATCATATAACTGAATCAGTGACTATTAATAACGGTATATTTTTAATTTTTCTTTTTTCACTCATTGAATTTCAAACAGCGTCATAGTTAACAGTGTATAAATAACTTGTCTATAGAAAATTCTGGCACTACCTACTAGAATTGATGTTATTTTTTCATCTCGATTGACTCTTGATGTCTGACAATGAAAGTATCTAAATACAAACCTTCAGAATATCTTATTATGACTGAGATCTAACTCGGCATTTGTTCAGAAGCGTGAATCTTTTTTGCTCTCTAGCAATCAAACTGCGGGCATCATTACCAAACCCATTACAGCTTGTTACAAGTCATTTTAATGCCATGTCAAAATTATTAAGTGCAACCAAATATGCGATCGAACATAGAGCTGAAGATGGTGTTCAATTATTTCAAGTGAATATCAATTCATATTTTTGTACCTAACAAAAAAACGGTTGTGTTTTTGTTTGCCTAGGGTGATGTTATGGCGACAAGTAAAGGTGGTGTGAAAGTTGTTTTTACTTCAGTTGACCAAGTAACACATAATAGTTTACTCCCAACAACATGTGAAAGTTCTGTTTTGGGTTTGTAAAAATATTTCCACATGGATATATTCATATTGATTTGCCTTTTCTTTTTTTCTCTTTAGGAAGATGTTAGTCGTTCAAAACATATATACATATATATATATATACGACTATACTTAGTTTTCGTTTTCTTTTTTTTGTACTTTTACTATATAATAATTATCTTTTATTCGAGATATTAAGAAAGAGATATTTGAAAAAAGGAACAATTTTCTTTCTTAGAGTGATTTCAGAGATTATATTCTATTGTTTATATTTTATTTCACTTTCTCTTTTTGTTTTACTTCATTCTTGAATAAACCTATGATGAACTTCTATAAACATAACAAGCAAAAATTGCATTAGAAAAAAAATAACCTTCATGAAAATAATATATATATATATATATATACATAGCAAAGTTGCTCATTACAACTAGTCGGTCACACCTGAGTGGTTTTACATTTTTTTATCTCTGTCATCATAATGATGAAATAGTATCGTCTTATTTCTCACGCTTTTAAATATATATGATGTACTATGTATGACATTGACTATGATAAAATGAATGAATAATAGAAAGCAACAAGAAAAACCGACTTTATTCAGATAAACAAGAAACATTGATACGCACGCACAAGAAAAAAAGTGAACGAGATGTCTGAAGAACAAAAGAAAATTATAGTGGTGTATAGAAAAAGGTGTTGATGTTAATCATGATTATCAGACATCGTCATTGTGTTGTGCAAAAAGAATGTTTTCGTCCTTCTCAACAGGTACATAGGCTTGATGAGTAGGTCCGAGAAAAACGCGAGTTTCAGTATTGATAATAGTGTTGTCCAACGATGAACGTATATGAAAATGAGAAAAATATAATAAAAGAAATAATAATCATAATCATAATATTGTTGCCCTAGTTCCGTTGTATACGGAAAATGATGGTATAAAACAATGATGCGAATAGAAGACTTAACCCTATTTGTGCTTGTACAAGTCCACCATTAATACCTTCTGCTTTTTTGTATTGAGTGAGAAATTGTTCTAGAAAAATGATGTTAATCATTAATTGGTTCGTAAATATGAAGAACAGAAAAACGAATACATACTGGCATAAGCTGCCAAAGCTATTACACATGCAAATAAACCTAATGCACCGATAGCAGCCAAACAAAGTAGACAACCAAGAGTACCGCCAAGTGCTCCAAGGGCACCGGCCAACGCACCACTGCTTCCACCAGTACCAGGAGATACTTGTCTTACTCCAGTTCTGGCTCCATAATAAGGACGTGGTACAGGAGTTCTATAGCTTTTAAAAAATAAAGATTAAATCTCGCTATCAATATCTATTCATATGAACTTATTTACCGAACGCCAAATGGTCGCGAAGGAGCAGAAGATCTTCGAGGAACGGACGACATATTAATCTATAAAAGTTTGAAAATAAACTAATCTTACAAGGACAAATGATGAATCTTTTTATTTCCTCATATAATATGACTTAAAACTGTCCACACGTGTTCATTCATAGCTTTCTTTTCATCAGCAAGCTTGTTCCCTCTCTCTCTCTTCCTATTCTTGTTCGGTTTTTTTCTCTCTCTCTCATTTTTTCTTTAGTCACCTGCGCGGTGGGTTTCTATTAGCAAAAAAGATGACGATTTTTTTAGTGCGCTAATTTGCATTACCACAAGACAACAACCTACTTGTTTTTCTTTTCTCTCTCTCTCTCCTTATCACATTTCCCGATCGATCGCCTCCTAATATCACTATCATACTGTCGTACTTAGCATTGTGATTTTTTTGTTTTTTCTCTCTTTCGATCTTGCGTACTTTTTTTAGAAAAGCAGAGAAAAACTACGCTATCGAAGCATGGTATTGACATGTACGATTTTCATTGACGGCATGATCAAACTACCTACTATTTTTTTCGATAAACGTTTATTACATTGCTTCGTCGTTTCTCTCTTTCTGGCTGGTTCTGCTATGCATGACTTCACAGGCGTCATCGCTGCTTTGCTCCTGAACCATACGCATAGTTTGTCATAATTTATACGTCAGCAGCAACAGAGGGAAAGAAAGAGAGAGAGAGAGATTCTTGTCCTTAGTTATTTTTATGAGTTTCATTCATTAGATTAGCTAAAAACAGATAAGATATATACGTATATATATATATATATATATATTCCATTTAAGTATCTGCCATTCGATAGTTAATAAAACAGTGTGATTAGCATTAAGATTCTACGACAAATGATGAAGTAAATTAAGTTTTTTTTCCGACGAAATATATGACGAAACGAAGAAACTTCGTTTTTTTGAAGTAACAGGTAATATGAAACGAAAAGATGAGTAAAAATGAATGGAACTATCGACAACATATTTTTGTCTCATCAGTCGTAGGCATCAGTGTGCGATCGAAAAAAAATCATTAGCTTAAGCATGTGTCGTCAGTCAGGGGTGTTTCGCTTGATTGATCATGTGCCGTCTTTTTTCATTTCATCGCATATCTTGCCTTTTCTTCTTTCTTTTTCTTCTCACATACTATCTATACACGGGCAGGTATGACAAACATTGACAGTATCCTTTTTTTTCTCGCAAATTGTAATGATAAACGATGCTTCGCATTTTCTCTCTATGTACAGCCTTCAGGTGCAAACCTCATCCCTTTTTTGTGAATGCATAGAGAACGTTACATTTTTTTTTGCATTGGTTGGCCAACTAATTTTCTTTTATTGGCTCGAAACCTATCACTTTTTTTTCTTCTTCTCTCCCTTCTCCTCTGATGATGATGATGATGATGATCATCATCATCATCATCATGTATACATGTTTGTGTTGTTCAGAAATTTTCCTGCTAATTGATCTTCTATCTATCTATATACCTCTCTCTTTCTTTCTCTTGCTCTCTTTTTCTTTCTGTTTTCCAAGTTTTTTAGAAGCACTTCTGAATAGTTAGGCAAGTGTTAGGTGAAAAGACAAAATTAATACTTTGTTTTATACCGGTACTTGTAGAGATAGAGAAATGATGGCCTTGACAATATATTTACTTTTTTTAAATTCTTTTATTCAAAAGACTAATCACATTACATTTCTTGTTTTCTTCTTAGTGAACTCTTAATATGCCTCGAGTTCGAGTGCCCTTCAGACGTACTGGAGTTCGTTACACTGCACGGCCCGGCCGACGACTCGTATCACCGTAAGTTTCTTTATGATAATCTTGATGAGTACATTGTTCTATTTTGTAATTATTTATTTTTATGTAGACCCCCAGCTCGTCCAGCTGGTAAAGGAGGTCTTATGGGTTTAATCGGAGGCTTAGGTGGTCTACTTTTATGTTTACTCTGCTTAGCGACAATGGGCTTACTCGGTCTCTTTGCATCATTCATTGCAGTAACCGCTTATCTCGGTAAGATATTCGAAATGCATCATAATTCAAAAATAAGATTTTGTATAATTTTATTTTTTTAATCATTCTATAGGAAAACTCTATAGAGCACTGAAAACTATTGCTGGTAGTGGTGCACCTGGACTTTACGTAAATTCAGTTGTCTTACTGGCCGCCTTATGCTTTGCCGGTTTTCATAAGATACGACGATCATTATAAACAATATTCATCTTCGATTTTTCAATATGTTTATTTTGAGCCGTCGAATCCGTCGTCGCTGTTAATTGTCTTTTTGATTATTTTTATTTAATCGAACTTCAAGGGTATTTTTCTTTTCTTTCACAAAAACCTTTTTCTTCAAAACACCAAGACTTTCATCTTCATAATTCATTTCTTTCTTCTAAATTTTTAACACACACGTACACATCTATTTTTTATTTAATGAACAAATTTTTTCAACGCAAGTGCCGATTTGAAGATACAAGCAATATGTTCGCAACCATATGAACAATTATTTCCTGAAAGCCATTGTCATCATCATCATCATCATCATCATCAAATAATTTTATTTTTAACAACATCGATATCATTTTGTATTCGCTTGACATAGACAATAAATGAAATGGCCAACGGTTTTCTTTTTTGTGTAGCGCGGATTTATTCGTTTTTCTTTTTTATCGAGCACTTCATTTCTTTTCTATTTTCTTGTGTGTGAGAAATAAAATACAATGGGTGGTTATTTAAATGCACATGTTTTCTTTGTTGTCTATTTCATAAATATCAGCTCGGTTATTTTGACAAGAAAAAAAGAACATTGAATTGTGCATTTTATATTGAAAAATATATGTAAATGAGAAATTACAAATAGGTAAATTTATTCGTACAATAATCAATCTTTGAAGAAAATCACAAAAACTACACATCTTAAAAGTCATTTTTTTCTGTTGTTTTTCATTTACATGCAAAAAGAAAAACATTTGACAGCTTTTTACGGAAGCGAAGAATAGTCATGCTCAGCATTTCGCACAGATGACGTCGTCTAAGAGAAATAGAAAATTATTTAAAAGTGCGCATGTTGTCGCTTGTTTAAAAGTACTCTCAATGTACAAAAGTTCTCGTGAGTACTACTGGTTAACTACGTTGACATCGTGGGTCTATCAATCATAGGCGAGTTCTACATTTAAAAATAACAGTGATTTTTACTGATGTCTTGTTTTTTTTATATGTTTTGTGTAGTTGAGGGTTAACCCTATCGAAGTCAATGATTATTGTATTATATATGATATGCGTGTAAGCCCACAAACGTGCTCAGCTTAGTATAGGACAATATTTATGTGCAGTTTAGAGACCGCGGTTTCTTCTTCTTCTTGTTATCGAACTTATGAGAAATAATACAAATATATGTCAAAAAAATGAATTTTTCAATGTTATAAGTTTTCTTGCAAACAATTTCTCTTCATTCAAACGAGTCTTTTTGTTTTCGTTTTCGTTTCAAACTGTAGAATAGAAGAGTAGGCTACTTTATATCATGATTTTTTTTATAAACAAAATGTTTATATTGTAAAATCATAAAATCAATTATTGTCTAGAAATATATTCTCTGTCTTGTAATAAATTTACAAGTGATTGCATTGCTTTTTTTTATAGACCTTTCTATTCTTAGGTAATCGTTGAATTTGTTGTAAAATATTTAAAAAATAATGATGGATTAAGTTTTGTTTTTAAAATCTAAAGAAATAATTCTGGTAAGCTTTTATTTTTGCCTAATATAATTTAATTCTGTCCCTTGAATAGAATATGAATCATATAAAAGAATGAGTAAATAACTAGTAATTGGATACGTTTTATTAAGACATTTGAACCTATTGACTTGACGTAACTAGTATCGACTTGTGCCATCTATTGACACCTGATTCTATTAGATGTATGTTCGAAACCAATAATGTCGAGTTAAAATTCACTAAAGCATGATTCACGATGACAAATAGGTTAAACGAGCGAACAGAAAGAGGTAAACGAATTGTCAGGTTCTATTTACTAAGTTGACGAGACAATGATGAATGAATAATTATCAATTTTTAATCTTTGCAAACTGTGATTTATTCTATTCTGTTTGTTGACTGTTTTCTCTCAAAATCAATTTCATGTCTCATTTCTTTTATATTAAAGATTGAAGACAATTAACAATCCATTATGTTTGGGAGTAAAGGTGATATTATTCGAGATCTTACGCGAAGAGCCGGGTTTGATGATATGGTAAAGTTCTTTTCTTTTGAACGTAAGAATGGTTCATAGACGCAACGTCTTTTGACTTAGGTTTTCATGTCGAAAAATACCGACTCTGAAATAAGCCATAATCTCAAGATTCGTTTCGATGTTAATTATATCTATGTAAGTAATGAATTTGTTTTTGAATTTCAAACATTTTGACCTCAAATTTTATATAGACATACATTGGCCCTGTTCTAATTGCTGTTAATCCTTACAAAAATGTCGAATATTGCCGTGAAAGTCATATGGAAAAATATCGAGGAGCCGTAAGTTTCACAATATCTATAGCAACAAGAAATGATTAGACAAGCGATTTTTAATTAGACCCAAATGGATAATGCTCCACATATATTTGCTATAGCCGAAGATATGTTCAGTAATATGTTAATTGATTCTGAAAAGCAGTGTGTTATTATCAGTGGTGAGTCGGGTGCTGGAAAAACAGTTAGTGCAAAATTTATTATGTCTTATATTGCTGAAGTAAGGCTTCGAAAAGCAAAATAAAGGTATTTTTTTATATTTTTTTCTTATCGTCTATTGAAAGGTGTCAGGCGGTGGTCCAAATGTACAACGTATAAAGGATGTTATTTTACAGTCAAATCCATTATTAGAGGTAAAATCATTATATTTATATACGATTACGTTGTAAGTTCTGTAGTATCACTAAAGTCTTTGTAACTAAACCGAAGCTCCTTTTCCGACACGTACTCGACTGGAATTATACGAATTCACTTTGACATGAGATCATAAACAGGAATGGAATTTAGTGAAAAAAGAAGATTTCAGACATCGTATACTTAATCTACACGTAAGTGAATCAGCATTTGTGATTGGCTATATTCCGATGAATAGACACAAGATGAGAAACCAAAAAAACTCATTATCTGATAAAATACTTGAAAATCAATCTAGAGAAAAGAAGTGTTTGCTACTTATTATTAACATTTTTCTTCTTCTTTTCAAGGCATTTGGTAATGCAAAAACAATTCGTAATGATAATTCAAGTCGCTTTGTAAATAAGAAAATTATTTTTAAGACTCTAAAATTTATTGATTTAATTATCGTAGGGTAAATATATTGAAATAAGATTTTCACGTGGTGGTGAACCAATAGGTGGAGTGATTTCAAATTTTCTTCTTGAAAAAGTAAGTAAAACTGAAACTATTTTTGATAAAAAAACACTGAACTAAACACTATTTGCACCGATCTTCTTTCTTTACAGAAGAAGAAAAGAAAAATAGAAGGTTTGAATCGAATTGTTTTTATCCGTACATCGTGCACGAATGTTGTCTGCAAATTTTTTTAAACTTTTTTCGATTATCTTTTTAAAATATCTAATTATATATGTTTTTTTTTCATTGTTTTAGTCACGGGTGGTTAGTCAAGCTGAGAATGAACGTAACTTTCATATTTTTTATCAATTACTATCAAACAGAGAATTTTGTCGTATGCTATTTTTCCTCCTCATTAACATTTACTAATTTACGTTTGTAAATTTTTAGAACAATATTCATTATCCTATGAACTTCGTTTTCAATATATTAATCATGCAGACTCGATGAGAGTTCCGAAAATTGATGATGCAAAAGAGATGCAGGATACACTAGTATGTTAGTTCCATTGTTTGTCTCTAGTAGTACAATAATCTTTTGATTAGCACGCAATGAATGTCATGGGCTTATCGCAAGAGCTACAACAGAGTATATTTAGTTTACTTGCTGGTATACTGCATCTAGGCAATGCTCAATTTGGTGATAAGAATCATTATGCTACTGTTCTATCAGAACGAGGCACGCTATTTCTTACAAGGTTTTAGTTGGCTTAGTTTTCTAACAACATTCTAATTTGTTTAGATCTTCAAGCGCCTTGTGCTTATTTTGGTATTCAAACAGAACATTTAAAAAAGAAATTAATATCAAAAAAACTCGAATTTAAAAAGGAAGAAGGTCCAGAAGTAATCGATCAAACATTTACCGTTGATAAAGCCATATTTACGCGTGATGCACTAGCTAAATCAACTTATTCTCGAATATTCGATCATCTTATTAAAGTAAGTTTCAAAAAAACTTCTCGTCAAAAGAAAATTGCTTTTTTAAATTATAGGTAGTTAACGGTATATTTCAAACAAGTACTACATCAGATTTAACTATCGGTATTCTCGATATATATGGTTTTGAAATATTTGAGCGAAATAGCTTTGAACAATTTTGTATTAATTTTGTCAATGAAAAACTTCAACAAATTTTTATCGAATTAACATTAAAAAAAGAGCAGGTTCTTATTGAAACGTCACTTTTGAAATTCCATTTCAAAGTGTTTCTTTTTAGGAAGAATACAAGCGTGAAAATATTCAATGGATACCAGTTACATTTTTTAATAATATTGTTGTTTGTGATTTATTTGAAGCGAAACAACCACCAGGAATGTTTCTAATACTTGACGATGTATGTCTTGCCATAAATGCAGTGGCAGAAAAAGCTGACAAAAGTTATATAAATGTATGACGACATTATTTATTAGATTAGCGTTATGGTTTTGTTTTTGTTTTAGAAATTAAGTAGTTTAACAAATCAATATTTGCTTGTTTCACCGCCAACATTCACTGTTCGACATTATGCCGGCGATGTTACTTATCATTCAGATCAGTTCTGTGAGAAGAATCGAGATATTTTAAATGTTGATTTGATTGAAATGATGCAATCGAGTACAATGTAAAGAAAACAAAAAATGCACAGCGAAAGTTTTAACTAAGAAAATTTGTCTTTTTGTTTCGTTAAAATAGACCATTCGTTAGATCACTTTTTCCGGAACAAACTGCAACAATGAAAGCTCGACCGACGACAGGTGGCACTAAAATTCGTACTCAAGCCAATGAACTTGTAGAAAAATTGATGTGTTGTCAACCGCATTGTACGTAGAATTTTTATACTATTTAAAAGAAGATTCTATACTTCTATTAGAAGAATTTGTGAATAATGTTTATTGAATCGTATATCTATAATAAAGAGATTCGATGGATTTTTGATTTATTTTCGACTGCAATCGAAGATCGTCTGAGAGTGAGTTGACTGTTAGTTAGTTTTAGAATAGAAACTAAACAAACGGAGTGTAGCTGTGATTTTTCTTAAGAACTTTAGGAATTCATCATCACTCATGTCTCAGGTCGAAAAACAATTTTCCTTGCATTCTTAAAATAAACAATAGAAATCAAGTCGAAAACATGCTACACATTCAGTTTGTCCTCTGTGCATGACTAGGAGTTCGAGTTCTTTGAGAATATATTCGCGAAAAACTTTCTTCGCCATTTGAATCAACTGTTTTACATCGCATACTATAGTCAAACTGCTTACAAATACTCTTTGTTTGTTTTTTAGACGTTCGGTGTATTAAACCCAATTCAAATCAAGCACCTGCCGAATGGAATTCATCAAAGTAGAAATATACACATTTTTAGAATTGAACTAATTCGAAAATTTTTAGTGTTATTGAGCAAGTTAAATATTTGGGACTTGTAGCTAATATTGAAATTCGAAAAGCTGGCTTCGTTTATCGACGTGAATTCGCAAAGTTTTTAAGCCGGTACGAAATCATCTATGCTCTCGTGTTGTTTTTGCTATTCTATTAGAATCTCTTATCTAATTTAGTTATGCCATTTTAACATCTCAAACATGGCCTAAATGGAATGGAAAAGTAACCGATGGTATTATGCATATTGTTGATGCTATGCATCTGGATCGTCGGGAAGTACAATTTGGTAATACGAAAGTATTTATAAAATCACCGGAAAGTGTAAGTAAAAATTCCAATCTTATCTACATACGCAGTTCAATGTTGAATACTTTTAGTTGCATATACTTGAAGACATGCGTTTACGAAAATTTGACAACTATGCACGTGTTATTCAAAAAGCAATGAAACGTTATTGTGCAGTTCGAGTCTATCAAAAGCAACGAGAACAAGGTAATTCATCTTTAGTTCTTTTTTCTAATTTCGATTCTCACGTTTGTTTGTCTAGCTACTGATGTATTATACGGACGGAAAGAACGCAATGCTCGTTCACTTGACCGTGATTATGTTGGAGATTACTGTAATCTTCATCAGCGACCTGATTTACAACGATTAGTTAATCGTAGTGAGAAGACTGATTTCAGTTCGTATCTATACAAATATGATCGACGTTTTCGTCGACAAGGACGATATTTTATTAGTACAAATCAAGCCTTGTATATTATTGACGAACAATGTGTATGTAAAAATATCTTTTCATCGTACTTTACACAAAAAAAAATCATCTTTTCATTATTTGAACAGATTAAAGCTGGTAGTAGTGGAAAACCGAATAATTCAAATGCACAAAAAACTAAAGCACAGGAAGGTTATACATTAGAATATATCGTTAAACGACGCATTCCATTAGAAAATATAACTGAGATCAAATTGAGGTAAGAAAAAAAAAAGGTTTATTGATCATTTAAGAAACTTTGACTTTTTTCTATTTAGTGAATATCGTGATAATTTCTTTTTAATTTGTGTGAATAATGATTATGCAACATTATTGGAACTATCGAGTAAAACAGAAGTTCTTTCCGTTATTTCCAAGAATTATTTAAAGAAAATGGGTCGTGCATTACCGATTACATTTGGACAAGGGTAAGATCATTTACTTATTAGAAATTTAATTATTTACTTTTTCTTACAGATTTGATTATGGAGTTAAAAAACAAAGTTGGATTGGTGGTGGTTCACGTAGCGTTAAATTTGCTCATGGGCCTTCGGCAACTTCAACGGTAAATTTATTTCCAATTGGAATCAAACATCGAGGGGATTGTTTTGTTGAACTAGTTTTTAGTTATGATAGATACAGAAAGTCTCAATAATTCTCGAAATTCTTTTCTAAGCTAAATTTCTTCGAGTAAGGACGAGCTCATGCATGCTGGTTGATAGAACTTTTTTGCCCTCCATATGAAACACATATCAAAGTCATAATCGGTACAAAAATTAGTTTTAATTCTTCAGCTCAAAGTGGATTTTTGTGTTGATTTTGAAAACTATATTTCTTTGATCTTTAACTAAAATTCAGAAATAAACTAGAGATGATTCTAGAATCCTCTCGGTGATCATGTTTTCTTAACATACCTACCGAGATTTTTTATTCGATAGTTTGCTAGGCATCATACATCAACATGATGAGATCCTCTATTAATAATTTTATTTAATTTAGAATCAAATCGACCCCAGTAAACTACGAAAAGGTGTCGATATGCCACGTGATTATGATGTAAAAGCTAATCGCACTACAATGACTGTAACAATTTCAAGTGGTTTATCAAAACAATCAAGTAAAATATTCAAAAATTCGTTCTTAACTTGCAAGTTCTTTAAAATTCTATGACCTAGGACCGAATCAAGTCAACGCAGAAAAACCACGCGGACTACAACTTAAAGTTCAAAACTCGTTAGTATTGCTATCGTTCATTTTGCTACCATTCAACATTTAATTCCTATGTAGAACTTCTACTCGAAAGGTGTCAAATAAACCTCCACCACCAATTGGACCAAAACCGAAAAAACAAAAGAAAATTCGAGCTCTGTACGATTTTCAAGCGCGATCAGCCGACGAACTTACATTTTCTGCCGAAAATGAACTACTATTAATTGACAATAGCGGTAAGATATTCAATATCCTACCATCCGATTTCAGATAGCTCTATGACTTTCTTAGTCGAAGTTTTGATTCTAACAATAGATAACATTGAATAAAAGATCGAACCAACATTAATAACAAACGATTTAAGGTGTACTGATTCGTTTTTTTTTCTTTATATTTGTTAAGATGAGACCTGGTGGAAAGCTGAACTCAATGGAAAAACTGGTAAGTTATTCAGTTTCATCTTGAAGCTTTAATTGATTAAGTTTTCATTTTTTAGGAGTTGTACCTTCAAATTATGTCGAACTGATTGTCTGATTTTGTAATTGCAATTAAAAAATTATACCCACAGTGACTGTTAATTAATTTTTCATTAAAACTGTATTGAATTTGTATTGTTTGTTTTCTTTCATTTTATGCACTTTATTATCGAAACACGTTTTCTATTTCTTCAATGAGCTGGGTTGTCTGTTTTCGTCCTAAAAATTCACTTCTACATAGAATAATTTTGCCTTTATTTTTGTATATGATTGATAATACTCGCTTCATTATTTGTTCCAGTTATTATTATATATTCCATTTTTGATTTAAAAAACAAGAATTTATTTGACGTTTTTATCTTGTAGATGTCTGTAGTCAATTCCGAATCGGTAGTAACAAATACAGTAATCTCGAATAATTATTAAAAACTAAACGAAAACAAGACTTTTTTGTAATTTAGCGAACACCAGTTGTAATCATTAAGCCTATTCTTTATGGCAATACAGCAAAACATTTGGGCACTAAACGAGATTCTGATGGACACACACATAGATGGTCAGTGTATATTCGATCATTTAATAATGATGATCTATCGACATATGTTAGTAAAGTGCAATTTCGTTTGCATGAAACATATCCGAACCATGCAAGAAGTAAACTATTTCACCTGAGAAAGGCGTTCAAGACTATTTCTTCAATGAATTTTCTTTTCTTTCAGTGATTACACAAGCCCCATTTGAAGTAGAAGAAAGCGGTTGGGGTGAATTCGAAACGCAGATAACTATCTTTTTTGCTGATCCTAATGAAAAACCAGTAGGATTTGTTCGTCGAAATAGATTCTTTTATGGAATTTAGTTTATTATAGGTAGTATTTTATCATCATTTAAAATTATTCTCAACCGATCCCGATGTTGTTGCTGGTACAAAAGAATTAGTTAATGAACATTATGATGAATTAGTAAGTTTGTTGATAATCAGAAAATTAAACCAATACTTAATATTTGCACAAAGTAGCTAAGAGAAGGTCTCTATGAAGATTTTTAAAAACGATTTGAAAGAATGATTTTGTTTTTACTCCGTGCAAGATATTTGACAGAAGCCTGAAAACAAATAATTTGACCTTCGAATTTCGCCTCTAGATAAGGCCAGTAGAAACAAATATGCCTTTTTCAAGATATTCAATGTCATAGCAGAACTTGATAATGATAATCTCTTTTGTTTTTTAAAAAGAAAAATCAGCACCTCGAGAGAGATAGTCTTCTCGTAGAAAGTTCTGTGAGTATCAAAAAGCGATTTAAATAATATGTCATGCGAGTCCCTTTCTCTGAGTAGAAGTTTCATGAAAACGATTCTACGCAAGGGGGAAAAGACGGATTTGGGATTTTGAAAATCCAAAAAATCTGCTTTTCTCCCCTTGATCCTACGTCATCTATGAATACGAGTCCTTACCAAAAGATCCCACACTCTCATATGGGAATATAGAAACTCAAAATAGCTGGTCAGCTTGTCTATACTGCAAATATATATATATTAATATTTGCACTTAAATCACATTATCTCTCTGCGTTTATAGTTGTAAAACTGAATGCTTCAGTCAGATGCACCTTCATTCGTTTTACAAAATGCAAATAAACACTTAAGAAATTCTTTTTCTTCACAACAAGATTTATGTGGTAAACACAGCAAACATCCGACAGTTTGCTCATGTTATGTCCGAAAGAAATTAATGCATTCGAAAGGAGTGTTACTATTCGTTAATACTCACAAAAAGACTTCGTTACTTTAGCCTCACATCGATACAATTATGACCACACTATCGATTCTGAAAAATTCTTTTGTGAAATATAATCCCTTGTTTATCACTATCATTCTTCTTATTTTTACAGATTTTTCAAGAACCGTCCGATTTATTAGCTCGTCTACTCAATTGTGCTAAGTCACTTGCACCACCAACAGATGAAAATTTAGGAACTGCAAAAGAATGTAAGTTATACAAAAGAAGTTGTTGAAGAATATTTTCAAAAATAAATCATTTTAGATGCTATAAAAAAACACGATACAATAAATCGCGTAAAACAGGCTCGACAACGCGTTCGGAGCGAAATTCAAGATTTAACTGAACGTCTTCGCATTACTCAAGAAAATATAAAACGTGTTCGACAACGAACAATGGACAATAATTCTCATATGGGTACATTTAGTTTATCAGTACATGACAATATCAAACGCGAAATAGTCGATTAAAGTTGCAAGGGAAAGATCCCTGCGTATGATTTTGTTATATTTGTTGTATATAATGTAAAGGTATCAATCGTTATTCATCAATAAAAGAAAACGTTTAGAAAAAGAAAAGACGAAGTTCGCACGCAGCAGAAAGAATACAATAAAAAAAACTAATTATCGACACAATATATTGACATAGAGGTTGATCATAAAAGAGAGATAAAAAGAACGACGACATTTAATATAAGTCAGACATTCAATTCATCAATAATCGAAATGGCAACTGCAATCACTAGTGTTGCCTTACATTGGGCTGACATATTAGTGCTAGTTGCTTATTTTGGAATAGTTATTGGATTTGGCATTTGGGTAAGTTTACAGACATATAAATATCATGCACGAGTAAATTAAATCTTTTTCATACAAATGAAATGACCAAATTAAAGACCGGTCTGAATAAAATCTCGCCAGGGAAGGTCTCCAAGTGATACCGATCATTTGGATTCATATTGTACTCATAAGTAGGACCCAGTGAGACTAGAAAAAGGCCAAAAGATTTCGTGCCATTAGGCTTTTCTTTCAAAGTTATAACCGTTTTACTAAATTTTCGTCATTGGGCAAGGAATTTACAGAAAATTTGAATGAAAGATTTTCGAACTGAACTTTTTCCTAACAATAGGTCTTATCGATGATAGAAGGTTCCAAAAATTTCAGTGAAAATGGATGCATCATTCTCGAGATACTGCATATTGAAGAGAACTCAATTTTACGACATTTTTTTGGAAAATGGCCGTTTTCATCAATATGCAATATCTCAAAAATGATGCATCCGTTTTCACTGAAATTTTTGGAACCTTCTAACATCGATGAGACCTATTGTTAGGAAAAAATTCAGTTCGAAATTCCTTCATTCAGTTTTTCTGTAAATTCCTTATCCAAGCTCGAAAATTTAGTAAAACGGTTATAACTTTGAAAGAAAGGCCTAATGGCACGAAATCTTTTAGGCTTCTTCTAGTCTCATTGGGTCCTACTTATGAGCACAATATGAACCCGAAGGGTTCGTATCACTTGAAGACCTTCCCTTGTCAGTGATGCATTTTATTGTAATTTATGCTCATGATATACAATGCTCGTTTTCTAGTAACTTATTGAAAATACGTATTTTACGGCTCAAGTCAATGAGAAAATTGATATTTACTATTGCAAAAAATAACTTGAATTTGTCCGATAGTTTCTTTTTGATAGTACTCTAACTACAAGACGCTGAAAATTATGAATAGAATTATAATTACTTTTGCTTCTAATAACTAAATGTTACAGAGTACTGATTTTCTAACTGGTCTTTTTCAATGCATTGCCTTCTGTGTGAACCAGTTGATACAGAGAATGATTAGACAGATTATGTTTTCAATATGATAACTAGTTCACTTTGATCTGTTCAAATAATGGCATACGAGACACATCTCTCGAATTTAATTCATTACTAAATTCTTATATTTAGCTTACTCCTTCTACAAATATTTCAAAATCATAAAATGTATTTTCAATTGCAAACAACTCATATAATATGCTTTCCATGATGCGATCGCACGAATTTCAGATGTTCCTCGAGAAGAATCAAAGATAGGGAATGTTCTTGGGGAAAGTCATTATTAATTTCTATTTCAAATTTAATCGTAACAATAACATCTATATAAATGTAGGTTGCGACAGCAATACTATCGAGTTGTTTTATTGTTTGTTAAATTGTCTTCAAACAAATCAAAAATAAAATAGGCAACCTTATATTTTTGAGATAAGATAAGTGTTTTACGATGTACGATAATTTATCATAATAACTTGAAAAAAAGCAAATTTACAATTAAATAATTCCTTCAATTTCAAACATTAAAACGTGAATTTAAACTAGAAAATAGATTGCATCTTATCCATATATTTTAGTCATCATGCAAGAATCGTGGAAGTGTTGGTATGCATTGAATATTGTTACATGTCATTGTTCGAGTCGTTGTATGATTTATTTTTCTTGCAGGAGGCTATTTTCTAGCAGGTCGAAGTATGACATTTTTGCCGGTATGAAATGACGTGCGAATTTTAAGTTCACTGTTAAAACACTTATGTTTTAGGTTGGTGCATCATTATTTGCTAGCAATATTGGTAGTGGACATTTTATTGGACTTGCAGGTATTTGACTATTAGGAATTGTGAGGGGAAAATAGAGTGACACATCAAACTATTCTCAAAATAACTCCTACTATTAAGAATGAAGTAAATATACATTAGATAATCTATGTTTTATGTTATTCTTAATCATGGGTTTGGTTTTAAAAAAAAAAATTTTTTTAAACAGAAATGATCTGGCGAAATCTCATATGGTGACGTTTGCAAAACGTTGCTAAAAACAAATTGGAATATTTTATAAAGAAAAATGAGGAAACATCGGATTCGCATCCGATTGTTATGTGTACCGCAAAAACTGAGTCGATTTATATATGTTGTGAATAATTCTAAGAAAAAAATGTTTTTTGAAAAAATCCCTGTGCCCCCTAAGGAATGGTCTGGTCAATACTTACAATTTTTTCGATAACTCAGCCATTTCTTGACGGATCCTTCTCATCTTCGAACTCGACTGAGATATTAATGAGATCATTGTGTGTACAAAATTTCATGGCAATTGGATGAGACTTTCAAAGGTTATCGTGTTAATGGCCGGACACACTGACCGAATCTAGAGTGTACTCACTTTTTTTGAGTACACAAAAAAGGAATTCCTAAAATATCTTATACATTAACATCTCTATATAGAAGTGTTCAATATATATGTATATATATATATAATATTATCTCACACTAAATAGGTAGCGGAGCAAACAATGGTATTGGTGCAGCTAGTTTCGAATTGAACGTAGGTTAAAAATAAAAATTTCTAATCCAGACAAACATCGTCATAAACATTTTAGGCTACCTACGTCTTAATGATTCTTGGTTGGATATTTTTACCTGTTTATATCAAAGCTGATGTAAGCTTTAGAATGCAAAAACAATCTTAAATAGATTAATTAATTGCTGCTAAATAGGTTTTTACAATGCCAGAATTTTTAAAGAAACGATTTGGTGGCGATCGAATACGTTTTTATCTTACTATTCTTGCTTTATTACTTTCTATATTTACAAAAATATCTGTTGATCTCTATTCTGGTGCTATATTTCTTAATCAAGCACTTGGCTGGAATATTTATGTGTCAGTGATAAGTCTCGTTTTGCTTGCTGCTATATTTACTATTGGTGGTAATTTGAATAAATCGAACAAGATCTTTAGCTTCTAGTTTATTTCTTAGGTGGATTATCAGCTGTCATTTGGACAGATTTTATTCAAACCATTATTATGATTTTGTCGGCTTTTATTCTTATGATTATTTGTTACACTAAAGTCGGCGGCATACAATTAATTAAAGAATTATATCCGTATGCTGTTGCTGATACAGCGTTGTTTAGTAATTCAACTTGTGGTATACCACCGGCAGATTTTTTTAGTCTTATTCGACCACTGGACTCAGTCGATGGTCCACCATGGGTAGGAATTATTGGCATGACTTTATTAAGCGTATGGTATTGGTGTAGGTTCGTTATTGAATAAAAACAAAATGATGAATTAATTTTTTGTTCACCTTTTTAGCGATCAAGTCAGTATAAGTGGAGATTTCTAGGAAATTAATTTTTCAATGTTTAGGTTATTGTTCAACGAGCACTGGCAGCGAAAAATGTCACGCATGCTCGAGCTGGTTGTATCGTAGCTAGTTCTTTAAAATTTTTATCTATTTTTATTATGGTTATTCCTGGTATGGTTGCACGAATACTTTTCCAAGGTAAGTTATGGTTTATTTAGGAAAAAAACGTCGTCGATTAGAATATGTTCGTTTTTTCATAATAAGATAAAATTGGCTGTGCAACTCCTGAATCGTGTAAACAAATCTGTGATAATGAAGCATCGTGTACTGATATTGCCTATCCAATAATTGTTATTGAACTGATGCCAAATGGTTTACGCGGTCTTATGCTCGCTTGTATGATAGCGGCATTGATGTCATCATTAACATCAATATTTAATTCATCATCAACTATATTTACGATCGACATTTGGCAGCGCTTCCGTCCAAAAGCACCACAATGGGAACTACTGATCGTTGGAAGGTAAACAGTTAATATTTTAAAAAGGAGGAGTGAGAAATCATTTTTCTTTCCCGGCAAAGAATTTTTACATTAGTACTTGTGAGTATATCAATTCTTTGGATACCGATTATATCAGCAGCACAAGGTGGAAAATTATTTGATTATATTCAGTAATGACAATCAATTTATTGATAGAAGTAACGATGTTGAAAATTTCTGTTTGTTTTTTAGATCAGTAACAAGTTTTCTTGCACCACCTATTTGTTCTATCTATGTTCTAGCAATATTTTGGAAACGAATTAATGAAGAAGTTTGTATAATTCAAAGAGAAAAATTTAACTACCGTTTTTTTGTTTTTGAATTTATTTAGGGTGCTTTTTGGGGTTTAATATGTGGCTTAGTGATTGGTTTAATACGTTTTATATGGGAATATTCCTATTCAGTTCCACCTTGTTTATTATCAGCAACAGATCGACGTCCCGAAGCAATCAAATTTCATTTTCTATATTTTGCTTTACTACTTTTCACATTAACTTGTTTAGTTGCAGTCATTGTTAGTCTGTTAACTCGACCAATACCAGAACAATGCGTATGTTTGAACCAGTCAGAAGCTTATTTTTTCAATATTTCATTTTCAGTTACACGGTTTGAATTTTTTCGATTTGGATAATCCAATTGAACCAACGCCCATACCGACTAAACCAGGCCTATGGCATAAAGCAGATACAGCTTTTGAAGATAAACATATTCGGTCTCAATCATCTGTTCACCGACTATCGCGTGTTCAGTCTGCTGCTGCTATAAGAAAATTTGGACTGTTTTACCCAGGTATCAGAAGATTTGTTTTTCTTTTCATGCATAGTCTTTGTTCTTTTCTTTATATAGATCCGTCAAATAAAAGCATAAAATATTTTTCAAAAATTGCTTTAGCATGGATATGTGGCGTTGAACATCAAGGTGAAAATAATGGTGATGCAACAGTTGCACAAACAATGCCACCACTAGCACGGGAAAATCTATTTTGGAAACGTATCTGTAACATTAATGCTGTTTTGATATTAGCCTTCGCTAGTTTTCTTTGGGCATTTTTTACTGATTATCGTATTGATAAAATGTTTAAAAATACTTAAATATAAAGCTGTATCGACTGAACAATCAAATTTTAGTTTTACACTCCCATAAATTTGCTCATATAGAAGAAATTCTTCAAAACCATGATTTTAATTAATGGCTGTTCAAATAAAGAATAAAGTTATTATCTATAAATAGAAGATAAGTTAAGGGTAAGATGTAAATCTTCTCTTGGTAATCACCCCAAAACGAGACTTTTACGATCCTAATGTGATGTTATCGTTGATGTTAATCAAATGTTATTGTTGGGGTTTCTTTCAACGTAATTGGCATTCAATGATAGAGTGATTTTATCTCTATGGTCTATTTTAATTTGAAATTAATTTTCTGTTTTTGATTTATTTACGTATGAAAACAGTTTTCTTTATATTGAATTATTTTACAAAAAAATAAATGAAAGAGAAAGAAAAAGAAGGTGAATCGATAATTGGGCTTTTTTCTGCTTATGTTTTACGACGAGTTGAATGACGATAGGCAATAACTTGAATATATTTATCGGATTTGATTTCTTTTCGTGTAGTATTATCACCATAGGATTGAGCTTTTGGATCAACAACTATGATTTTTCTATCACGTTTACTTTTGAACAATAAACCTTCGAGATGATTTGTTATCAATTGAAAATTAGGTGTATTATTTGAACAACAGGTTTGATTTTCCCAATTATAATAACTGAAAATAAATATCATATTTTGTATATTTTTTTCCTACATATGAAACTTTGTTTTCGCATCAGTTAGAGAATAGTCCTGGCGTATCATCAATTGAAAATAGTTCATTTATTTACCTAAGGTCACTTGGTTTAGGCAATAATTTTTTCTTTCCAGCAAAATATACTTCAAAATCTTCAGATTTCAATCGATGTGCATAATCTATATAACCAGATATTTCTTGTTGTCGAGAATTTCGATCACGAATAAAAATAATTGTCTACAATAGAAATGTAATTCATCATATAGGGCAGGTTGAATCAAATAACTTACTGTCATTTTTCCTGTTCGATTAGCTTCTTCAGTATCAGCAAGTTCTCGTAACAATGGCTCAGTTATTTCTTTATTTGCACTGGCTAATTTACTTTAAAAATAAAAATAAATGCTAATAGGAAATAGATTTAAAATTGTGTATAGTATCGAATCGCACAATTTTATCTTTACAACCAGATCAATTTTACATATACGTACAAAAAATGCTATGGGATGATAAATACTCTCTAATAACTGATCTTGCAAAATGAATATAGATTTGATGTTAAATTACTCATCATTTTAATGAATATATGTTTTCTTAAATGAAACTTACGGTGCTTGAATGCGTCTCGAAAGAAGTAGTTGCTCAGCGGCTGCTTTTCGAGAATAAAATTCTTCTCGTTTAATTACTTCTCCACTACCACGGTAGCCAAGCTCAACAAGTTGTCGAGCTAATTCTTCATCCTAATATTCAAAAAAATAGATCTATGATTGAGGCATGCCTATTGAACGTTTTATTTCATACCTCGAGATAACTAAGATCTAAACGAGTAACTTGTGAATCAAGAAATTCTTCATATGTAGCATATTTCATCACAACATCAACAGCTGCTGGCGAGTCCTCTTCCATCATTATGTAGAATTTAATTTAATAAACTAAATAATGAAGTTGATCTAAAACAAAACGATTTTTTAAAATGTAATTATCTCTGAAGTTGACAAAAAACCAAATGTGCTCTAGTGGTGTCAGTGTATTAGTCATCTTGTAGAAGAAAAGTATCTTCGCGACGACCATTATTTTTCATTAAGATTAATAAAACAGTGTTCTAGTGATACATCATGTGCAAAAATAGATTCTATTGATGATTCACAAGAAAACATGGATCTGTTGATGAATGTCAGAAAAGTTTTACTTCTTGTGTGATAGTTCGGAACCACAACATTTTCAGTGATGTTACTATGACGATTACTATAGGAATGAGTATAAGTTAAACATTTTAATTCAAGAAAATCATTAGTTTTTACTAGTTTAAACACAAAAAATAAATATGGAAAATATCGTAATATGTTTAATAGAAATAAAGCGTCCTCTGTCTCCTAATTGCGTCACTGGTCAATCGTTCAAAATGAATACATCACAAAATGCATTGCTGTGTTACAATACAAAAGATCATGTTTATGTGAACGACAAATATCGCTTCTATTATTTTCTTTTTTTTGTCATATTTTATACCTGGAATTAATATTCTTCTTTATGATCTTTTATTTCAAGACTTATTTGATTGTGTTTGCCGTCATATACTAATCAGGTCTTAGTGCCTATCCCAACCCAATAATCCCCTCTTGTTTATTAAAATAAAATGACATCGGCCGATGATGATTATGGTCAAGCATCAAATAATAACAATCACAACAGTATTAGTATAACAAGTGGAAATCAACATAACAATACTAATCGACGTATGAATAGCAATAACACTAATCCTTATTCATCGTCGGCCGGTATTGAGATACGTGTACTGATGACTTCTCGAGATGCTGGAGCTGTTATTGGTAAGTATAAGATAAATAAGTTGATTAACTTTGGCGTCTGTTTTCTTAAGGTAAAGGAGGTTCATCAATACAAAAGCTTCGTGCTGATCATCCGCGCACAATAATTCAAGTACCAGATTGTGCATCACCTGAACGTGTATTAATAATAAATGGTGAACAAGATCAATGTTTTGGTGCTTTACAACAGATTATTCCAGCTTTAACTGACAGTTCTCGTCTTTCATCGTTCAATCGACGACGTAATCTAAATGCAGGGGGAGAAAATTCGGACCAAACTCAATCAAATAATGATATCCAAACAACAGGTGATATACCATCGGAAATTCGCATACTTGTTTATCAAATCTATTGCGGAGCAATTATTGGTAAAGGTGGACAACACGTGAAAGAATTACGACAGACCTATAATCTTGATATAAAAGTATTTTCTCTATGTTGTCCACTAAGTCATGAGAGAGTGATTTCATTACGTGGAAAAATAGATGATATTATCGAATGCATTAAAGTATGATTAAAACTCTATCGTTTATGCTTTATATTGTTGGTGTTGTTTTTTTAAGCACATCTATTCTTTGATGAGTTCATCATCACAACAGCCAAGAGGTGCACTAATGGTTCAATATGATCCACATAATTTTGATATTTATACCGTGAATGAATATGGTAAGATTCATTTTGCTTCTGTGAACAAAAAAAATGAAATATCAATATTTATTTTAGGTGGCTTCCCACCTGCGGGTATTGATAATCGTACTGGATATAATCCACGAGGGCCATTTTCACCAGGTGGACCACGTGGTGGTATGTATCCTATTCAACCATTACCTCCACTTGTTGATGTACCATTTGGTGGTGGGCCAGGTCTCGGTGGTCGATGTCCCAATCCTGTTTTACTTACATCAACACGTGTAAGTTGTTAAAAAATAGCGTTTTTTTTAAATTAAATTCTATTTCTTTGATGTAGGTCACTCTACCAAATGAACTTGTGGGCGCAATTATTGGCCCACGCGGTGCAAAAATTCAACAAATACGTCAGGCAACGAATGCAAATATTATCATTGACGATCAACCAATTCCAACGGGTACTGGTGGTGGCGATCGAATAATAACAATTGAAGGAACACCAGAACAGATTAGTCGTGCACAAGCGCTTCTGCAACAAGCAGTTCGCCAATCAGGTCTTTGGCGTCCATGATTCACATCATGACTGTTTTTTTACACTCACACATGCACTTAATTTTTAAAAATTGTTTTTTTCTCATCAGTTTTCTTTTGTTTGTTTCTATATGTGTGTGTGTGCGTATTGCTTTTGTTTTGGTTCTTATCTTTATTCTTGTATACAGTAGGACGTTGATCGATATGACGTTACATTTGTCTCGTGTGTGTTTCTTTTTCTTCTCTCAGTTTTATATAGAATTTCACTCAGATTCATAACAAAATGATTGTTTTTGTTTTTCCTATGATCGTTTACGTACCGATAAAACAAAAATAGGATAGATATGGTTTTATGAGAATAAGTTTAAGAACTGTTCAAGAGAAAGAAAACAAACGAATATGAGAGAAAATAGTTTATCTTATGAATTCTTTTATGAATGTTTAAATATTCTATTTGTATTATTTTACAAATTAATTGTATCGTTAAATATTATGATGAAATTCGTCTAAATAATAATATGGTTAAGGGACTTAATAATATGCATATATTCATTGATCATACTGATCGAACGACAAATTCGTATTTATGTACGTGTATGTATACTTGTCACTAAGGAATCCAAAAAACTATCGTAATTACATGTGGTATTATTTATAAATAACTGATATTCGAGACGTATTTTAAAATCTAATCATCAAAATGTAAAATTCCATTTATTATTCTCATTTTCTTTTCCTATTAAATTCAATCTGATAACATAAATGAGAAAAAAAAGAAGTGATTGAAAATATACGAGATAAGTTTTTTTTGGAACTATTTAAAACAAACTAAGAACATGAAAAATATACATGTATGATCTAATATTCAACAACACAATCTCACAAGTTAATCCATCGAATCTATTCTGTAACTTAGCTGCTGTAGAATATTCAGAAGAAACATTTTTTGATTGCAAGTGATAAGAACGTGATATTCTACTATCGAATTTCGGCGTTGCAATTCATGTACAAGGTAGGCGTATTGTTTAGAAAAGCCGCATATTTATGCAACGCTATTGTTTTAGCAAAAACATATTGCTTTTTTGTCTACCGTACTTAGATATGTTGTTGAAGGGCAAAAATAACCGCAACTAATTTGTTTGCTTGGCAGTAGGTAGCATTACGAAGTAAGAAAAGCGAGCTGTCGTTGGTGTGCCGTTGCGCTTACGCTTCATTGAGCAATGACTGCTGAATCATATTAATGATAAATGATGTTAACCATTGAGTCTCAATACGTCGGTAGAATGAAATAAATTGTAGCCCTTTTCGATCGAAGACGCGTACAGTCTGCTTATGAAATGAATAAATGTAGTACGGCTAGTCCAAATGTAAAGCTGTGGCATTTTGACAAGCTGTCTTGCAATTATCTCGAAAGGCATAAGAGCGAACAAGGTCATTCAAATATCATTCGACGCAGCTCATCATAATCTATTTATGTTGCAAAAATGACCTAGTTTGACTAAAATCGCGCATTTCTAGCAAGGTTTTATCATCGTGCAACACTGACAAAAAAGGACCCTTTTCTCTAGGGATGCTTATAAAACTCTAATTTTTTCGTCAAATTTTTTCTTCAAATTAAACGCTTATGGTACCAGTTTTGTAGAGAATTGAATGGGCTTTCAAGCAGTAAAAAATAACTTTTTCTAAACTATATTTTCGCTCAGATAAAAAATGCAAAAAACAATCGTAACGCGGTGACACTCTTTTTTGTCTAGCAAATTTGAAGCACTTAACATGCTGAAAAATAGTTATTGTTAATATATATATTGATCGCTGCCGTACATATATCCTTCTGTTAAAAAAAATCAAATTGCTACATTGAAATAGGAGCTCGACAATAGTACAGTAAGTTAGAAACTGTACAAGAGCTTAGAAGCTGTCCTGAGGAATGAGAGTTAAAAATAAACAGGCCATTTTGTAGAGAATCAAATTCTGCGTCGAGTGGTGTCTTACTCTGCATTTATTTTTAGATTTCTTGGTTAGAAAATTGAAAATACGATTTTTGAAAACTTTAGAGCGCGGTTTTCGATGCCAAAACTCGATTTTTTTAGAAAAAACTGTCCAAATTCATAATCAGCGTAAAAAACTGTACCATAAAAGATACGCGCAGATCTGTCAATGTCGAAAAAAACATTTTTTAAAACTTGATCAACACAGTAGCGCGTCACGTGGACAAGCTGAATACTGAAGCGAAAACGTTCTAATTCGGGTTTCGATCTATGTGCTTCAAAATTCATATAGAATTTAACTTCCTTTGTATCTGGAGAACATTCGAAAAGTTACTTTTGATATACAGCACGAATTAAAAGCATACTATTCTATCTCTATAAAACAAGTATTTGGAGATTTTCCAGATATGAAATTTATGTCCTCAAAGTTTCTTCAAAAGCAGAAACCAAGAATAGCAGATTTTCATGTGCCTAGTCAGTTGAAATCATAAGTTTATTTCAAATTTAGTTTTAATGATAGATTAGCGAAAGCGAATATACATCTAAATAACAAAGTTCCTATTCATTCCATCGGAAGCATGTTCTTATTTATCTTAAATCTATCAAATGTTTTCTAAAACACATTCCATCACGTCTTATTTATTCACTGAGATATGATTGTATATGGGGGATTTGTCTTACTCAGTCGCATTTATTCACGCCGGCATATAAATTGATTCGCAGAGAAAAAAAACATTTCTGTATAGCATTTCTCTTTTTTTTGCTTCGCATCACGAAATTTAATTGATAATTTCGAGAAACTTGTATTCGGCTCTGTTTGTTTTTTTTTAACATTATTTTTTAGCTAATTGGACTGCAGTTTTGTGACAAGTGGAGAACGCACTTGATTAATGTAACCAATCATTATGACTATATACAAAAAGTGTAAAACAAACATTAACATGTAAGATATATCTCCTTCAAAATATTGTCCTTCATGCTTGGTTGCGTATTTTTAACTAGACTGACAATTTAACCACATTTTCATTGCTCTAATTTGCCACAATACAGAGTTACAGTTGTATCGGTAACCACCAGCAGATAACAAGAAGAAAAACAAAAATAAGATAGAAGACGATTCGAATTATTTTTGGCCTTTTGTTTTTAAAATACTATTCTAAAATCATGTTTAATCGCCTCACTTCACTATTGATAATAGCATGTTCTATTATTCATTTTACACAATCCACTTTTATATTTAACATAACAAATCCTAATAAACTTTTATGTTATTCATGTAAAGGCAACGATTGTGAAAAGATTACAAATAGCAATGATCATATGATCCTGTGCAATAGACGAACACAATTATGTTGGGTAAAATTTTATTATATGAATGTATAACAAAAGAACTTTTTCTCTCTGTTTATTGGAAGGCTGGTTTCCTCAATCAAAAACCATATCGAACATGTGCAAATCGTTATTGTACGCCAAGTAGTATATCACTTGATAGTGATGTTAGTAATGAACTTTGTTGTCGGTCAAATTTATGCAACTCTATTCCACGTAAATGAAAAATAAATGTACTTTGACTAGATGTCGTAATTATATTTTTATTTCCTGTAATAGTTTCTTGGTCACCAGATGATGAATCTGTGAAAAATTCCACTTCTCCTACGAAATCTTTGATTGATGGTAGTGCGGCAGCAGCTAACCAATCTACAACATCAAAAACAACACTAGCCGCAGCAATAATAGCAAAAACTTCCCCAACGCCAGCAGTCTATGTTGTAAATGAAATAGTAAATGAAGAAAGCAGAATACTAGCGAATGGAGATGCCACTTATGAACAGGATGATGGAACATCAGTGCATAAATTTAATCCAAAAGAAAGCGATCCATTAAGCTATAATGTTAATTGGGAACGTGTACCCTACAATACAGACTTCAGCAATCGTGTTGTATCGATGAGTAAACTTGCAATTTTGATTATGCCAATTTTGCTAGTTTTATTATTTTAATTAAATAATTATTACTTTATGATTCTTATGTCTGTAGTGCGATAATAGAAAAGATATTGACTATGGATACTAGGAATCATGATTTATTTTTAGAACAAAATTTTATAAAGAAGAAATAAACTCAAAGAGATAATTTTAATATTAAAATTGATGAAAGAACTTTTGGAACCGAGAAAGTGATGTGTACTTTTGCCGATCTTCACTTATCAAGTTAGAGACGCTAGAATATCGAATTGTAGCCATTAATGTGCTTAAAAAAAGAGATTCTCCGTAGGTAGAATTGAATACGACAGATGCTCGGTGATGCAATGCTTGTTAAAGAATATGACTCATTATGATTGATCGAATGGCAAGAATCTCAAATGAATATTATTGTTGAAATTTGAGTATATTACCTCACGAGTTTTGTCTGTTGAAATAAGCAATTCATCATCTGAAGATCTTATTACATGACTTAACATCAATAAAAAACATCTGCATGTTCAAAATTCTTGACTAAATGCCTCCTTTTTTTTATAATCGCGTACAAAGTCAGCTTTGTCTTTGCAACGATCAAAGTGAATGTCTATTCACCAAGTTCACCATTATTCAAACGTAGATACTAGGACTATTGGTATTATCTTGTTTATATTATGATAGTACCATGGGCACCTTGGAAAAAACAATATTCTGTTATCTGACTGAAATTCAATTATGCTCAGTCATTCTCAAATATAGAGTTTAATGAGGAGGATTTTGTTTTCCTGGAACTTTCTATTCTATGATAGGGAGAGCGCTACTTAACGGAGTTTCTCTGTGGAAACCTACACGAAGATAAAATAGGTTGTGGTCAACAAAATAAATAAAAACCAAGCCACTATTGGATAGATTAAATATTTTGCACTAAGCTTTTTCTTAACTACGAATTGCTTGTTACGACTTAATGACAAAGATGTATGAAGATTAGTTTTAGTTATTTGCTGTTGTATTGATGATGATGCTGATAGTAATTTATCCATAGAAGTCCTTATGTGCGAGTAAATTTTAAAATTTTGTTTTCAGATATTTAAAGAATGATTATTCGATTGTTTGTCAAGAGTAGTTAGTCCCATTAGAGATCATTTTAATTCATTTGTTACTAAGGAAACGTATAGATGTCAGGCTTCAAAAATCTAAAGTGAGCCTTACAAAATATTCCCGTTTGAGATATTGATAGAAAATGATGTTATAAAGAAAAATTGAAATTTTAAAAATGTTAAACCGACGATCAAAGAGGATGTTACTATGGTAATAAACTCCTAAATGAATGATAAATTCTATGGAGAGCGGCTTTGTGGCTTACGAAGAGAGAGAGAAAAAGTGTATAAGCGAGTGGACAGCAGAAATATGATTTGCTAGTTGTTAATTTGATCCAATTAAAAATCTTTTCAATATTTCTAATAAAGTTCTTATTCGAAAAATTGAAAACAAGTATTTTCTTACGACTCTTTTTCAAGAGTTGAATCAAACAAAGTGCTTTCTTTTCTGTTAATGTAAACAGCACTTGTCTATTAGATTCATTTTTTTCAGAGCTATGGAAATTGAACCAAACGATCGTGGAAGCCCTGACGGTGGTCATTCGGAATCCAATTCATCAGCTTCAATGTCGCACGATTCAGCATTGACGTTGACACCACCTTTACAAGATTGTGATTTTGATAATGACGATGATGATAATACCGAGGATACTATCGTACCATCTACAGCTCGTTCGCGAAGTATCGAAGGTCGTACAAGCCGGTTGAACTCATCAACACAACCGTTTAGTACGGCTGCAACAAGTGTCGATCGGTTAAAACATGGTATCCGTTATATAAGCGATGGTTTCATTCGAAAAATTAGCAAACAAAGCAATCTTACTCGTATTAATTCATTGAATTTTAGTAATTTACGTGATAAAAAAATTCGCTATATAGAAAATCTTCAAGCATTAACGAATCTAGAAAATCTTAATCTTTCAAATAATCTTATTGAAAAAATTGATGGTTTAAAAACATTAAAAAAACTGAAACATTTATCATTGGCAAATAATTTTATTAATTCAGTAACCAATCTTGAAGATTTGTCTCGATTAGAAACTCTTGATTTCAACCAAAATCAAATACATACTATTCCGATTTGGTTTGGAAAAAAATTAGCAGCGTTAAAAGCTTTAAATCTATCAAATAATCAAATATCATCATTCGATCAAATAGCACGTTTACGTACATTATATGAGCTACGTGAACTTCATCTTCAAGGAAATCCTATTGAACACAGTGAACATTATCGTTTACTTGTGATATCATACATACCGAGTTTACAAATACTGGATGGTATTGATATTAACGAAGATGAACGAAAACAAGCAAAAGAACAGTATGTATGAATTATAAATTCAATTTTATGGTAAAAATTCGTTTGTGTTTAGGTTTATTCAACAAGAAGTACAAAATTTACTGCATGAACTTGAACGACGAGACAATGAATGCCGACGTTTGAATACTCAAGCAACAAACAGTGAGCAAAAATTAGAAGTAACAAGCGATAAACTTCAATCGTTGGAAAGTAAAAGTGTGATTCAAGCAAAAGAAATTAAAGTGAGATACGAAAATATATGTTTTGTTTGATTATCGAATATGAAACAAAAACGAAGGACTTTTAGCTCAATGGTTGTTTCTAAATAATAGAATTGCGAACGGCAGATCTGTAATATTATTTCAGATTCCTGTAAATATTATCAATAACCTTATTTATATGATTTTTTTGAATTCTATTTTTCTATTATTTGAATGAATACTAATAAGGTAATTTACATAACTAACAATACAAACATTGAAAGAGTTATTTTAATCGTGTGAAAAACAATTTTTTCCCTCAGTATTCAATTAGCAAACGAAAATTCCGAGATGTAAACATATGTTTCGTATGACACACTTCGCCGGTTGAATAAAAACTTCATAAATAATGGAGAGAGAGAGAGAGAGAATTTTATTATTATTATCATTATTCAGATGTACGACCTTTGTTTGCTTAATTAAAAGCGTTCAACCCACTGTGTATAAAGTCCCTGAGACTACGAGTGATACAATTTGGAGCCGACACAGTTTGCTTATTGTTAGGCTTTACTACATTCAATTGAAACTCTTCAATACTCAAGACAAATAGAACGTCTCCGCGTTAAGATATTTACTTTTTAATAATCATCGTTATAGGGGTTCATTTGTCCTTTCGCAAACTTTCTCATCACTTCAAAGGATATATATATATATATATATCGACAAAAAAAAATAACTCAAGAGAAAAAGCTACCGCCAAAGCAAACCGAAACAATCTGTTTGGCACTCTACCACGACCCCATCGAATGAAAATAATTGCAGTTCATAAGTCATTCAAGTATTTGAAATACTATGTCACCAGCAAATCCTTGCATTGATAGGTATTCATAAATCTCTAAATGGTCTCTAGTAGACTGAATAGTTCCGATGTTTACTCTCATAACAATCTGCATAAACAGTAGTTCGTATTGAAAATGGTTTCAAGTGGTTGAACCTAAAAAATCCTTTTATCGGTGCTATTGTTCATTGCCTTGGTGTTTTCAAGTGATCTAGCATTTCTATCGAAACCAACGAGACGTTTCACAAAATGGAAAACTCCTCAAATCAGATAAATTCTTATCTTGCTATGTTAATATTCATTTTCAAACACAAAACTCAGAGAATGAAGACGTTTTCTTTCTATATTCTAAAAAGCGGCCAAAAATCATCATTGATATGTCAATGATCAGAAAATATTTGGTAATTTAAATTCAATATGATAATTTAGCATTTTTTACTATATTCTTCTATAAATCTTATACTTGATTGAAGCAAATTCTTACATATATGTATATACTGATATTGATTTTTTTGTCTTCGTTGATTCAAATGATTCCTATTTATAGAATTTTTTTCTTGGCTTTTGTTTTTCTTATAACAAAACATTTATTTTCTAGGCGTTACAAGAACGATTGGCTAATAGTGAAGAACTTCTTCAACGTAAAACATCTTTACTTCATCAAGCATGTGAAAAACAATGTAAACTAGAACAAGAATTAGCTTTTTATAAGATCGATTTAAAATTCGATAGACTTGGTACGAATTTTTTCTTGCGTTTTTTGTCTTCTTTTGATGAATAGTATTCGGCATCATTTTCTTGTTTAGATTTTTCTAAACATTTGGGTACAAAAAGTAATTTAAACCAAAGGATTGCCAATGATAGTATTTTTTCAACCATTAAATTTAATAATAATTTTATAGAAGATGGCGAAGAAACAAAATCGACTATGGCCGATGAACAACACAGATATGATAGGTAATTAAAACCAAAAAAGCAAATTCATTCATACATTTGTTTTTCCTAGTAAAAATCTATGGCAAACTACCGAAGTAAAACGAATATTAGGTAGTGCTTTCTATGGAAAATTTCATCGTGTCGGTAGGATAAATTTAGATTTTTCGTGTTTCAATTAATCTCTAATTTCTTTTGTGCCTTTTTTCTTAATAAAACAGAGGATGAAACAATTTACAATGAAAAACTATTAAAATTAGCTTTTAACATGAGTGAACTAACATTTCTACAAGCTAAACAACAAGCTATAGAAGAACGTTTGCAAGTTGCAACGCAAAAGAAAGAATCTCATGCTGTAACTGAAGTATGACAATTTTCGATCAAATTAAAATCTTTAATAATTGTTGTTTTCTATTTAAAAAAAAAGCATCTTTCGGATGATCTCGATAGTTTACAAAATGAAATGATGAATAAAATAACCGATGTGCAAGAACTTAAACTTGTTCTCAATGGTCTTCGTGTCGACGAAGGATATGGATTAGGCGCTGATTTAGAACAAGTTAATATTGAATTGAAATTAGACGAAATTGTGCGACAACATGTTGTTAAATTAAAAGAACAAGCAATCACTCAACCACAAGAACATGATGTTGTCCATGAGTCGACATTTGAACAAGCACTTACTGAAGCTATTTCATCGGCAGGTATGAAAATAATTCGCTTTCTTTTTATGTTTCTTGCTTTCTTTAAATTTTCATCTGGTATTTTTTTTTCTCGCTATGTTTATATTCAAAACACTCTTTGATAATTGATTTTTTTAATATGTGATTCGACGTTTGACGACTATACATTTCATTTCTACTATTAACAAACATACAGAACGATAGCGGTTGGCTTTTTTTATATTGCGACGTGCATGCAATGTCAATGCCATTGTTTAATCGAATGTGTGATTTTTATCGTGCAATCCAATTCTACGTTACATGTTTCTTCATCTGTCTTATCTGATCATATAGCAATGATGACCCTTCTCTTTTTTCCTTTTTTGTTACACCTCGATACCAAAGTTCAATTAATAGGGTTATACTTTATAACTGTATAACATTCGAAATATTGTTAGTAGGCTCTGTAGAACAAAGAAAAAAGAAGAGAATAGACGAAAGGAAGAACACTGAAATTGGTGTGCAAATCAAGGTTTTCCTTTTTTTCGTTCTTCTATTTTAAGAATATAGAATCATACGTATATTCAGATGTGTATATGATTGATTAAAAATAGTTGATTTTTATTTAATGATTATCGAAATTATGAATCGTTATGTACATTGTTATTTTAGGTGTGTCACCGTATGATCGATGTAGTGTAACATCAACGCCATCTCGTGTACAATTATTTGAACATATTTCGCCTAGCAATGTTGAGCAAATTCGTACAAAAGAAATAAGTGAGCGAGAAGCACAAACTAAAGTAATCGAATTACAAATAGCCCTAGAACGTGAACAAAATCAAGCTCGTGAACACATTAATCAAATTGAAGATATGGCCGAACGAGAAAAACAGCGAATATTAAAACATCTCGAAGATGAAAAGCGGTTTACACGCGATATTATTGTTAAATCTGAAACAATGATTGATCAACTTAAACGTGAATTAAGTTCTGAACGTAAACGTAAGACTACTGAACAAAAAACGCACGATGCATTAAGAGATATTTATAAAAAGATTACACCAAATCAAGGTAGAAATTCATCGAAATCAAATGCAAATGATGGAAATACAAAAGATGACGACGACGACGACGATGATGATGAAGATGATAATGAAACACGTGTCGATGGTGAGACAACTGTATGTCATAGAGATGATCCATTCTTAGCATCGACACCACGCGATCGTTCTCTATTAGCCGGACGAAATGCAAGTTCAGATTCACATGCACTTCGACGTCAATTTGAAGATCAACTACATGATGACAATGATGTATCATTGTTAAACAATCAAACGTCAAAAGCAACATTTTATTCATGTTTACCACCAACACCTAAACGGCGGACGAATACTAAAGATCATTCCAATGAATTATCATCATCATTCGAGAGAATGCCTCAAACAATTATAAAATTTGATTCAACATCGAATGGTGGTGCAGGTAATTTGAATATTCAATTATCGACATGAGCACTATCGTAACTATACAATAAAAAGTTCTGCATTTGCATTGATTGAAAAAAAACCATAGGAATGTTCTCATTGGCTCATAGACATTGCAACATAAGTAATTAGTTCAGCCAAAGAAGAGGAAAAAAGAAACTTTAATAGGATATTTTCTACCTGTATGTTAAAATTCATTTAAATTAATATTTTCAGCTTCCGCTTTGTTTTAAGGGCCTCTTTTGGGACACTTTTAGGAGATTTTAACTGCAGATAGATTGTGTTAAAAGAAATGAAAAATTACCTCTAGTCAATATTCAATCTACAATGACTCGAAGCTATTTTGACAGATGTGAAACTCTGTTTTACTTGTTTTCTTTTCTTAGTTTCTATTTCCCTTGATTTCAATGAAAACATCAGTCCGGCGAGCGGCTTCAAGCGTAGATGACTTTTCTTTTTCAAGGGTAACTTTTTCTGTAAACTCCAGAACACGCAAAAACACTCTAAACCTTTCTAGTTGAAGTAAATGAAAATTTCAGTTCGATCAAATTTACTGCAGTCAATAAACGAGCGCAGTATTCAACTTGCTTTGTGAAAGAAGTCATTTTTTGATAAGAAGAAAAAAGTTTCTCGTCTTTAAATTTTTGAATATTTCCAGTAGGCAAAGCAATATTTCAAAAATTTTTATTCAGGAAACGTAAGCACTTTTCAGCTTGTCGTACGTGTTAGTTTCTATCAATTATTTTGACGTGTTCTCTGGACATATCCATTTTATTAACAACAACAACAAAATTCAAATCGGACAGATATATACGTAAACTCTAAAAATCTATCTTTCAATATTTATGTAGATATTCGATAATCAATGCTATTTTCTATCTTCAGTTGAAAATGCTAGACACATATTATTTTATATAAACTATGTTCTTTTTCCATGATAAAATAGACACGAATACATCTTATAAAAATGTACGTACAACATTAATTGAATTTCTTTTTTTGGAACCAGAAGAAAAAAAAAGTTGCTATATATTGCTTTGCTCATGCTAATGATAAAAAAAGAACAGCTATGAACTATATGAAATTATTTCCTATGAAAATTGTCTTTTTCTCATTTACTTTCAATAGATGATGAAGAACATGATTTACTCTATCGTCTTCATGGTTTCGTTAAAACTGGTCAAACATATATGTCCGGTTTAGGTGATCTTGCACGTACAACTGTCAACGATTCAGGTTATTCGAGTCAACAAACAGGACGAGAACATAATCTCGAAAACGTCAAATTAGAAACTCTTCTATCAACGAAACAATTTAGTGCTTACAATAAATGTGTAATTGATCCCGAACAATTCAATCGTGAATATACAGTTGGTGTTATTACAGCACATACTGATCATCATCATCATCATCATCATCAACAACAACAACAACAACAACAACAACAACGTTACTTTGATCAATCAAAAGTTGGCAACGTAACTTTATATCCAACACCAGAAGGCTATATGCTTGGACCACATTCCGTCACGGTTTCCCAGGAAACATTCCCTGTCTATGCTAATGTATCTCCGACACAATCATTAACGCATACGGACTCGCAATTTTTTGCATGTGTTAATATTCCACCTGATGGTCTTTCATCGAATCGTCCAATGGGAACATCACGACATAATCCAGATGAGGTACGATTACAAGGCCCTGTTATATTTCGTCAAGATACAGTATTGAAATCTGAAAATGTTTCTCCTGTATCAGTTAAAATTCGTAGTTTAAAATTTCCTCAAGTTGAAAAGGGTACGATGACTGACCAGGATTCGCTTCGTCGTGAAATCGATCGAACAACAAACGAAATCGAATTTTTAAAATTAAAACTTCAAAATAGAGAAAATGAAATGCCACACGATGAACAACTACATTTATTAAGAGATACATTAGAACAACAAACGCGTGGTAAATATTTTTAGTTCTTAATCGATTGATTCTTTTTTATTTCATTTTTTTGCATTTTAGATATTGAACGTGTCAGAACTATTCATCAAGATTTAATAAATAGTGGTCGCGATAATGAAGCAAATATATTTGATTTATCAGATCAAATTCAACGTATACAACGAAATGTACATGGACATCTGCGTCCGACTCTCCTACATCTAGTAGATGATTCATCACGAATAAATTCAGCAAAATTAATACCATTAACAAATGATGATAATTGGATATGTACCGTTCCTCAACATGCTGATCTTGAACAAATAATTGCTGAGCTTGAAGCTAAAATGGATGAACAACGACGAGAATTAGCTGATGTTAAACACGAAAATCGTCGATTGGAACGGGCTCTAGTGAAAAAATCTATTAAATTCGATGCACTCGATTTAGCTGCCGGACGTAAACGATCACGATCAATTGCAGATTCCAGTGAAACAGATAGCCTTCAGGTAAACACGATTTTCCTATACACGATAAGTTTTAACACTCGGGGATTTGTTAAGGATGATATTTTTACATTGGAAACTCAACTTGTTCGTAAACAACGTGACATTGCACTTGCACAAGAACAATTAAGACAAATGACATCATTATCACAAAGTGTAAGTCAACGGTTAAACGAAAAAATATTCGTTATATTAGATTTTCTTTTTAATTAGGTTATTCATGATCTAAAAACGGCTCGTCAAAAACATACAATAACTAAACGTGAAACAAAAGGACTTGAACAAAAGATTGAATATTTAACTCGTAAATTATATAAATTCACAACTGATACGAAAAAAGCAGAAGAAGATCATGCCAAAGCAACAGCTAATCTTCAATTGATGAATAAAGAAAATACGAAATTAGAAAAGGTTCTATCTACTAATTTTCTTTTTCAGTAATTTATGGATATTTTTCTCTGCAGGTAGTCGATGACAAACGAGCGCTATCAATTGTTCTTGATGAGCAACTTCGTTCTTCATTAAATTCATTTAGTTCTCTACTTAATTCATCTGTTAAATGTTTACAAGACTTAACAGCTGCTACAATGGTCACAGATCATGAATTTCATCTTAATACATTACCACCACCACCCCCATTGTTACAATTAAACCAAATAACATCAAATATACCACCAGAAGAAATTCACCGACAAATTTCACATATTATTTCCGAGAATCATCGTATTCTTTCACGTTATCATACAATATTACAACAGCAGAAGCAAAAATCAGCAGCATTGAAACATGAAATAGCAGAAAAAGAAGCTCTTCTAGTAAATGTTAAAACGGATTTAGATATTTATAATGAACAATTAAGAAAAAATGCTCAAGAACTTCTACAGGTAATAAAAAAAACAACAACAACAACAACAACAAATGCAAGAGTGAGAAAGAGTCAAAGAGATCATTAGCATCTAGACATACGAGTGTTTATACGTATTGCGAAAGTCAACAATGATGTGGCACTTAACTAGTGTGCGCGCAATAAAAACATGAGCTATTACTTAATACATACCATATATTTACATTATCGTTTGTATTAAAAAGAAGGTCAATCAATAGCGCGTGATTTGAAGGAAAGCAAGATCGAAATTTCATTAATAATAATCTGCCTTTTTCATGCCAATAGAATATACTTGATAAATTAGTAATAGCTAAAAATCTGTAGGATATTGTTTTTTCGATATGTGGGTGTGAATCCAACATATTCAAGATAGCCATGACACTTGCACCCACATCCGAAAATATTGACTAGAGATATTTGAAATTCTTGGCTTAAATTCTCTATTTGAAAAATAATATAGGACAAGACTGTTTTGGAAGAATTAGAACGTGTTAAAGAAATGAAATCAGATAAACTGTCTGAACTCGAACGTCTTATTGAACGTCGTCAAACTCAAGAAAGACAAGGTCAACAAGAACTAGAACAATTATCCAATGAACAACATCGTTTAAAGAAACAATACAAAGATCTTCTATCGGAACATGATCAATTGCAACATACGATTGAAGCTGATCGTCAAGTTTTCAATGACATGAAAAGTGAATCAACACGTTTACGCGAACAAATTAAATCGTTTCTCGATGATAAAGAAACTCTTGATGAAACATGTGATTTACTAGCTAAGAAATGTGAAGCTTTACACAATGAATGTAAAGAAAAAGAAAATAATCTTCCCGTACTTGTATCACAAATTGATGAAAAATTAACCGTATGTAAAAATTTAGAAGACGAGATTAAAAAATTAAAAACAGATAAAACTCGTTGTTTGGAAGAAGTCACTGAAATGAAAATAAAAATTGAAAAGAAACGTATTGAACTTGCACATTCATCTAATGACATGGAATTAGAACATCGTAATGAAGATTTAAAACAACGTATTCGACGCAACGAACAAGAGTTAGACAGAGTGAGCAGTGATATTGATGAACGCAATCGAACTTTGAGCGAATTAAACTCAATGATTGCTTATGCGAAAAATATTATGAAGGTAAATTTAATTCCTTCGATTAGTTTTCTTTGTTTTTTAACCAAAGTATTTTAAAGAATATTCAACCAAATGAAAATCGTCGAAATTACAAAAATAGTTCATCATCCGATTTTTCAATGATCGACCAACGCCATAAGTAAGTTCAGTTTAAATCATTTGTTTGTTTGTTTTTAATTTATTCGCTAATTGAACAGTCAAGAAAATACAACCTATTATGAAACGAAAATTCAACGGTTAACCAAAGCTCTCGACGATAAAGAACAAGATCTTCGTACGTTAAACATGCAATTAATCGCGTAAGAAATTTTTTTCAGTAGAATTTTTATTCTATTTTATATTTTCGCTAAAGAACAAAAGAAGAACTTTCACAAATGCAATACAAAGTACAAAATCAAGAATCCAATGCTGATGCTATACGTAATTCCATGCAAATTGAATTAGATAAATTACGACATTGGATGCAAATATATGAAAATAGAAAAGCCATGTTGCGTCCGCAATATCATGAAACATTAAAAGAGTTAGAAGTAAAATTACACGAACAAGAAATGTTTTATCGAAAACAAATTAAAGATCTTGATTCTGAAATGAAGAAGAAACATATTGGAAAACTATCAGATGATTCCGGGTAACATATTTGTTCATTGATCTGATGAATATTGATTTTAGAGTTTGAAAGTCATTATCATCATTCACGTTAATCTTAGTAGTTAAGATGTTTACTAAAGCTTTTATAAATTAAGAAAAAATACGTCCGGATATTTACTTCATCAGATACTCACAAGAGTTGAAGTAGCACTCATCTCAAAAGTGATTACTTATTTTACGAAACTTCCTGCCAGCCAAAACAACAACACGCAGTGATATCGAACATCAAAACAGTTACGAAATAGGTCTTTTGTACCATATAAAAATAGCATCATACTAAATATCAAATGAATTCTTCGATATTATGTGCCTAAATTTAGATTAATTGTTTCCACACGAGAAAATCTGTATAAAACAATGATCATAATAACACTTGAGTGTCGTAGCTTATTCTGCCAATGAATAAAACAAACATTAGATCATCAATGAATGATTCAAGCTAGTTGCAACTCATTTGCTTTCTTCATTGCGATTAGTTTTCTAATTTGAGCGAATGCGCATAACCAACGCTCGAATGCACATTCACGCAATATTGAACAGACTGTCTTCGAACATGAGTTACACCACTAATAATTGCAAACATCCTGTAAAAAAAACAAATTAGCATTTACGAAAGACACGTCTACGATACTTGAAATTTGCGTTTTTTTTTAATTTCATTTTTTCTTGTTTGTATAGATTTCTCAGTGATACAACTATATGCGATAATCGCATATCTCCGACTGTTGATGTTAATGATACTTCATTGTTACGCGAACAAATTCAAAATATCTTCTCTAATCATGTTCAGGAATTGGATAAATGCAATTCAAAATACAAAACAAATTTATCGAACTTAAAAAATCGTCTTCACGAATTAGAAAACTCAACAACAGCCACAAGCTCAATTAGATTAGATTCTTAGAATTATCGGTACTATTTGACATCAGATATACAACATTTCTATCTCTTTCTTTTTGTACGCATTTTTTTCCTTTTACTAGTTTAGATGGCGTTTTTTTTTTATTGCTTATCGTTTTTCTTTTTATTACTGAAATGAAAAAAAGCAACAGAGAAAAAAACACATATTACGTTATTCTTGCGTAGAAAAATACGAAAAAAAAATGAAAAATGTCATAAGACTAAAAACCAGAAACAAAAAATTGAAGAAAATATCGCTGTGTCATTTTATCCATAGAGCTAATGTTGAAGAATAATCGATGCGGCATCGCTACGACCTATTTGATTAAGTACATTGATCATATTAACAGGAGATTCCTGTCGAGATTCCCACAATGTTAATAAATGTTCAGTTGGACTTGATTTTGTTGCAAAATATTGCAAATAACTAACGAAGACAAATAAGAAATAGAATCTAGGAGTTTCATGGGCCACATGCACTTACTTTATTCCAAGTAGATTACTTGCAAACATACGCCAATCATTACCCAGTGAATTAGGTGGATCTAGAGCTTTACATAACTTTTGACGAACTACCAATGGCAATCTGAGTAAAACGAAATATTTCATTTTAGATGAAAATTATTTAAGGTAGTACCTAGCAACTTCTTTTAACGATTTTATCGGCTGACGCTGACGTACTGTAGAAGTATTAAATCCAGAATTTTGTAGTAACTAAAAGAAAAAGGGAAAAAAATCATTAAGGAATTAATCAGAGACTCCAATTTTCAAACTGAATAGAACAATAGACTGTACTCCTACAATGATCTCTCTCACAAGTATTTTACTTACACCAAGTGTATTAATACAGAGACGCGTGTGTAATGCACTATCTAATATAGTCGGCTGGTAAACATCAATTTGCATAGCTAAATGATCAATAGATGTTGCTAATGTATGTTCATTATTCATATGTAAATTCGGTACAATAAAAATAAAACAAGATCGGTCGAATCGTGTTGACCAAAATGTTTTCAATGATATTTCTTTATAGCCAATGTTAATTCTTGATGTTGATGATAATTCTAAATCAACATTAATACATATTTGATCTTCGTAATCATGTATAATAAATTGTTTTGGTTTATCACATAGATAATTTTGTAAAGAAAATTCTTCTGTTAAACAACGTTCTAACGCATCAGATGTTGCATCAAGAAAACGTAAGCGTAATGTTGATACGATTTCATTTGAGCCTAGTTCTGTTGATGAACGATTAAAGAATGGAACCATTTGAACATATTTTGATGCGTGCTGATTTAATATTGATTCACCTATTAAAGAGTATGCACCCACACTTTCAAACTATGAAAATAAAATATAGACGTTTGATTTTTTCGAGACAACAAAAATGAGAGATTCACTTACTAGAATAAATGCTTGTTGTTGATTATTAAATTGTAAATAAACCGGCGTAGAAATATTTTCTTGTCCATAGGTAAGTATGGATTTCCAATTGAAAACATCATCGCTAAACATTAAATTTAATTTCCATGACGATTCCAACACAGCTGTATGTTCAAATGAAAGAACAGCTGGTTTAAGTAATGTAATTTCCGCCGGACCAATTAATACAACAGGCGATAGACGTGTTTTTCCATTACTTAATATTGGCATATTATTTTCAATATTAATCAAAGCTATGAAAATTAAATGATCATCATCGAGTAGAACGGCATCTTCCGGAATAATCAATGAAACGCCTGTATTCGGAATTTCAAGACGACAACCTTTATTATTCAATATTGATACAGCAAAATAACGTAAATCTGTATGCGGAGGTAGTGATTGAAGAATATTTTCATAGATTAAATTTAAATTATTTTCATGCGAAATTGATTGACTTGCTAATGATGGATATTTTATTTGATTCGATGCATAACTTGCCGTACTCAATGTTATCGGATGATTCGATGATTTAATCGAATAGATCTGTTTATTTAATGGCGATTCATTTAACAGAAGTAATTTTTCTTTTTCTAATCCAGAATCAAAATTTGTTAATGAAACAGAATTATTTTGAGATGCACATGATCTTGTTGATGTTGTATCTTGTTGAATTGAATAATAAAATGGATATTCATTTCTTTCATTATGATATACGCCCAAGTGACTACTACCATTACTACTGACACCATTGGATGTTATACAAGTTGTTAAACCTAATAAGACATGTATATATATATAATTATCTTACATAGTCCTAGATCTACGTAGTAAGAATGTCAGACTAATTTATAGAGAACTTGCCATCAATGTCTAGAGGCTTCTATATATTATAACTGATCTATATGTCAAAATAGAGTTTCGAGGCTATCGTATGAGTGATCTGGAACGCACGATCATTAATGACTCGTCAAGGATTATTTTATGGCTGATGTTATACATGTCCGCGAGTACATTGCACCGTTTGGATACGTATCGAAGGCTATCCCTACATTCAATATCAGATAGTTATCTAAGAAAAATGTCTGAAACCAATTATTACACAAGATGATATCAGCGTGTTCTATTTGCGTTACTTAATCAACAATCTGATTTTACAACTGTACTTGAGTTTCTTCTTCTATTTTTTTTTATTTGAACTTATGACTCAATTCTCGAGATTGAACACTATTTTTTACTATAACCCTGTATTGTGTTAATACATGATTAACTTCAAGAGTATCATATTAACATTAAAATGTCAGAAAATGTCTGGTGTAAGAGTTTACATATCTCGCGTATTCGACTGTTTTGTTACTTGCATTGTAAAAATGAAGAAATCTTTTATACAGTCTATAAAAATTTATCTTCAAAATCTTTGTCCTTCAAAACTTTTCGTGCAGACTTCATTTTGAAAGTTTTTCATTGTACACGCTGATGAATACTAGTCATACATCGTATACAAAAGCCAGTCCTCTTTTTTCTTTCCTGTATTGCCTTGCCTTTTATCACGCAAAAAAAAATAGATAAGGGTATTCAAAATAAAATATAAAAAAACGATCAAGATAAGCGTCTAGCTGATTTTTCTTTCATTACTTCTAGTACGTAGACATTGATTATTTTCTCCTCGATTGATTATTCTCATTAAATACGACAGAGAGAAGAACAAAAAAAAAGAAATCATCAAAATTCTTTTCAACAATTGTTAACGTATTGAGCAAATTAATACACATGGTGCAGATGATAAGCGTTCCTCCCATTTCCTTTCCTTATTCTTCTCTTTTCATGCATTCATTCTCAGTTCGTTAATCTATCGAGTGGCCCGGCTGACTGACCGCTGGCACAATCACAAGCACTACAATTATCTCTGCGGTATTCTTCTGTCCACACACACACACGCACAGATTGCTATCTGTCAGTTTGATCTCAATTTCATTGTTTTATTCAAACAATAAGTATGCGTAGCATATATATATATATATATATATAAAAAGGCCTCTTTTCAAGTAATTTACACTTTTTGCCGCTTTATGACTATATACATGTAAAGTTCAGCTGTTGCAGACAAACAGAAAAAGGTAAAACAGATATTTATTTATAAGTGCACAAATGTCGTCACTATGTTTGGTCTAGAAATTTATTAATGCGGAATAATATGATAATAGAATAACGAAATGAAGGTTATATAACGGTTTTAAAAGAAATTACCTTTCTTTGTTGGTATACGTTGTCGACGACGCCAACAAATTGAAAATAATAATATTGTTAATAAAAGAAAGATGAGAGCACCGATACCAATCGATGAATAAACGATCACATTAAGAGCAGACGAAGAAACGAGAAGTGAAGTACTACTATTATTATTATGATCTAAACAGCCAAAAAAAAAAGGAAAAAGTTGAAATAATCAATGATCAGACAATAGAATTATTTAAGAGTCTCGGAAATGTGACTAGACGCCTGCCTCTTCTTATAATTGAATTGAATAACATATCCGACCAAGACGAAGAAAAAAGATAGATCAAGTGAATCGCTTACTTGAACATTGATTTCCTGTGCATGTTCGAGTTTCAGCTAAATAATCCAGACATGGTTCTTGTAAACATGTTCGTGTACGTATTGATGTACAATCCGACGGTCGACAATTTGACCATTCAGTCCAATTTGTATACATGCCTTCGAATTGAAAAGTGAATGTAATCGATTTTTTCTCAAATCTTTTATTTACCATTTGATAATGGACGAACAGGAGAAAATAATGATGAACTTTTATTATTCGCACATGGTACTAAACAATCACGTTCTTGTATTTGTTCATCATTACAAATCGATTGTTTTTCATCATTTATTGACGATGTTAAACAAGTTCTCATACGTTGTTGACGACCAATTTTACATGGAGTACCTACGCATTCTGTCCATGATGACCAATCAGAAAATGTATTATCTGAAAAGAATGAAAATGGAATATTTCTTTTTCTTTACAATTCATAAATCAATCAAACCTGTTGGTATAATAACACCCGAGGGTGATTCTGAATCTTTAGGACAGGCTACTTGACATTCTCTCTCTTGTAGATGATCACCATCACAACTAGGTCGATTTGTAATTGTCGGTGGATTAAGACATGTACGTAGACGACGTTGGCGACCAATACCACATGGTATACCTTTACATTCTGAAAACGTTTGCCATTCTGACCAGCCACGGTCCTCTGTAGAATGAAAATTATTTAGATTTTCCAAAAAATAAAAGCAACGTTTGCGTTTTCTATACCATGAACAATAAGTTCAGCTGGTTCACTTGAATATGTTCCAATTAGATTCGATGCTACACATGTATAATTACCAGCATCGGACTGTTTTATTTGTGCAATAAGTAAAGAATTTTCATTTGATAATATAAATCTTCCATTTCGATTTGTTTCAACTGGTTTACCATCTTTTAACCATGCTATCTTAAATAAGCAAATAAAAAGAGATTTCTTTTTTGTCGCTTATTCAATCATTGTGTTAAGTACACCTATTTAATTTTTTTCCTTTTCCTTTGCTTTTCATTTGTATAAGTATGACTATGACAATGTAATGATTAGTTCATCGACTACTCTCTGCGAATGTACTCTCGTCTGAGTATATGTGGTAACAACTGGCAAGTAGATGAGGATCTAAGTGCACGAATACAACTGACAGGCATACCGCCCTTCGAGGTGTCGAGTATCTCAACATTCTAAATATATATTCGTTGAATAATCGATCAAGTATACTTTGTTCTAGAAGACGTGTTATGATAATGAACTGATGGTATTACGACAATATATATGTATGAAAGCAAACTAACTGAATTAACCTCTATATGGTGATGATGATCTGTTTATTTATATATATATATAGGATTATATAATATACATATATATCTTACTTTCGGATATGGATTACCGCTTGGCGGACGACAACGTAATTCAGCCGATTTACTAATCACACTATCTGTTCGTAAAGGTTCCCATTCGAATATTTTATCCAAATCTAGAAGTGAGAAAAAACAACAAAATCATTTGAGAATAATATCATCCTATTTTGAGTTCGATCTAATTAGAGGATAAGTTGTCTTTACTAATAACGGCTACTAAATAAATGTCAATAAACTTACAAGCAATTTCGATTGTTGCTGTTCGAGATTTCAATGTTCCACCTGTTGCCGACCATGCTTGACAAAAGCATTTATATCCATTTGAATCAAGTTGACCTTCAAGTTGTTCAGTTGTAATATCAATTGAAGTTACGATAGTAATCACACCTTTATCCTATATATATATTTTTTTTTCGTTTGACCTTATATTTGACAAATTCAACAAAAACAGTTCAACTTACATTTGTTTCAGTTGATTTTGTATGTTCATGTTCAGGTACCCATTTATTATCACAATTAAAAAATATCTGTCGTGTACGTATTGCTTTGCATTCAAGTTTAACAGGCCGACTTTCGATTATAAACGAAGATTTTGGTTCAAGAACGAACTGAGGTTGTTCAACAAATGGTTGCATTTCATAGGAATAATCTCATCTAAAACAAGTCACTTCAGACAGTGCCGCGTCTATATGTATGCATGTATGTACACGAATGCTGATTCTTATTCCTCTGTTTCATTTTTTTTACAGAGAAAGAGAATAGAGAAAAAAAAGACTATGACGATCTCTTTCTCTTTCTCGCTCGATTGTTCGCTCTGTCTCTATCGATTTCTTCACTGAATATCCAAATATCACAAAAAATAAATGAACAATTGAGGATTAGAATATGTAATCTTTAATTCAAAAGAAATATATCTACCTGCTCAACATATCGATCATATTACAGACTATACATACGGATGTCCATGATCGATCATTGTCAGTAACACACAACACGTTAAAGATTATTGACTACGTGTCTGCTATTTTAGATGAGTGAATAATTAAGTCTAACTCTGAGATATTAACCAGAGATGCCATGCCAGTTGTGTTTACACGCTTGCTTGATTTTTTCTCACATTCATGCTGTCTCTCTCTCTCTCTCTCTCTCTCCTTTTCTCCCTAGTTTACCGACAACTTGATAATCGATCTACATATATGACGACTTCAAGGAACATAGTTTTCTTTCTCTCTTCTCCATACATTTACGATAACGATATCTTGATCAGAGAGGTCAACTTTCAATGATTAGTTTTATAATAGGGAAAAATAGAAGGAGGGAATATGCATATATATATATAAATGCAAATGCGGCACTTTTCAAGAAAAAAAATGAATGCAACATCAAAGTATCTTGTTCGAGTCAGATGAATGTTTTTAATTAAAATAAAAATGTGTTTAATTGTGTACAAACATGAAATCTGATATAATAAAAAGAAAAGATCTAGAAATAAATGATGAACGTAGGCATAAACACATTAACTAATGCGTTTCTGATCTATTGTTGACAAATGAAAGGCGAAACAAAGAAACAGAGAAAACATAGATGCCCTATGACATCAATATTGTTATGTACGCAGGCATATGCCAGTCTGAATAGAATGTATACTTACGCATACATTGCTTCCTTTACGCAAGGACGTTTTGGATCATCACACACAACTACTCCTTTTCTATTCGCCTCCTCTATACACTTCTTATTCTTCTTTTTCTTCTCGGTTTTTTTTTCTTCATGCAAGGATTCACCCCCACGTACCCTCGTTGTTAACTCATCGACACATACTACTGATGATCGTCAATCATGAGTGTACACGCAACATCATCATCGTCAGTGTAGTATAGTTTTGTATGCATGTGCTCACATAAATTCAAGGACAAATGAACAATTAACATGAAGATAACGATAGATAGATGAACTTGACTATTAGAATAATGGATACTGGCAACGAATGAACTGTTCTATAGACATCGATTTCCTTGAATAGACAGATACATGATGTTTTTCAGTTGTATGTTAGTTAAAATAACAGTACCGTCGCAGCGGGTGCTCATATTCATCATACAGACATACTCAAGTTTTTCGTTCTGTTCAATATCCGCCGTTTACTCTCATCTTTTGCTCCTGTTCATTTCCTTTTGCCGCATGATCATTTACATAGAAAGAAAATGAAAACTGAGGTCTTCATTGCATTAATTTATGATTGAAATGCGTACTATAGTTAACGATAATAGTGTCCGATGTGACACGACGTCGTGACAAAAAAATAAGGGCGAAAGATGTAAACGTTCACATCTACTAAATGCATGTATTTGTATATAGTATATGCAGTTTATTTCATTAGAAATATGAGTGAGAAGAAAGAGACATCATTTCTTTGCCTAACCGTGAAATGTCGCGACTCGCTCGCCGTATATACACACATATTCTCTTATGCATGACTAGATGAGTATTAATCAGCTGGTTTCTATCTCACCTGCAAAAAAGTGACAGATGAAATTTCTCGTTTTTTCTTCTTTTTTTTGCCTTTGACAGGCAAAAACTACGTGCCTATTTTTTATCGTCATATGTGGCACGCGTGTCAATCAAACAAAAGACTTGAACACGCAAAAGCAATGCAAAGTCGATGCCATCTCGAGAGATGTGCTCGACGACTCATCAGGCACGATCATCTCTCATGTACTGTTCAAGTGTCTAGATATATGAGTGTGTGAGGTTCGATTACATCCTTATTTCTTTGTATATAAAGAATAAGAGAGAACAAGAAAGAGGCAATGTGGTATCAATGATGATGATGATGATGATGATGATGATTGCGATGTAATGAACAAGAAGAAGAGCATTCGAACAAAATAAATTAATCCAAAAGAAAAAATAACAACATCACAGACTGATATAATGTACAATAGTCAACGATAGGTAGATATACGACAAAAAAAAAGCATGGTCAATAGCCTTTCGAATGAGAACAGTAAATCAACTTGAACATGTGGTATTTGTTAAATCGATCTATCACATTAAATGCGTATCAATTCTCTCATAACGATCGCATAAGAATAAATACAAATATCCTCTAGCGTCAAACGTTTTATCACCTAATACGATAAATGACAAACCTAATCAGAAAACGATGCTTACTTCAAGATGTATACATTTGGAGTTTACACAAGACAACCACCAAATGACCTGTTGATTTTTGCTCGCATATGAATGTGCAGAAAAGCGACACTCAAGAATAAAATGATAGATAAATGTACGCAAGTGTACTGTACAGAACGGCCTCTTCTCATCTTTTCTTTTCTTTTCTTTTTCATTTACGTAATAACAATCAAACTCATAATAACTACTACGAAAAAAAGGATATTAAATATTAAAGAAAAAAAATTGACCAGTGGGTGGTGAATTCTAGCGTTAATTTGTCTTTCTCTCTCTTTCATCGACCAAGTTGCATCACTCACCTGTGTCGCGTGTGTGACAAGATATCATACAATGATCGGAGAAACCATTCAACTGTTCAATATATATATGATGAATAACCAAAATGAGAAATAAGATTATGTTCTTTACCACTTGACTTAACATACGAATAAGAGAAGAAGAAAAAAGAGACAGTGCAGTTAGTATTATGAATGTTAAGGAAGCAGCCATCGAGATCATTGTCTAATTGAATAGAGGAATAGAAGAGAGAAAGAGAGAGAGAGAGAGGAGAGGGTCGATCGAGCCCCAAAGGGATGCACACCGCATGCATACAACAGCCGTTTACTCGATAAGATCCAATTACATGAGTACGGTAATTAACTAGCCCGGAAGTATGATCTTACTTAAATGTATGTATATATATATATATATAATCTATCGGGGACAATTTTTTCGTCTCTATTTCTTACGACTAACTAGAGACTGTTTTGAAAATAGAGAAAGAGAAAAGAAAATATGTAGTGGGAATTGTCTTAATGTCTAATGTGTCCCTATATTTATGTATATTTAGTTGTTGATGTTGGTTCCGTCGAGACATAACTTAGTAGTGAGCAAATTTATGTAAAGAGGAAACGATGAAGAAATGAATCGATGTTCAAGTATATTGAGACGAGTCGATGCACAACCACAAATCATCATCATCATTAGTTGCATTCAGTCTTGTTCTTTATGTGAAAGCTATAAGTAGCTTAGATGCGCCTCAGTGGGATGGGACGTGCTTCAGAATTGTTATTACTACGGATAAGAATGCTGTGTACGAATGACTATTCTTTCTCTCTGGTTATATTGATGTTTATGCAAGAAAACATTCGTCCAGACGTAAAGTCAAAAGATTAGTGTACTATATTAGATATATGGCAATGTGATCCTGCAGCGAAATACTTGACTATGAAAAAAAAATCTTATGTTTGAACAAAGGCCGCACGAGAGACAAAATTTAAAAAAAGCAGAATGCGTTCAAGGGTAATTGACATTATTGAGTGTATTTTGTTTTGATTTATCTCTTTATCTCAAATTCATGTGTACTGATCGATCGTGTCCTATTCTCTTTCACCTTTTGCTCAAGGCTCAATGGGTCAATTGTATATATATTTGAAATGAACAGATGACGGGACTGTTCGTTTCACATATACACACAATTATCACCAGTTCATAAGCAGATAAAGAGTTTGACTGATGCTAACCGACGCAGCAACAATATTAATTTTCTCCCGTGTGTATATCTATGAGAATAAAGGCAAAGAAGAAAAAAAACCTTTAAGCTTGACCTTACTGTTGTGTTTAGAGATTCTTCCGGTTGTTACTTATTCTCGCGTGCGTGCCATCTTCTGATTACTTTACCGTTGACTTTCTTTCTTTCTTGTCTTTTCAAGTGAAATTGAATCTCGAGGTGGATGAATATAGTATGCATATGTGAATAAAAATGAATGAATGATGTAATCTGAGAATAGAAGAAGTAACAGCAAATCTTTTTTTCTAATTACATCATATACGCTTGCTTGCTTTACAATGACGAACTGACTATAGGTGCTTGGACGATGATTCAGGGACAATACTCTTTTCTTTTCATTACTGAAAAAGGTCACTAAGACAAAAAAGATAATTGCATTGATGTGCCATCTTTCTCGCCTGACAATCATTTTTATTCCAAAAAGGATTGGATCAAAGAGAACTATCAGACATAATCTTTTTGATTCGTTGCTAATCGATTAAATTTCTCAATGAATACTATGAGACAGAAGGCAGAGGTTCATATGTTTAACTGTTGAACGAACAATTGATCATAATTTCCCCAAGCGAATATGTATACGTATATATGTGTGTACACAAGGAGAAGAAGAAGAAGTTTAATTGCTTACTCTTATTAGTGCGTTTGCAATGATGAATTTTCACACCAGATATAACACACACTTACAAATTACTTTCGATTCAAGGCTGATCATTGTTAATCGATATGAAATTTAAAACGATAGACACAAGTGCTCAATAGTACCAGGTGCAAAAGTAATCATACAAATAGAAGAGGCTTCATTTGCAAGGTTATTAACAAATATGATATGATGCACATGAGCGAGCGAGTGAATGAATCAAACGGTTGCCGATGAGTTTATTCATAAAAATTAGTAAAACAACAATAAATGAAAGATGATGATGAGATAATCTTTCTTTTTCCGTATTTAGTTTCCGTTGCTGTCGAATTTGCATTGCGACATACATCCTATATATATATATATACATGTATGTATTTATATGCATGAAATTGCGTCAAGCCGAAAGGAAATCAACTCATATTCTCAGCCTATTGATCAAACTAAATAGACTGTCGTCAAGACGGAAGACATACTCTGATTGCTATGCAGTCTCGTCATCATTTTAGGATAGTTTAACAATAGACATTCTCAGACTAAAAGCGGATGTGTGCAACTAAATTAGATTGCTTCATTGCTCAATTTTATTCTTTTAAAAACTACTAAAGACGTCCGATGAAGAATGACATAAACACTCATAATTATTCTCCATTTAATATTTTAAGAGAAAAAGAATCATCATAAATTTGTTATATTTAATGAGATTGATTTATAACAGTGGTTACAGGAAATAATAAATAACATCATATTAAATAATCAAAATATCAATTGGAACTGTTTTTCCTTACTAATCTAAATAATATCGATGAATGGACACGAAAACTACGATGGTAAAATTATTGAATGAAGATAAAAAACTTTGATTAAGGTATATTCTTTTTTTAAATCAATGTTATCATAATTGAAACGTTTTTGCTCATTTAATTATTTCACTAGAACACTTTGATTACTTCTATTACTGATAATCACTCAACTGTTTTCTCTATGATGTTTTTCCAAGGACGATCTCTCACTCGAATGCTGTTTCTCGTTGATTTATTTCTCTGTGGTTTAATTTCAATTGATCTTGTGGCGTAATCAGCGGTGAGCTAGACTGGGTGTCAACCAATCACTGCTAGTCTTTGTCTTCGCGTCATTGAGATTTTTTTTTTCTAGTGAATAAATGATACTGAAAGACATCTTGTTAGTCTGTGATATTTGTAGAATAAAATCTAGATTACATTGATGAGCTAACAGATCCTATGGAATGGTTAATTCTCGTCGCTAGCCTTCTAAGAGATAAGAAAATGCTTTGTTCAGCTACCTTGTAAATAGGGTTGCCAAATCTTCTAATTTACTCAGAAGGCTTCTGCTTGTTAAGGGTTTCGTCACTTTGAATTTTATTAATATCTTCAATCAATATTGATAAAAAAACGAGTTGTTTCTGCTTGAGTTCTCTAACACTGAGATGATCCACTTTAGAAGCAAATCATATGAGAAAAATTTGTGTAGCTGTGAGCAACACCAAAGAGCCTACTGTATACTTTTTGATACATGCATATTATAAGAAGATGGTAATGATTAGACTGAGAATTTTTGGAAGAAAATATTTTTAACACAATTTTTACGATGTCAGATGAAAGTACAGATTCTACTTCATTGAAAATAAAAGTTCAAGTTGAAAACTGATCTAATCATGAGTGACAGTGGCTAAATGTTATCTGTGGGAACTACAAAATAATGGTGAACAAACCCATTCCTTGATTATTTCTGAGAAAATTTAAAACATATTTTTATTTCTCTTTCTGACATCTTACGTACAGAATAGTCTAGTCATCACCAGCTTATTATTAGTAGAACGAAGCTCATAGTTGTCTCAACAAAAATTGCAGTTTTTTTTGTAAAACAATTGTTCGTGTTCGATAAAGTTTTATACGTTTTCCCTAGTGGATTTTTACGGCGAAACTACTGTTTTCATATTTGGATTTCGTACGCGTTGCCGTAAAATGATTCAAACTATCATATATGCACTTTTTAAGACTCGTGGCACACTGCCCGGTCATACAAGCATTACTGGTTCGGCCATTAAGATGGAAATATTTCATACAAAATGTATGAGCTTAAAAAATATTTTATTTCCGAAACTCACTTCAGAATAATTTAGAAGATTCTCACATGCTCATCAGTCTAATTTAGATCCGTTACTATTTTCTTCGTGCATCAATGAATTTCCGAAGGTTATTATCTGATAATTGCGATAGCGATTGCATAGTATACTATAGAAAGGAGAATAGAATATACAATAATCCGAAGATTCACTTGGAGCCTTTCAAACCTTCATTAATTAGTTTAGAAGTGCAGCTAGCACCTGAAACTTTTACGGTGAAGCCCAAGTTTCCAGTATATAAATTGATTTTTGACGCTCACACCGAGAAACTTTTAAACAAGATGTTGAGAGCACAAATCGGCTTTTATAAATTTTCTAATCAACCCGGAGACGGAACAATTCTGCCTGCCGATCTACAATGAATTCCAAGTATAATCGAACTACTGTGAATTATATAGGTTTATTCGAAAAAAGGCAAACGTGAAAAATTACGAATTGAAACGTGAAATTTAGAGATCCCATAATTCAACACATGTTTGTAACAACGATGTATTTCATTTAACCAAGAAATCTACCGTTGAACCACATTCCAGCTTTGAATACACCATTCGTATACCTCATTGTACCGTACCCATGGAATTTGTTATCGCTAAATTGTCCCAGAGACTGTTCTCTTATCCACTCAAGTGAATACGAACTGTCAGAGAAGTAATGAAAAACTGTGACGAATGATTTTTGAACATCACAACTCGTAGCGAGTACCATTGGCGTACATATAAACACCTACGCCTGTTCTTACGCCAACAATCCAATCACCGCTGTATTTGGTGCCGCTTGTCCAATCGATTTTGCCTTTCCCGTGGATTTTATTATCTTTAAATTGTCCCAGTAACTATTCTCTTATCTGGTGAAGTGAAGACGAACTGTCTCCGAAGTAATCAAAAGCGGAGTGGCGAATAATTTTTGAACGTTTCACCTCGTAGCGATCACCGTTGGCGAAAATAAAAACACCTAGACCTGCTCTCAGGTCATCAATGAAATCCCCACTGTATTTGTTCCCGCTTGCCCAATCGATTTTGCCTTTCCCGTGCTTTTTATTATCTTTAAATTGTCCCAGTAAATGTTCTCTTATTTCGTCAACTCAATACAAACTGTCAGTGACGTATGAAAAATAGACTAATAAAGGGTTTTTGAATGTCTCCACTTGTAGCGATCACCATTGTGGAAAATATAAACACCTTGGCCTGTTTTCAGATCATCAATCCAATCACCGTTGTATTTGTTACCGCTGACCCAATCTATTTTGCCTTTTCCGTGGAATTTGTTGTCCTTAAATTGCCCCAGACACTATTCTTTTATTTCATGTAGAGAACACTGACTTTTAGTGACGTAATGGAAAACAGGCTGGCGAATGGTTTTTGAATGGCTCCACTCATATTGATCACCATTGGAATAAATAAACACGCCTTGACCTGTTCTCCCGTCATCAATGAAATCGCTGCTGTATTTGCTGCCGGTTGCATAATCCATTTTGCCTTTTCCATGTTTTTTGCCGTTTTTCATCTCACCCTAGCCTATATTCAATAACGATATGTTTTTGAGTTATACGGATATCAACGAACAATTTCGCCTATATAATATGCGAATCTTTTTCTCATATCGATTACCCCATTGATCTGTGAGAGTTTTCATTTCAGTAGATTTAACGGTTACTGGTGTCGGAATGAATTTTGTTTTTGAGGACGATGTTACAGACATGGCGTGGAAGTTATTTGTAACGTGGCTTTCAATTTCGTCAGCAATTTCTTATAAATGAACCACGCACATGGGTGTTTGATCCAGAGGATCACTGACAACACGAAGTCGAGTGCCTGGGCAAAGAATTACTTCACTTTCACTTGGAAAGTTTGTGTAATTTGAAATATCTTTCCCATTCACGGCTTCAATCAAGAATAATGTTGAATTCGAGCCGACGAAATTTTTGATGATGCTCAGTGACGTTGAACATGAACTAATCATCCACCACGAGAATTCATCGCCTTTTTTAAAATTCTTTGCTATATCTTTTGAAACGCCACGCCATAGATTCTTTCGAACAGTGGGTAGCTTTTGTATGGCTGTATCAAATAGTTTTAGATAACCGAACCAAGGTTTTAATGATGATCTATCTTCAGCACGTAGATAACGATTGATTACTTGATAGAAGCTCTCTTCGCCCCATTCCATTGTGTACAGATAAACGGCTGCTGACTCATCTCGAGTAAGTCCGTGTTCAGATGGAAAATGACATTCGTTTATAGCAATTTTCTTATAACGACTGAGTTGATTGATCTGAGATGCGATTGGTTCAAGAGCTTTTTCGAGGGGTAATAGTGGATGAGATAAATAACCATAGACTGGTGGAAGTTGTATTGGCTTTGATTCTATATCAGTAAATCGATTCATATGCCTACCGAAAATATGTAATTTTATGCAGTTGATTAAAAGAAAATGATCGTGTTTATATGGTTACTTTTATATTTTTTAATGAGTCGTATGATACGAACAGCAATTTTTTTCATCGTGTACTTTTATTTTTGGGTAGGCCTAATAGATATAGTTTTTTTTCGTTCTATGTGATAAACAGAAGACGTTTTATTTTTATCGTCACATATATGTGTGCACTAAAGCATACGACGTAGTTTATCGAGCGTGGAAATGTTTAGTCACGGATGATAGGAGAAAAGTCTACAAACAGATTGAAAAAAAGTGAAGTCTTGCTTATATATGCGTCAGTTACCACTATGTTGTAGATCAGCAGTGACCGAGAAGTTTTTGTTTGTTGATAGTGAGTTGCAGAAGAGAAAAAGTTTATTTTCTGTTTACCGATTTGCTGTGAAAACCATTTAACTTGGAAATGTTGTTCGTTGTCTACTATTAAATATATGCCCGGGGTTTAGGCCAGTTGCGCGCGGACAGTTGCGCGCTATGACTAGCAACGCGAGCATGTGTATATACGAGCAAGTGACCGTCTCCGGTTCATTACTATTGCTGTTAATGTGTAATAAAGTAGCAAGTGGTTACGGTCGAATGTATGTTTCAATAATGTGTGAACCAAACTTAGATAATATTAGATTGCATCTACAATCCTTTGGGTCCTAGAGAGCCAAGAAAACGCTGCTTTAAGTATATCAATAGTACAATATGCATATGATGCGAAATGCTGTATTTGAATACAGTATTCATTTTACCGCTACTCATGTGTTGAAGGAGTAGCCAGTTGTGGCCTACACCCAAACAGCTACACTCTTTCTTGTATATCTCATGTAAAAGCTTTTACCCAAAAAAGTGACTATTAAGTACTTTCAATAGTAGGTTTTACGCAGGGTAAAGTACTATCGAAAGTGGAAAAATGATCAGAAAGTACTATCAAAAGTGAAATATAGTGAGAGAAATTACTTTATTTTACTTTATTAGTATTAAGATAATATGAACATATTACTTCCACATAATGAATTTTGACTCAGATGATTCATATTGATATTTTGGTAGACATAATAGATCCACGAGATAACTAAAAACAAAATCCCATTGTAAGTGTTTATACACGTTTATTTGATATGCCCTAATCATTGATATATTGGAAATTACTCCCATATTCTTGTTAGATCAATTTATGGATCAAAAAGTCTTTGTTTTCTGTGTTGAAACTTATTTTGCTTTTTCTCAAAATACGATTCATATGTTTTGTGCGTCCGAAATATCTCTGTCAATGTAAAAACTAGAAATCTGTGGTAGGTGTCAAAATATAGGCCAACATGGGTGTGGGTGTATCAATTACACTAATTGGCACCCACACCCTCATTTTCCAATGATGCCCAAATTTTGAATTGATTTTAAACACTGTAAAGAATAACCTTTGGAAAGAAATTGACAACAATATTTTGCTTTTATATCTTCAATAAATTCCAGCTAAAATAGTATTACCGCGAATTATAAAGGCGTATTCGAGAAAAAAAGCAATAGCTGTCAATTACTTATTGAGATATGAAATGTAGGAGTCCGATAATTTCGTAGATACTTTTAGCCACAATATACTTCGTTTAACCGACAAAGCTACCGTTGAACCACATTCCATCTTTGATTTTCCCATTAGCATATTTCATTTTGCCGTTACCATGTTGTGTTCCATCTTTCCATTCTCCCAATACCCGTTCGTTTATTTCAGAAAGCGCCTACGAATTGAGCATATAGTATTGAAAGAAAAATTGATAACTGATTTATGAATCTATTCACTCATAGCTATTACCAGTGGTAATTTACCACTGGCAAAAATGAACACACCCTGGCCTGTCCTCATGTCATCGACCCAATCCCCCGTGTACTTGTCGCCATTTATAAAATCTATTTGGCCTTTTCCATGCTTTTTGTTGTCTTTCCATTCCCCCGATAAGTATTTATTTATTTCATAAAGAAAATGCTACCAGAGAGTGAAGTGATGGAGAGCACATTAACGAATGATTTGTGAATATCTGCACTCGTAGCGATTACCATTGGCACTAATGTAAACACCTTGACCTGTCCTACGTCCATCAACCCAATCACCTGTGTATTCATCGCCTGAACATTGACTTCCAGGCCCCCAAACAAATGTTCCTTTTCCATGTTCTTTGTTGTCCTTAAATAGTCCCATGAACAATTCTCCTATTGCATACGTGGAATAATAACTGAAAGTGAATTAATGAAGAACACGCCAACGCATAGTTTGTACATATTTCTACTCGTAGCGATTCTTATTGGCAAAAATGTAAGCACCTTGGCCGGTTCTTACGTCATCCAACCAATCACCTATGTACTGTTCGCCGGTTGCAAAATCAAACTTTCCTTGTCCGTTCATTTTGTTATCTTTCCGTTGTCCCGATACTTGTTCATTTATTTGATAGGTAAAGCGAGTAATAGCTGAGCGTGAACTAATTAAAACCTGAGTGCCGAATGATTTTTAAATATCTCAACTCGTACTGGCCACCATTAGCGTAGCTATAAACACCTTGGCCCGTTCTTCGGTCATCAACCCAATCACCTATGTATTGGTTACCGTCTGCAAAATCTAACTTTCCTTTTCCATGCATGTTGTTATCTTTCCATTGCCCCAGCAATTATTTTCTTATTGCATAAATAACTATTAACTGGAGATGAAGCAACACAGAAAATACTAACGAATGTTTTGTGAATATCTTAACTCGTAGCGGTCCCCGTTGGCGTAAATATAAACGCCTTGACCTGTTCTTACGTCATCAGCCCAGTCACCTGTATACTTAACGCCACTTCCATAATTCATGGTGCCTGTACCATGAAATTTGCTATCCTGAAATTGCCCCAGTACCTATTCAGTCATTTCATACAAAGAAAACCAACTGGCAGTGAACTAATGGAAAACAGGATGACGAAAGACTTTTGAACGTCTATACTCGTAACGATCACCATCAGCGTAAATGTAAATACCTTGGCCTGTTCTAACGCCATCTACCCAATCACCTGTGTACTGATTACCGGTTGCATACTCCAATCTACCTTTTCCATGCTGTTTTCCGTCTTTTATCTCACCTTCATCTTTATGCAAAAATGATGTGCTTTTTAATTGTATGTTCATACCGATCACCACGATTGTCTCTGCAATACTATATGAATTTTTTACTCATATCGGTTACCCCATTGGTCTGTGAGAGCTTTGACTTCTGAAGATTCAAGTGTTGTCGCAGTTTGGACGGATGCATTGTTGGAGGCAGGCATTGCTGATGTCCGATCGAAGCTGCTTGCGATTTGGTCGCCGGTTTCGTCAGTAATTTCTACTAAATGAACAACATGCATGGTTGCTTCATCCAGAGGATCACTGACAACACGAAATCGGGTGCCTGGACAAAGAATTACTTCGTTTTTACTTGGGAAGTTCGTGTAACGTGAAATAGTTTTTCCATTCACAGCTTCAATCAAGAATAATGTTGAATTTGGCCCAACGAAATCTTTGATGATGTTCACCGATATTGCACATGAACTGATCGTCCGCCAGGTGAACTCATCGCCTTTTTTGAAATTCTTTGCTATATCTTTGGGAACACCACGTCATAGATTCTTTCGAACAGTGGGTAACTTTTGTATGGCGGTATCAAATAATTTAAGGTAACCAAACCAAGGTTTTAGCATGGATCGATCTCTGGCACGTAGAAAGCGGTTAATTATTTGATTGAAACTATCTTTACCCCATTCTATCGTGTAGAGGTAAATGGCAGCTGATCCGTCTCGAGTGAGATCATGGTCAGATGGAAAGCGGCATTCATTTTCAGCTATTTTACTATAACGATCCAGTTGATTGATCTGAATTGCGATAGGTTCAAGAGCTTTTTGAAGAGGCAGTAGCGGATGAGATAAATAGCCATAGATTGGTGGAAGCTGTTTCGGTGTTGATTCTATATCAGTAAAACGATTGATATGGCTAAGGAAAGTCACTAATATTAAGCAATGGCTCCAATGAAAATAGTCGTGTTGATACGTTTACTTTTTATGCTTTTAATGTTTTAGACGACATAAAATTATTCTTTTTCACCTTTCTCTTGTTTTCCTTGCCTAGGCCTAATAGCTATTATTTCTTTTCACCATTCTGGGTGATAAACAGAATGATTTTTATTTTATATCGTCTCGCAAATTTGTACACTAACCATATGACGCACACTATCGAGCGCCAAGGTGTTTTGTCACGAATGAAGATAGAAAAAGCTAACAATCATTTTCACAAAACTTCTGCGTTGCTATCATAGATACGCTTATACGTATATTTAACAAATAGAAATTGATTTCCAAGCATAGATAAAAGAGATATGTTGAAAAGATCCATAATCAAAAAAAGAATCCGATGTATGCATGAGGGCGTGCGTGGGTGTATCAATTTTACCAATTGACATTCACACCCACACCGTTAGTGCTGTAAAATATTGCAGTAAAATGATCATAACTGAAAAAGAAACCTTGATGCGTATCGACATGCACAGATCTTTCAGTCTAGACTATGAATTAATAAGAATTCTGTTACGTGTCATAGTGAATAACAGGTTTAAGGAACACTTTAATCAGCATAGCATATTTTTCTATAAAACAGATTCATAATAATCAAATACCATTAGCATTTTGCAATGTGAAAAGTATGTTTCTAACTTCAATTTAGATAAGAATTGAACTATGACCCTATCACAATCATAGATACAAGATCATATTTATTAAATTAAAAGAAAAGAAAAACAAATACTCTAGGAATGATCTCAGTAAAAAAGAGTAAGATTATCTAATAGAGTTGAATGAAAACCAAGATACCCATGATCATGAAGAGTGTGCTAAATGTCAGTTTTGATGTAATTGCTAAATTGCACAAATCATTTTCACAGCAGACACTAGCTAGTATTGAATGAGCATCAACCTTGTCAAAGAAAAAGATGATTACATTGATTTAGTCTTTTTTTTAGAGCTTACTTGAATAGCACATTGCTCTTTAGCGCAACCACGAATGACACCGCCAGGAAATGCAACTTTGTAGCATCTATTGTCGTCACCGGTACAAGACGTAATTGTATTTGTCAATTGTAGGCAATTTTGTGAGCATACACTATGCGAATAGCATTCAAGTGCTAATACAAAAGAACCATTTTATGACCGAAAAAATAGAAGATAGTAAAATTTTACCCTCGCTATGAGTAACACAAGTGACAAGCAAAATAGTCAAAAGAATCATTGATTTCATGTTTCGAATTTGCGTACTACTATCAGTCAATACGTATTTAACTATGTATCTAAATACTTACTATACTCGAACGGTGACACTCTGCTGAATAGAGATAATGAAAATCAAGAGACGTAGATGAATGGTTGTTCTCTTTTTTCTATATCTGCCACCATTATTGAGGAATAAAAGTAGAAATGCATATTCTGAGTGGTCCAATCGAAACAGAACAAAAAGAGAAAGAATTTTGTGGGGTAGTCAATACAGATGAACATAGGTTTATATCTGTTCTTTTTCTATTTCTTTACTTTATTTCAAAATGTAGTCTATTCATGTGCAAGCATTAAAAAAAGAATACCGTTAATTGTAACTATAGTACATAAAAACATATGCAAATCGATTCAAAACGAAAGCGTATATTTATTATTTAAAATACCGTGCATACATAAAAGTAATTAAACTTGTAAAAACAATAGCTATTGTTGTTAGTTTAATTCGAATAGATGAATTACAAAGATTGCTTGAACAACAGACATTAGCAGTGTTAATAAGACCAATACTAGCTTGTATTCGACATCGATAATCACCTATTGAAAAAGATCAAATATAAAACAATTTCATAGTCACATAAATATATAAACAAACATACAACACCCACGTTTTGTACCCAATGGAGTAGTGAATTTCTAAAAATAAATTTTTATACAACACCAAAGAAAAGTAAATCCTATTCTAAGTAGTAGTTACCCAACATCGACTATTTTCTTGTGTGCATTGAACAATAGTGTTCGATAATTCTTCGCATGTATTCAAACAATAATCGTGTTGATAACATTCAAGACCTTTTGCAAAATAAGATTCAAAGTCATATCTATTCCTTTTAATTTTCTATACCTTGAGTGCGTGCTATGTAGAATATTACTAAAAGCATACCAATGCTAATACAGGTTCTATTCATTTTGAAGCCTTCAAGAAACACAATATAAGCGAAACGAATGCACGCTTAGTCGCCGTATAAAAAAAAGTATAAATGCGAAGGCAATATTTTCTACATTAACAGGTGTTTATACGAAATTTTTTCCCCGGTCACGAAGTTGAATATTAAGATTGCGCATATTAATCAGCTTTTTCTGATACACACACAGGTAGGATCTCGATAGATTGATATGACAGATTTTAAGCATCATCTATGTTTATTACATGAGGGTTTTTGTCTCTTTTCTACGAACCTTCTTTTATTCATAATAATTTCACTGGCATTAGTATAACACCGGTTCACATAGATTTATAAGATAAGAAAAAAAAATCAATTAAATACATTCGTCATGTTTCGAGAATATTTCTTTTTTAGAATTATTCCTACATGCTGTTTCTGAGTTTTATAGAGAGATTTAATTTTCGTCTTCATTTCAATTCTTTTGAAACTCAATAAGTTCTACAAAAGTACTCTGACAGTCCTGTTTTCTTTCATTGCATAGACGACAATGACTGTGAGCGTCATCTACATATCGGATTAATGAATGGTTTAATTCGTTTACTATCCATGAAACAATGAAATTTGCTATAGGTTCCAGCATTTCCACTTTTTTTCACACGAAATTTCAGTTACATTCTCAATAGTTTTTGATTAACAAGAGACATTAAAAATGGCCCGAAATTCCGAAAAAGCTATGACCGCATTGGCTCGTTGGCGGCAGCTACAATTGAAAGAACAAGGAAAACTTCGTATTGATCGTCGTCCACATTTAGCAAGCGACGAACTTAATGTAAAAAGGGCTGAAAAATGGCGATATCAAGTTGTACGTGAAATAGCTAAAAAAGTAGCACAAATTCAAAATGGTAAAGATACTATTTCTAAACAAAGAAAAAGATTCTTTTATTGCTGTTTTAGCCGGTCTTGGCGAATATAAAATTCGTGATCTAAATGACGAAATTAATAAACTTCTGCGTGAAAAATCTCATTGGGAAGATCGTGTTAAAGAGCTTGGTGGAACTGATTTTAAAAAAACAGCACCCAAAATGTTGGACAACGAAGGAAAAGAAGTGCCTGGTAATCGTGGTTACAAGTAAGAAGCATAAATGTTTACTCGTGAGAAAATTCTATTTTTTTTTCTTGTGATTTTTAAAGATATTTTGGTGCTGCAAAAGATTTGCCTGGTGTACGAGAATTATTTGATCAAGAGCGTAAGAAATCAATATATGTTGATAAATGGTTTGTGTTATTTCTTGAAATTTTAGCTCCTCTACCGTCGAAAAAACTACGTGGCGAACTGATGAAAAATATCGATGCTGATTATTATGGTTATATGGATGATGACGATGGTCTACTTATTCCAAGTGAAGAGAAATGTGAAAAAGAAGCAATTAGAAAAAAACTTGAAGAATGGAAAAACAACGCAGGAAACAATGCTGACGCTGATGAAGTATATGAATTACCAGAAATGGATGTATGTACTAGTTTTCGCTCATGTTCGATTTCAGTTGCGTTACTTCATAAATCAGTAGTATCTATAAAATAGTTGCTAATTTGGAATCGTTCTTTTTTTGTGAAAAATATTCTACAAGGATTGCTTTATTTTATTGTTTAGTCCGACGATGAAGATTATGTTGCTGGTAAAGCATCTCGACCAAGTGTTGACGTTGCATCAAAAGATCATGTATTTATTGCACATGTACCTGTTCCTAGTCAAAAAGAAGTAAGACTTGTATTGATCATAACAAACATGCACATCAATTTTGTTTTAGATTGAACGCGCATTACTTGAACGTAAAAAACAAGAATTACTTGCTAAATATGTGTCTGATGATCTATTAAAAGAGGAACAGGAATCGAAGGATTTACTTGGGAAATGAAATATTTGTATAAAATAAATTTCTGTATGCGTGATCTTTTTCGTGTCTATTCTAAAAATAAACAAAGTGATCGTGGATGGACTTTAAAAAAAACTTTCGAGAATTTTTCGTGATAATTTCAGATAGGAAATGCATTGGTTTTTTGCATTCATTCTTCTTCTTATCGTTTGTCTTATCCATTTATTTATTTGTCCGTATACAAAAGTTGAAGAAAGTTTTAATCTACAAGCAATTCATGATCTGCTTATTCATCGGTTCAACATATCAAATGTAAGAATTAATATTTCAGAAAGGCAATATTTCGTGTTTGTTCTTTTTGTGTTGTTTATTAGTATGATCATTTAGAATTTCCTGGAGGTGAGAATGATTTGAAGTTCAAAAAAATGGCACTATCGTTATATTTTAGTTGTACCACGAACATTTCTTGGACCGATATTAATTGCAATATTAGCATGGCCTTTTACAAACATCTCAGCTGATCATCTCATTTCTATGCAATATATCGGTGAAATGTTAAATTTTTCTTTTTGATTTATAGAAAAAAAAACTTTCTTAGTTTAGTTCGAATTATTCTTGGTTTATTAGTAATATCCGGTTTAACACATTTATATAAATCATTAAAAGGTTATTGTGATGTATCAACAAGACGTTGGTGGCTAATTGTCACATTAACGCAATTTCATTTCTTATTTTATGCAACACGAACATTACCGAATATATTTGCACTTGTTATTGGTTTGTTTTCTCTTACAAATGAATTGTGTAAAAGAAATTCTTCGTTTTAGCTTTACATTCATTTGCTTTTTGGTTTTCAAAACGTGAAAAATCACTTGTATGGACATCAGCTTTTGTCATACTTATTTTTCGTTCGGAGCTTGTTATTCTATTGGGCTTAATTTTATTACAAGAAGTTTTCATAAAACAAAAGTTCACCTTTAGAAATGTATTAACTAATGGATTAATGGCAAGTGGTTCAGCAATAGGTAAAATGAATTTTAATGAGGAAAATTCTATCCTATTCATTGAATTTGATTTCGTCTCAGGGTTAAGTATACTCGTTGATAGCTGGTTTTGGCAACGTTGGCTATGGCCAGAAGGCGAAGTGCTTTATTTTAATACAATACTCAATAAAAGCTCACATTGGGGTGTATCCTTTTTCTTGATCTGAATTATTTAATATCGATAATGAGCCATCTAAGTGACAGACAGAAATTATAATTATCTGTTTAGAAAATATTCTCCTTAACTTAGTTTTCTTTCTCTAGACATTTCCATTTCTATGGTATTTTTATTCAGCATTGCCGCGAGCTCTTGGTGCTCCACTTATTCTATTGCCAATAGGTTTGACCATCAATAAAAATATTCGATCGCTCGTATTACCAAATATATTATTTATAATTATCTATTCAATTTTACCGCACAAAGAACTTCGTTTCATTATCTATACATTGCCAATTTTAAATATACCTATTGCTCAAACTTGTTCTTCATTGTTCGTATAAAATCTCCAGTTGTTTTAGAATTATTTATTTTTGTACATAGATTTCAACTGAGAAGACGTTGGTCAACTTTGCTTAAATTGTTTGTTCTTAGTTTGTTAACAATTAATCTTGCACAAACAAGTATTTCATTGATGGCTTCACATTACAATTATCCAGGAGCAAATGCTTTAATTAAATTGCATACGCATAGAAAATGTACGACAGAAACGTCTTTTTTGTTTGTTGTTTTTATAAATATTAAGTTTTAGATGAAACAACAGCTACAGTTCATATTGATGTTTATTCAGCTGAGAATGGAATATCTCGTTTTCTAGAAACGAAACCTTGGATGTAAGTTATTTAGATATTCTATTTTTCTTGAAAAGTTCTTTTTTCTTTATTTAATTTTTAGTTATAATAAAACAGAAAATTTAACAATTAATGAACTATCAAATTTTGATTATTTATTAGTTGAATCAACAAGTGATGAAGATATTCGTCTAAGTCCATATTTATCTCATAATCTACAAATTATTGATTTCGTTCGTGGATTTAATGGATTCTATGTTGACAAACAATATATATTGAGAATGCGACATCCACCAAAAATTTATCTATTAGAAAAAAAGAAATACACAATTTAAATATCTTTCTTCTTCTTTTCTAGACATTTCAATAAATTAATGAATGCGATCAAGAAAAACACGAGTATTCGATATTGTTGCGTTATAAAATAAATAAAAACGTTTGTTTTTGTTGCCTTTGAATGCGAAATAATCTTTTCTTTGCATGCTCCTTCTCAGTGCAAGAAAAGTGTTTCTCTAAGTAATAAATAGGTGTATCTCAAGGTCATCAGAAATCGCGGTATATCTGGGAGTACGTTAGAAACAAAGTTTGTTATACAATTCGTTTCGCATAATATCAAGCTCATAGTTCTTCATTAAAGAAAACTGAATTTAGCATTGGCTTTGACCGTGTTCTTTTTTCAGTACAAGAATCTTTCATATGTGCTCTATTGAAGATATGCAAAGAGAATGAATATGTGGAAATAGTACAACTCTCATTATAATCTATTTTATCTATTAATCATAAGATGAAGAACAAGGAGGAGATGTTCTAATGTCTATAAACATTTTAATTGAAAATATATTCTGTTTTAGATAAGAAATAAAGCATGTTTTCCATCTATAAAACAGTTCATCCTCCTACGGCGATTGAACATGCTGTTTGGGCTCATTTTCTATCTCCATTGGACAATAGTTTAATATTGAGTAGTGGAAATCATTTATATGTTTATCGTGTTACAAGTCATCCATCAAAATTTGAATGTTTACATACATTTGTTCTCTGGGGAAATATTTGTTCGATAACACCGTGCCGCCTTAATCCATCGTCAATATTATCGAAAGATGCTTTATTTTTATCATTTATGGACGCAAAATTATCCTTAATTGAATTTGATTCTGCAATACAAGATTTAAAAACTTTGTCAATGCATTATTTTGAAGATGAATTAGCTAAAGAAGGCCAATGGTTTAATTTTTCACCACCAATTGTACGCGTCGATCCTGATATGCGTTGTGCTTGCATGCTTATTTACAATTCCAAACTTGTTATTATTCCATTTTTTAGTCAATTAGATAGAGAAATTATTACAAATGATACAATACCAAACACAACTAGTATGTATCTCTTTGATTTATTTTTCAAGTTTACGACACGGGAAAACCTCCTTTAATTTGGTCTATATCTAAAACTTTGATTTAAAAATTAATTTTTTTACAATTAAGTATTTCTCAAAACTTTGTTAGCGATGAAAAAATATAAATTCACGCTTTTTTTTGTGAAACAATTTCTATTCATCTTTGCCTGTAGGTATAACACCTGGTGGTTCAAGAAGTACATCACTATCGTCTTATATTGTGCATTTAAAAAAGCTTGATCCGTCATTAACGGGTCGAATAATTGATTTACAATTTCTACATAGTTATTATGAACCGACTCTATTTATATTATGTGAGTCAAGTCGAACATGGGTTGGTCGTGTCGCCGTAAAAAAAGATACATGTTGTAGTGTTGCACTTTCAATAAATGTTGCACAAAAATCTAATCCAGTTATTTGGCCTGTTGATAAATTACCATTTGATTGTCTCAGCTGTTTATCTGTTCCAAAGCCAATCGGTGGTATACTTGTTTTAGCTACAAATTCAATTATTTATCTCAATCAAAGTATTCCAGCGTATGGTGTTGCATTAAATACTCTAACACGTGATTCCACTAAATATCCATTAAGACCATTGTATGATCTTAAGATTGCACTGGATCTAGCCGAAGCTATATTTATATCGAACGATCGAGTTCTTATATCAATTAAAAGTGGTGATGTTTATTTACTAACATTACATACAGATTCAATGCGTACAATGAAAGAATTTACATTCGATCGAATTGGATCGACTGTTTTATGTAGTTGTGTAAGTTTAAAAGAAAACGAATCAAGGGTGTGGGTGTCAACTAGTATACTGGATAGATCCGCACCCACGCCCTTAGCACTTTGGCGTTACAAATTTTCAAGTCGAAATTAAATTTTTCATAAATGACCTCTAGAATCGAGTTCAAAATGCATTAATCATTGATTTACAGTGTCTAAAATCTTATGTTTTTCCAATAGATTGCCTACAAAAAAAGAATCTCTTTAGATACATTTTTATATCTTTCACTTTTTATTTTATAGTTATGTAAATGTGATGATAATTTAATATTTTTTGGTTCACGCCTTGGCAATTCGTTACTCGTTGGTTTAAATGAAAAAGTCATCATAGATCCTACATCAATCGATACAATCGAAACAATGAATGGCGATGAAATTGAATCGAACAAAAATGATTCTAATGATCAGTCTGATCTCGCACAAGAATCTACAGATAAAGCAGATGTGTCCGATATCGATACTGATATAATCGTTCCAAACAATAAAGAAGATATTATATTTTTCACAAGCGAAAGCGACATCAATGAATCGAAAAAACAAACTCATACATATTCACTTGAACTGTTTGATAATCTTATCAATATCGGCCCATGTGGTTATGCTATTGTTGGCGAAGGCGATAGCGATGAAATACGCTTATTACAACGTCATTTACCGCCACATTTTCAAACTACACCATTAGATTTAGTAACCACATCTGGCACAGGTAAATGTGGAACTGTATCCATTTTACAGCAAACCATAAAACCTGAATTAATCACAACACAAGCTTTGCCGGGTTCAATTGATATGTGGACTGTTTATTCATCGACAAATGAACAAGGTGAAAAACGTGAACATTCATATATTTTAATAAGTCAAGAGACATCGACATTAATATTTCAAACTGGCATTGATATAACTGAATTAGAACAAGGAGGCTTTTTAACAAATGAACAAACAATTTTCTGCGGAAATATTGGCGAACAATTAATTGTACAAATAACACGATTACATGTTATACTGTTACGTGATAGCACACAATTACAAATAATATCCTTTGAAAATACTCCAATACGTTTTGCAACAAGTCTCGATCGTTATCTAGCTATATTAACAACTCATGGCGCTATTCATGTTTATTTACTCGTTCAAAATAACAATGAACCAGTCAAACTTATTGAATATTATAAATTAAGTGATAAAAAATATACCTGCATTAATCTATATGTTGATCAAAGTGGATTGTTTACAACAGCAATCAATACGAATATTTATTCACATTCAACTATAGTAAATTCGCCAAAACAAGAAACAATTCAAGCGTCTACTGCATCTTTACCATCGAATCCACTTGATGCCGCAGAATTTCCCGGAGGTGATGATGAAGACGAATGGTTGTACGGTGGAAAAACAATTGAAAATTCACTAGCACCTCCAGCTGGTCCTTCCGTCGAATCAATGGATACTTCGAATATTTCGTCAGAAGCAAAGCCTCTTCCAACACTTAATAATAACAATATTAATAGCAATTCAACAGGTCCCATTCCAACAACACGTTGGTTGGTAGCGATTAGTAAAGATGGAACATTAGCATTACATGAACTTATGACTGATGAAACAATGCCAGCTACGATACGATTTGAAATAGCAAAATTTAATAGTGGACTGAAAACACTGGTCGATACACACGATACGGCTCCATTGATGACGCATTATCTAGGCAAAATTGAAACTTCATGTTCAGCTTATGTTTATGAATTACTTATTATTGGATTAGGACCAAAGAAAGATCGAGTGTATATGATTGTAAGTTATCTATTCTGTAGGAATCCGTAGGGATGCTTATACAGTCTTCTTAAAAAGCTAAGGGTTATTTAGTTCAGAGAGCAAATAAATTATTTAATTACTTACAAATCATTCTATTCGCTTTCGAATCAAAAGGGATCGTGTTTTAGAGAAATTTTATGATTTAAGTAAATCTTTGAGCCAATCACTGATGAGTAATCGGAAATTAGTCAAACAATATCTTCGTTTATTTTTCAGTCTTGAAAAACTTATACAAAATAAACTCAATATTGTTACTGATTTCAGGCTAAACATATCTATAGGTCTTCTAATTAGAGAGTGTTGCATAGAACTAAAGATGAAATTATTCTCTATCAAATTTTACAAATCTGTCACCAAAATATATCCATCGAAATTTCTTTTTCCTTTTAGGCTCGTATCGACGAAGATCTTATTTTATACGAAGCGTTTCCTTATCAAAATTTGCTCGATGAACGTCTAAAACTACGTTTTCATCGTGTAACATGTAATGCATTAGTGCGAACGAAAAAGTCCAGTGCTAAGAAAAATGCAGCTAAAAGACAGAAAGATGCTGTGCAATTGCAACAGCAACAAATTCAAGCAAAACAAAATGCAAATTCTCAAGAGGTAAAGAAAATAATTTTGAAATCTTACTTCATCGATCTTTATGATATAATTTCCTTGTTATTTTAGCCACTTCCAGTTCAAACTGATCTCATCGATGATGAAATGAACGAATATCAACGAATGCTATTGAGACCTTTCAATGATGTTGCTGATCATTCAGGTATATTTATCTGTGGTACTCATCCGTATTGGTTAATATGGTATGTTAAAATTAGACATTGCTCAATAGATGAAATCGATGTTTTTTTTTTCTAAAATAGGTCTAAAGGTAATTTACGAGCGTTTCCAATGAATATCGATGGACCCATAAAAACATTTGCTGAATTTAATAATAATAATTGTCGTAATGGTTATTTATATTTCAATCAAAAAGATGATTTACGGATATCTGTTATGCCATCAAAACGAATACTAGATACACCTTGGCCTCTCCATAAAATTCCGTTTAAACAAACAGGTAATTCAATTTTGTTTTTGTAAATCTACTTTTACATCTCTTATCAAAAATTTTCCGTTCAGTACACTTCCTATGTTACCATGTGGAAAGCAAAGTAAAGCGCGATTTTGTTGTTTTGCATAGAATAAAGTTTTCTTGCTTTTAGTTATATGCTGCAACCATAAGTACTAATGAGCCCACCAATACATTAGTACAACCATCCGGTGAAGATCGTGAATCAATAACATATCAAAAAGAATCAAATTTTCTTTTACCATTACGTGAACAGTTTTTTGTACAACTTTATTCAGCAATTAAATGGGAACCGATACCTAATGCTAAAATAACAATGAACGAATGGGAACATGTAACTTGTATGAAAACTATTGCATTGAGATTTCAAGGAAATTTAATGAAAACTTATATTGCTATTGGTACAGCAAATTGTTTTAATGAAGATGTTGTTAGTAGAGGACGCGTTATTCTATTTGATATTATTGAAGTTGTTCCAGAAGTTAATCAACCACTTACTAAACATAAACTAAAAGTAAATATTCATATAATACACTCGGTACATTGCTCCTCAGAAAGCTAATATGAGAATCAATGAAAACAGAAGTAATACTTCTAGTTACCAGCGCAATGTCATCAGTAGCATTAGCAATTCATGAAGAGCGCCTACTGTTGATCGGAATATTGTATAAATGTTTTTTTTTCCTTCTATATTTAGACTGTTCATGATCGTGAAGAAAAGGGTCCTGTAACAGCAGTGGATTCAATTCTTGGTTATCTTGTTGCAGCCGTTGGTCAAAAAGTTTATATATGGCAGTATCAAAATAATAGCTTAAAAGGCATTGCTTTTGTTGATATTCAAATTTATTGTCATCGAATGGTAACAATGAAAAATTATATTCTTATTGGTGATGTACATAAAAGTATTGCTTTACTACGTTATCAAGAGAACATGCGTGTTTTATCGTACGTTAGCCGAGATTCACGTCAATTGGATATATTTGCTACAGACTTTTTTATTGATCAATCGCATGTGCAATTTGTTGCCACAGATTCAGATCGTAATATGTATATTTATGCTCATGCTCCAACACAAAAAGAAACTCAAGGTGGACAATGGCTTCTCAGAAAATCAGATTTTCATATTGGATATCCTATTACATCAACAATAAGAATGTTAGTCAATGTGAATAATTTAACAACAAAACAAAATTTTGAAAACAAACAAGCTTTATTAATGCGTAGGATACTTTTTTTTTAATATACTATAGTTATTTAGCATTTGAAACATCATTAAATAAGTAGATACATGGAGTTTAAATTTATTTTCAGCAGGTTAAAATATCTGCTGACTTTTCGATAAGATCTTTCCTGATTGTATGAAATCAACGAGTCGTAATCTATCAGTTGTATCGCGCACTTCAGCTAAGAGTATGAAAATTGGTCTTAAGTAAAATCTTTTGATTGAATTTGAAGCTTCACATAATAAGAACATATCATTTCGGCTGACTAGACAATCCATTATCAGATAAAATAGAATCGATTTCTTCAGTATTGAACTGATTTTTATAATTTTTTCAGCAACACTTGATGGTGCTATTGGTTGTCTCTTACCGTTGAATGAAAAAATCTTTCGACGACTTGCTATGTTACAAAACTCATTGACAACAATGTTTCCACAATATTGTGGTTTAAATCCAAAAAGTTTTCGGTAAATATTAAAACAATGATAATTGTCCTCAGCTCTATTTCAATATTTTTGTTTTTCATTCAAGAATATGTAAAACACGACGAAAACAGCTTGATAATCCTCAAAAGAATACTCTTGATGGTGATTTACTTTGGCGGTATTTCGATCTTAGCTTCATTGAACGTAATGAACTACTCAGTCGACTTGGAATGACACCCGATCAAGTGAAATAGAAAAATTAGTCATTTTACATCTTTTTAATTGACATTTTCTTCTCTTTATTTTTAGTTCCACGAAGATCTGACTGACATTGCACGAGCTGTGACTTTATTCTAATTATTATATAAATAGTTGTTTGTTTTTTTCGTGTGTTTCTTCGTGTATAGAAAAAACTCTGATGTATTTCGTATTTTGATTGTTGACTTTTTTTTTCTCTGTAGATTAATTAAAAAAAAAGAATCAAAATGGTTTTTGAAAAGTTTTTTCAAAAACAAAAAAAAACCGAATCTGCATCTCTGCCTTCTACTGAAACCAAAACTGACGTTAAGACTGATAACGATAATAACGAAAATCGATACATAAATGCATTAAAAGATTGTAAACCTACAGCACTTGAAGATTATGGTTATTATTTTTTTCCGGAAAGATTCGGTAAAGAACGTGTGTTAACAATATCGCAACGAGCTTTACAACTTTCAATTCCATTGGATTCGGCTTCACGTGATTTAACAAGAAAAATTGAATGTGAAAAATATATCATTAAATCAATTGAATCAAATCCATTGATTAAAACACTCGTACAAGCGCTTGCTGATCACAATTGCCCGATTGATCTATCGCGTCATTTTAGTTGTGAACAGTGCGATGATGCAATGCCAACTGGTATGTTTGATCCAGCAACGAATCAAATAGTTGTTTGTAAAAATCATATATCACATTTTGATGATTGTATTATAACGGGACTTGTTCAAGCATTTGACTATTGTCGAAATAAATACGATGTACATAATCTACATCATTTTGCATGTAGTCAAATACGTGCATTGAATTTTACTGATTGTAGTCTGATGAAAGGATGCTGTAAGTCAAATGATTCGTTGAATTAACATTTTATTTCATGCTTTTGTTTCTTCATAGATGTGGATCTTCGTGTTAAACGACGTTATCATGCATGTCTAGAAAAAGAAGCAGTACAACGATTACGTATGATGCGTTCAGTTGAAGAAAAAGAGGCAAAACAGATTGTTAAAGATGTTTTTCGACCATGCCGTTACGATTTAGAACCATTTGGTGAAGATCCAAAACTTATTCCAAAAAATAAATACATATACAACGATTATGAACGATACCGACGATGGTCGAAAGCAACTGCATAGCATCTTGAATGTACCTGTGTTTTCCTTTTTAATTAGTCAATTGACTTTGTTTCACTGGATCTTTTGTTTGTTATCATGAAAAACAAAACGATGATATATATATATCATCTAATTAGTTTTAACTATTATTATTGGTGCTTTTTCTTGTTTTGTACGTAGCGATAAAAAAAAATAAACAGCATTGCTGCTCTATGTGTATGTTATTCATATATATATATTGATCACGAATGAGATATGGAAGCATTTATGATGATCTTATACAAACATATGCTAGAATTTAAGAGGATACTACAAGTAGAGGCGTTAGATTAGCATTAAAAATGAAAATAATGCATTGGTGTATTATGGTAAGGAAAATACTTAATGCGGATTTATTCACTAATTTATCATTCGTAACATCGATACTACTTTTTATTCTAACGATTTATTATTCATCAACTTTCCTGGAGAAATAATTCAATGCATTATTTTCACTTTTAATGCTAACACGACACTTCTAACTACGAGAATGGTCACCTTCAACATTTTCGTACAATATATCACAACTGTTTGCAGCAAGCTACTTTGAACATTTAACATTGAAAGAGTAATAGTAATAAAAGACATTTTTATAAAGCACATAGGTCTTGATGGTATGCATGCATTTGTTTATGGATCAGAATGTCCATCGTGACTGAAAATCTCCCGCTAGCGTGATGCTACCACGATGGTATTTAAACAAATGTTTTGATTTTCACAGGCATGATTGGTTTAAACTACAACTGCTGCTTCTAAGCAATGAGATTTGTTAAGTCGTGTAGTATAAAATATATGATAACCAAGATTCTAAACAAATTCATGAATTTTTGAAATTTCTCTCTAAAAAAAGCTACTGTCACTGCCACGACGACAACAACGTCGTCACTCAGGACGAACAATCCGATAGCTGGATCCAACCGGATTCGATCGAATTTCGATCGGTTTCTGCAGGATTCTAAGTAAATCCGGATTGTGAACCGACTCACAGATCCGTAGTGTTGGAATCCAATCGATTCTTGCAGGAACCAGTCAAAGCCCGATAGGTTTCTTTAGGACCTCGTTGGAACCCGACTCCTGAAAGTCCTATCGAATTCGATTGTTGGATTTGATCGGATGTTCACCGGATTCCAACACTAGGGATCCGTTAGTAGTTCCTCAACCCGGAATCCCATGGGACTTTGTCGACTCGCGAGTTTCATAAGATCCGATCGGGTGCGCTATCGGATTCATTCACCTGAGCATAGATATCTTTGGTATAGATGTGAACTCCAATTAGCCACACATTTTTATCTACACATAGTAAATGAACATGATTCTTTTTAAATACAATACAACAATTCTCGTCATATTTTCTGAGCTATGATGTTGAAAAAGAGTATACTAATTTGAGATGGATTTATTCAACGATTAAATAATGATACATACAAATCCTATAATAAATATTTTTTAGGTCAATGGCAGTAGAAATCTAAAAAATTCTATTGAATGGTCCTGGGAAGTTAGTAATCTAATTTAGTGCAAGCGAGCAATCTAGTTTTTGATAACGATAAGTTCATATTGCTCTTATCAAAGTAATTCCTCCCAATCAGTTTCTGCGACTTGTATGCATAATGCTACTTCTTGGTTACCTTCGTTAAGGAGTTGTGTTTCGATCCTATCACCGATGCCTAGAAATCAATAAAAAAGAATAACAAGTAGAAAAGCTTGATTCAGTAACAACATACTCATGGTGAATACATCGTTCATAGTAATTTTCTGAAATGAGGATGACAAAAACGAATTTGCACTTGATGATAGTTGAGCAACTTCAGCACCTAATCTTGAATAGACTCGAAATTCGCTACCTGGCCTAACTTGAGTTTCATTGGGTATTGTGTACTTGAATACCACCTTGGAATCAACACGTCGTATCAACCGCCATCTCGAAATGTCAACAGTTTCTCCTGTCGACTGATTCTTCACAGCTATGTATGTACATTCCAGAGGACATTCTTTGGAAAAACAAACAATATCCTTCAGATTCTTCTATCGTCTGAAATTGAAGTTAGTGCTTACCGATGCCGATCGATCCTCCGCATTTAAGTGTTTCAACATATGTTCTTGCTTTCTTAATTGTAGTTTCAACTGTTTTTTGCATGTCACTCTTACCCAACAAATGACGATAAATGATAATTTCATGCGCTAAGAAGATCTTTCTAGAAATAATATGCAGAAAAAAAATGAATTCTCTATACTAATCAGCAGCACACTTTCTAACTTTCGTTCCATTTCTTCAACATTGCTAGTCATAATCAGAATATTTTCATTTAAAGATTCGACATGCTTCAATTGTGCTTCGAATCTTTTTTCATTCTGAATTTTAATGGCTTGCAATTCAGATTCTAATTTAGCTTTAATAAAAACAAAAAATATATTATTCTTTAGAAACAATCAACCGAAGATATTCGACAATTTTACTCACAAAATAAGGACTGTGCTTTTAGTAGAGCTGCTTTTTCATAGGAATGGTTGTTTTGCTCTTCTTGATATTCAATTTGAAGCTTCCCAAATATCTTTCCACATTCTAATCGCTCAAATTTTTCCGAATCTGTTGCTCGTTCTAAATCAATTTGCATTTGTTTGGTTTTCTTTTGGTAATGAGTAGTTATGTCTTTTTGAATTGCTGCATATAGTACTTCGAAATCACCACGTATTTTCTTGATAATTTGTTCCCGTTCAACCTTCCAGAATTGAGCAAAGTCATTCATATCCATTGAAAAACAATCAGTTTTACTAGAAATAAAGAAAATGTTCAGCTATATGAATAGAAGCACAAAAGCAATTTAGTATAACTATAATACATACGAATACAGAGCTTTGGAAAATTTAATTTCAAGTTTCCCCATTTGCAAACTAAATTGCAATGCCCTTGCTTGTTTCTTCACTACAGCCAAATCTTTGGCCACCACTGTATATTGCTTAATTGTATCTCTGAAAGTTGTTCGAAGTGTTCCAACAGTTCGCTCCATTGCTGCATAGGATGCGCGTAGGCTGGCGAGAGCAGATGTTGATTGATTGACTTCGTGCTCGAATTTCAATCGTTCTTGTTCAATTGATTGCTGTCCAATCTGAGCCATTTGCTGATACATTTGTGTTTGTAATTCAAAGAGTTCCACTTCAGATTCACAGTCAAATTTTGCATAGTTAATTTTCGTTACATCAGCCTTTAGAAGAGCAAGCTGCTGTTTTTCTTTACCATTGATACTGGCCATGACTGATTTTTGTCGTAATTCGGCCACTTTTGCAATATATTTTGACCGTTCCATTTCCAATCGATGAATGTGATCAAGCATGTAACGAAATCGTTGATTCAATTCGGTCAATGAATATTTTTCGTGTTGATAATCTGTGCTAAAACTAGTTTTCAGTTGTTCCATTTTGACTGACAGTGGAGATATGTAATAGAATTGATAATTGGAAAGTTTTTCAATCGGTCGGTATGCAACAATTTCATTGGAAATTTTCGTTTCACGTCTGATTGTTTCATATTTTTCTGGTTTTTGGACCGAACTTGAAGACATTTTTCTTCTAGAAATTTGTTAATAACTAACGAAGAAGTATTTTTAAAAGTTTCAAAGATGGTGCTACGAATGGTAATCGAATATAAGCAGAAAAATCGAAACATGGTATTACTATAACTCGCTGTTACTGCTTGCTACGCGTGTGAGCTTTTACATACATCGTCTATTTTGTCACACACACACACACACTTCTATAGGGGTTTAGTTAGAAACGAAATAGTGTAGGTAATAATGCAAATTTGAATAAGAATGGCAACGGGAAAGTGTACACCGTGTTGTGGATATAAGTTTCTTGTGATCGATGAAAATGTTTTGTAGTGATAATTCGAAAGCCTTTCTTTCAACATCAATAGAGCTAGTCATAACCCAGAGGTCAAACAAAAAAGTATGAATTATGAAGCTCTCTCAAAGCTTCTTAAGCTAAAGAATCTCAATCCAACTACTTTTTTAGTTGAGATTCTTATAGTGCATTTCTAATACGTATAGAATGAAAGGGATATATAATGAATGAAAGAGAGATATATTAAGAGCGAAAGAGAAAAGCAGTGTCACTGGCGTTATGTGATAGAACCAAGTAAAAGTGAACTTCGTGGGACTCGAATCCATACGTTCCGCTATCCAGGTGTATGTCATAACCAGTTATAACAGAAGAACATCTTAATCTTCATTTAGTGTTAGCAAGTTACATCACTAACGCTAACAAACTTAATTAAAATATAATACTTAACTGAACTCACGTCATACTTAATATCACAATTAAACTCGTATTTTTACTTAATTTTAATACTAATGATTCAGTAACTCATTACCATTTAATATTAAGTATTCAATGAATCTACTCAGCAAACATTTCTAATTAAGCCTCAAAAAGTAAAGTGGTTCACGTATACCTTTTATTTTTTCACTTTTCGATAACAACCATTATCAATTCAATGTGCATAGAACAGTGTTACCGTTAAATAAAAAGTCAAAGTGATTGAATACTTACTTAAGAGCAACAAGAATCTTCTCTCTCTCTCTCTCCTTTTCTTGTTCACTACTGTGTGTCTAAAGACTAAATTTCAGAATCTGATTCATTTTTCTACGCAGAAACATCAATTAAATTCTGTCATTATACTGCAACTAGCATAGTACGTATGAGATTGTTTCCTATAAACAATAAACCAAATTTATTCGCAGTAGGTAGCCGCTGAAGACTTTTATGACTTTCTCTGGCGTGATCAACACAAGGACAAAAATCTCAACAGATTATCATAATGCTAATAAACTTCAAGTAGTGGTTATTGTGTGTGGTTTATACATTCCGATACGTGGTTTATACATTCCGTTGCGTGGTTTTTTTACTATGCATATATATATATATAGTTTCTACGCTATGCATGAATTCATAGACGGAATGGTGTGTGGGCTTGGATGTGGGCGTGGGTAAGGGTGAGAATGAGTGTGTAACAGTCATTATACTGTAGAGTTCGTTTTGATATTGAAAGTTATCTGATCGCATAGCAATTTTCTATGTCGCTAAAACAAATACAGGAAACCCAATGCATTCTATTGCACATGAAAGTATATAGCTATAGATAGATAGATAGATGGTTGAAGCCGTCCTATCTTAATCATCACGACGTCCAAGGCCGACACATCAGACCTAAGATCTTGAATACCAGATATGATCGTGCAAAATAATCGCCGTCTGAGACATCTTTCATCAATTTGTACTGTAGAATTCTTGTAGGATTTTACTGCCGCATAGAATTTTCTATGAACTTACAGTACGAATTGATGTAAGATGTCTGAGACGATGATTTTTGTAGGATTTGTGTGTCTGCTCTTACAATATCATTCACGATCGAATGTACGATCATGCAGGATCTTATTATCTGATTGTTCTACCTGCGACCTGTAAATTGTCGTATCCAACTGCGTAAGAAACTATATACGACTGTAAACGGTATACTTACAGTTTTATGCGACATGGTAATCATTCACTTGGTATGGACCATATTATGGTCGTAAAATTCTGTGTCGTAAACGGACGTATACCACAATATAATTGTTGATTTACGGTCGTCTTTTGTCTGTATACAATCGTAAATACCAAAGTTTTCTGCAATAACCTATCGTAATATATTGTAGCCATTGTCGCCAACACAATGCGCAATAAAATCTCTCTGCACATATTGTTTTATTGTATTATCACTGAAATGATAACAGAAAGGAGAAAAATAATCCCTCTTCAGATGAAATCGAACAATGCACCTCATGTTTTTTTCCTACAGAATAGGAGGGGCAGCAAGATTTCTGAAGTGTCTACTTCACTTAAGCTCGTGGAGAATCCTACTGTACTCAAATTTGTTTTGAAGTGGAGCGAGTTTAGTTTTTTTTATCTCTTGGAAACATTACAATGATTTATTTCAGAAAAGCTACCGGGACTGTTTTTGTGAGATTTATTGAATATTTTGAAAGTTCGGGATTTTTTCCTTATCTATTATATTTTGAAACAATGATCTTCGTTATAAGGATATGCATAGAATTGGCCGAAAGAAAAAACGTCGAAAGTAAAAAATGTCGAAAGTGCTATAAATCGAGTTTGAGCATACGCTATCCATTTAAAAGTACAACGATGGATACTCCTACAGATTGCTCATATAGGATTGTTGAAAAGGTGGGTTTAAACTCTATCTATAGCATTTTCGACATTTTTTCTTTCGGTCAATTTTATACCATTCGTCAAAAATATTCCTCATAAAGATAAAATGTCTATCTTTCTGTCGTAGTTATATGCGTAGCAGTCTTAAATCGATTTAATATAGATTTGAGTGACTTTTTATTTCTGCTAAAGATAACTACTTCTTGGATACTTTTATTTATTTTCGAATTGATCGCACATAGGCGTAACGACTTGACTTCAGTATTGTAAAAACGAATTCTTGTGTATTAAAGTTGAAATAATAGTTTGATGCTCATGAGCCAATAGTAGAAATAACAATTTTAATACTCTGTAATCACCATTGAATTCAAATAAGTTTTTATTTAATATTTTTCAATACATATGTATGTGTCTTAGTATTACATAATGATACTTTAATTCTTATACTGATTCAAAATTAACGCCAAAGCCATAAATTATTTTGATAGAATTTATTTGAAAACATCAAATTCTTTATTTCACTCTCATGTACACTATTGAAAATATTATCAGCTAATGCAGTGCTAGTATTGAATCGCCTTTTCTAACATTTCTTTATCGAAGGTTCATTTAAATTCAACCTTGAACCAAATAATCAGTCTTTTTCCAGTGAAATTAATTAATTAACTGTCGTAACTTGATGAAAATCAACTGGTGTCGTCCATGATTGACTGTACATATATAATCTCAGTCTGACTTCAGCTCTCTACACTATATATTGGCATTGCACTCTAATGTTCTGTAGCACTCAGTCTAAATTTGAAGAATTCGATAGTATAACAGACTAGTTCGATAAATCTATCGCTCTATTCTAATCAATAGCAAGTAGAATACTCAGCTATTGCAAAAATATCAACGAACCGTAGTTAATTTTATTATTATCATCTGTTTGCCTACATATTTTTAACAATATGGTCTACACTTTTTCTATATATACATGAAAGTCTTAATTTGTAAAAAAGAAGCAGACATAGATACCAAATTTAACCTTTAAAATCGTATAAAATCCTGAAACAGAAATGAATAACGGGATTTATTAAAAACATCCCAATGCATTCAAATAAACCCCGGTAGCTGCTGCCTAGAGTGCAGATGAAGTAGATCTGAAGTAGACTTGAAGTACGATCTGGTTGTACTTCAGCTCTTCTTCATTGTAACTCACCTGTACTCAGTGAGTACGTAAATATTGCTTACTTCAATCTCTTGCAACCCGCTCATATGAAGAGTTTACTCCAGTTCTTCTGTGGGGAAAATTAGAATTTTCTTCCGGAAGAATATATCAAGAATTCGCTCACGACAAATAACAATAGAATACCGATATTTCAGATAGACAATGAAGTTCTAGAAATAATCAATAGTGCACAAGAACTTGGGTTTGGAAATTATTTTAATTCCTAAAAGCGCCAGTGTAGAGGACAATTTTTCTTGAGGAAACGTGAACTGAGCGTACAATATGAGTAGATACCTAATTCGAGTTCGAAAAGAAAAACGCAAATAAAAAAAACGACACCTTCGTGTCTAGTGAAGACGCAAAGAAAAGATTAAGTATTCTTCTGCCAGAAAGAGATTTTGAATTGGGATGATCGACTCGAACAACTGTGAATTCATTTTCCAATAAAATGAAAATATGAGAAATTTCACCGTTAGTTAGTTAATAATGGCTATTGAAACTTTGAATTTTATCTGAATTATAACTAGGGTCCAACGGGTGAAGCTCTCCCTCTTTCTCCAGTCCCTTCTACACACCCACAAGTAAACAACCGAATAATCAATAATATTTATAGAGAAACGATTCATGAAATTTTTATTATGATGTTTAAGTTTAGTAAACGTTTTAGAATACTGATTCGATTCTAATCATCGCCGCTAGCGTAACAACTTCGGATTGCAAAAATGAAAGAATAAAAACCTTTTTATACTGAAAGTAAAATATGAACGTGTGATGACGAGCTGCAAAGTAAGACATCCCCAGATCGAAGAAGCACGGTGGTAAACAATCGTTTCTGGCTTTTTGACATGCTCGACCTGGCTCACCTTCAAAACCGCACATTGCCATTCACTACAAATTAAATAGTTCGAAGTTCTCTATGAAGTTGTTCCAATGCCTGAATTATATATATATATATATATATATATATATCAATCAGTGAAAATCGGCAGCATTCTCATGTGCATATCGAAATGCAAAAACTTGCTCATATGGCGTCTTTGGGTCAATGGCTCAGTACGTTATTGCATTGATTTATAACTTTTTCAAGTTTTGAACACGATGCACTCTGCCCCTAAAACTATACCAGACGTGATTCAGACGAACCTATTACACATATTGTATTTAAATCAATGTATCCTTTCCCATTATGCTGGTCTGCATCATCATACATTCATTTTGGTTAATTTTGTTGCGTCTGACGATAAATTTGGTACATTAGCATGCGATTTTTATTGTGTATCTCATGTTCTTTTAACATTTTGGTGATAAAAACTTTTTGAGAATCACAAAAAAGAAAAAACTCTGGTGAAAAAATAGATTTCATGATTATCTCTGTACCTTTGATTGTACTAAATGAACTCACAATTATTTAATGATCACAGATTAAATTCAACATCAAGAAAAAAAATCAAAATAAAATTAGAAGAGCTATTTCTCAATTGCACTTAAATAAATCATATCTGAACCTAGTGTACAACAAAGGTGAACATAAACGAAGCGAATACTAATCAATGAAATAAAATAAAATAAATTAGCTTTATTCTACTGGTCACTCTCGAATACGAGTAGAACGGAAAATTTTTCCTGAAAGATATGCCATGTTTTTGATTTATGCGGATTATCCAATTCGTCACGTTTTAATAAAAGCCTATTTAAAAAAATTAATAGTGATAGTTAAAGTATTAGAATAACAAAGTGGGTCTTATACGTACGAATTATTTTCAATAAAGGATGTATTAAACCAAAAATAAAACGCGCAATTATCATAGTTTTTTGGTACTTTCTAATAGGAAAAAAACACAATCAAGTTAGATTTATTAGATTTGTTATTAATTACTTTATTTGTTGAAAAGAACATTATTTTAACATCTCCTTTCAACGAAGATAAACGAATGTCTGAAATAGTTATTGTATCTTCTCCCTTATTGTGGTCGTTCTAAACATAAAGCAAAATATATACTACTAGATACAAACAAAAAAACACAATTCCCTTTTTACCTTGCAACAATTGATATCAAGTTTATTATCTTGAGCCAATTGAAATCTTCCTAATAATTCATCATAATTTCCGACTGTAAAGAATAAATCACTACCATCGCCATTGCCAACGCCTAGTGCACATATATTCAAAAGAATTTGTTTTTTCTTGATTTTGAAATTCAATTCAATTACTTGCTATGCATCTGATAACAATTGCTTTTAGTTTCAAGATTTTTGTTGGTGGCATATGATGATTGTAAACGTGAAGGATTTTTTCATAATAACCAACATAACGTGTTTGAGAAGGTGTTTCAACTCCTTGAAATTGTTTACCTTCGCGAAGATCTGTTCGACCTTCCGCAAATAAAGTCAATGCTTCCTAAAATAATATTGATTTTTTTCTCCGTTAAAATAAGGTGTCATACGAATTTTCCTTATAGAAAGCATTCCACTCGAATAGAATTATGATTTTTATATTTTTAAGAAACATACTCTATTATTTGTTTTCGAAACTATATTTTAATTGTAAAAGCAAATAATCGATCCGAGAAAATCACTATTTGATCCTGTTCTTTTTTCAATTTCAGACAATGAACAAAATTAGCTATTTCCATTAATCTCACCGTAGCCGTTTGACAAACACCAGATTTTAATAGAGCAACAGATATCATTGTACCTGTTCGACCTTTGCCACCTTTACAATGAACAGCAATAACATTTTTTTCATTTTGTTCAAACCATTCAGTAACCGAATCTGCCATTCGAATCGTATCACTACGTTAAAATAACGAATAAAAAAAGCATGTGTCCTGAAAATTTTCTCTTTACTTTAATCTTGGTACATTATGATCATCAATTAGAATTCGTTCAACTCGATCATGAAAGAAAGCTGTATTGTAAAAGCGTTCGCCTAAAAATTTTACTTTTGACTATTCAATCTATTTATACCAAAGAAAAAGCCTTACTGCATAGATTGTACACACGATAATGTTCGCCATATGTTAGATCGAGATAATGACTGACATCCTGAAATTAGAAAGCACATCGGTTCTTAATCAAATTGTCACAGAAAAGAAAAAAATGAAAGCTCAATCACCCACACAGCATTCGCAAGCAATATAATAAACAGAGCCAAATTAAAGAAAATCATTATGTCCCGTGTAGACAACGTAGTGCACACTTCTAAATGGCTATTTCTGTTTTCTTTTATCACTTACAACAATATCATTTCGAAAAAAAGCATCTGTGCCTTTACTTGGAAACGACATAGCAATGATTCTATCTAAATAAATGCTTTTATGTTGTTGTTTTTTAATTTAAATATCAATCGAACTAAAAAAATTATAAGTATTTGACCATCTATAACTATCATCATTGTATTAAATACATTAATTGAAGAGTGTCAGTGTCGAATTAACGAGAGACATTGAAAGTGATCATTTTCCTGCCCGGGGAACATTTTTTAGCAGAAAAAGTTTTAAATTGAGTTATAAAATACCTGGTAGGATCATGATTCTTCTCTATAAGTCATAAGAGTCCTAAATCGGCGATTAGAAATACACTTACCACTTATAGAACATAAATCCAAATCAAATCCATTGCCAATAGTTCGTTTCTTATTTTGTCCAATTAAATGACGAGAACCAGTTTTCAAGTGTTCTCGATGACGGAGAACACGAATTGTTCGAATTAAATTGAATACTCGAAATAGACGTGGTATAACAACAACTCTATAATAATATGACAAAAACAAAATTAGACGACAGATAATGATATTCACAAAAACTGATCAAAATCCCATTGGCAGTAATTTTTTTTTTTCAAATTGACCTCAGACTCCGCGAATTTTTTTCTTTGAAATTTATTACAAATCTACTGTTTCATTTAGAAAATAGCAGATCCTGAGATTTCTACATACTTTGCAACTTGGCCTTGTTCATGGTTGACGGCCGTACTCATAACTACAATATTAACAATAAGACCGGCGCTCATCACAACTAAATCGAGTATTTCGAGTTTTTTTTGAAAAAATTCACGTCTATTAAAATTAGAAACGCTATGATGTAACAGGACAAAAACAAATTAATTCTATTTAATTTACCCTTGAGCAATAATACGAAGTGCAATGTCCAACATAAAAATAACAGAAAGAATTAAACTAATTATATCCAATACAGAAGAATCCTCTTAAAACAAAAAGGAATCAAAATCATAAAATTATTATTCATCACTGCTGTTCAAACTCACTATCTCGGAATCCCAGTATTGTAGAAATAATAATAATAACTAAATCGGAGACAAATAAAATTGCGATCACCAATCGGAAGCCAATACTCTCGATTAAACGACGAAGTTTGTATTGAAATAAACTATTTAGATAGTATTGTCTAAATGAAAGTTTACAATGTTAAAACTCACTCAAAGGGTGTCTGTTGTACTGCTTTTGGATCATCAACAGATAGAACACTGGATAAAAGACAAAATATAGTAAGAGAACAAAAATATCGTAGACGCTTACGTTGAGCCAAACGAAATTTTGACTTGACCGGTCGAGTCGTCAGTCATAGGTGCTGTTGATCTCAACTGATATAAAGGATTCTCCATCTGAAATAATCATTTATTATCACATCGATATTTCATAGATAGATATATGTATATATACATATACATTGCTTTAAACAAATATTGACTGTTCTCGTCGAAGAAACAATAAAATAAAGGGAAGCGGAGGAAGGTACGTCTATCATTGTTATCACGGAAAAACAAACAAAACAAAGTGCAGAAAAAATATGTCAAAACTTGATGCGCAATTTGACAAAAAAACTTGAGATTGCTCTCTCCACATATTATGGAGTATCTATACTAGAGTAGAAAAGTCAAAACAAAATACACGACACTGGTACAAAATAAAAATAAATAGTATAAATTATTCATGCATCTATATCAAATAGACTAGAAAAATATTCGAATGTTAAATATGCGACTGTAGATGCTGGTAGGACTTTAATGAGATTAGGCAATGAACCAAAATAGAAACCACGCCATCCATCAATTCTGTCAAGAAGAAAAAACAAATATTAATAAAACAATGAATTTATTTTCTGTTTTTACCTCCATATTTTGCCCATCATTTCAAGTATATTCTCTGGTACAATCTGATATTGTTGCCTTGTTCGGATAAGATACAACGGGTATGAAACATACATTGCAGCTAAGGCACTAACATTGGATATCGCTGTTAAAGCCCATATACCTAGAAAAAGTTAGAAAATAAGTGTTCAATATTTCATTTTTACTCCAAAACAAAAATGATTGTATTTACTAGGCTCTTCTAATGATGTACATTTTTCACGATAAATTCGTCGAAGATACTCGTAAAGAGCGAAATCAATTCCACACGCAGGAAGCACTATAATCGAGAATGTTTAAATGGAAATAAGTTCCTTTGTTTGTGTTTACCTCCAAGAGAATTTGCTAGATATCCACGATAGAACACTCTCCAACCTTCGCTTTGATGAAGTTTTCTAATGAGATCTAATATGGAACTGTACTGACCAGTTGTTCGCATTGCAGCTATTTTGTTCAAATAATTGATGAGGAAATTTTTTTATTGTTAAGAATGTCTCCTTTACCTTGTGTTTTCAGTACTTCCAATGGATATATACATGTTTGAGCGATAAAGCCTGATAGACAACCAAGACCAAATAATTCTTTGTTTGTTACCGGGGAAATAATCTATGAGAAAATATTCGAGAGACTCGTATTTGCCAATAAGACATCTTACAATTTCATCATAATCACCGCGCAGCTCACGGAAAGTTTCAAAAATTCCTTGCCGAAGAGCCATTTCCGGTGTCATTTTAAATATTGCAATACCATTTCCTCGCCAAAATGATCGAACACCACTAACACCACCTCCACCTTCACCATATAAAGTGCTAGAAAATCGTTTGGATGTTAAAACAAAGTTCTCAACCATTCTATTAGTTGAGAGATCTTACATTTATTTAAAAATATCGAAGGAAGCAGTCCTGCTCCCCGGGGAGATCTCATTAGCTGTTTCATTTAATCTAAGTACTCTATAGTAGTTTTTGTTATCTCAGGGCCAAAGAAATATTGACATCGACCTTACTTATTTTGCTCTTAATTACGTATGAATATTTCTATTGGGTACTTTGGTAATAGGTGATACTATTGAAGGTTGTTGATCTCTTCTTGTGATGTCTTCACTATTGACATAAAGATTGAACTGTCATTCAATATTAAATTTATACTATCAAAGAAAGCATTTACTTGTAGATTTCAATCGGAAAGCTCGTAAGTATTGACAAAACATTTGGACTAGCTCAAGTTTCATTTACAATTGATAAAACTTATTACAAGTGTTCGGCTACACTGCATGTAAAAATTTCAAATCTTGAAAAATTCCAAGTGACAAAAAGGATCATTGAAATCGAAAGAGAACCTCTGGAGAAGTTTCATTGTCAGTCGATTGGCTGACATCTCGAGTTTGAAATTAACGAAATCTTACGTTGCTGTTTTCAATAATTTTCTCTTTCCCATAGCTTGCATATAAATTTTCAATCGATCTAATGGCGCTGTTACTGTTCGACTAACCATTCCAGAGAGCGCACCAGCAATAAAATGTCTTGCATAAAAACCACTTTCAAGTTCCTTTTCAGTATAGGAAGTAGGCAGTTGTTGTTCATTAATGGTATCTAATTGAACACCACGACGCCATAGACGAAGTGATGCTTCTAATTCAGTTGAGGGTGCAAAACGAAAATATGTCTGCCATTCAGAGAATGTGATTTGAAAATCTTTGTCTTGATCAAGTACTTCAACGATTTTCATTAAATTTTTTTTTGTCAAAACAATTTTCAAACGTGAAAATGCTTTGGCTAATTCCATAGGATCCACTAAAGTCAAAACGATATTGTTTAATATTTAACAAGTGAAACATAATGGCTCGAAACAATTGTAAATGCCGATTTTGTTTTTCAAGGACGACATTCTTTATTTTTTAGTTGCGGAACTCTACGTTTTCAAAGTTCCTACCAAAAACACAATATGAAGGAGAGTCGAACGTTGGGTATATGAATTTTGAATGAGAGGAATTCTCCATTTAGTTTGAATGATGATCCTCATATATGTTAGAAAATGTTTTAACTTACCAACGCCATCTTTATTCAAATCGATTTCGTCAAAACTAAAAAAAAAAGAATTATGATGAGAATGATAAGAACATCAAAACAGATATTTAACCTTAATTTTATTTGCTTTTGTCTTTCAAGCATTATTTGAAGAAACACATCTCCGTCGATTCGATCACCTTTTGTTTTAAGTGACGTGACTAAATCATAGGAATAATCAAGTAACAAATCAATAGAGTGATAAATTTTACTCACTGAAATTTTTCACTTGATTATTTTTCTCTGGTTTCAATCGGCCAGTATCATCGAAACGTTGTAAAGCAGCTTCTAAATCTACGATACGTATTCGTCCACTTCCATCATCGTCAAGTGTGTGTACAATCTTTTCAATTTCTTGAAAAACTTCATCGTTTTGATTAGCTTTTTTTCTTCGGCCAAAATTGAACATAGGTTATAATGCTGTAATTTAGATTCTGAAATTTATTTTAATGTATGAGAAAACAAAAATTAGATCAAAACACGGAATTTTATTTAATATACACAATTCGTAAAATAGACATTAGCAATTCAATTAAATATCAGACATACAATTTCGAGATTTCTTTCGATAAGGAACACGGACATAAAACAATAATTATTGAATTTATATTCATTATTTCAATGAAATAAATTCACTGTTGTGTACGAATAAAAATAAAACTATTAACAGCAATAATAATAATAATAATAATAATAAATAAATAGTAGCATATTTATCATGACTAGATTAGCGCAAGTTACGAATGGACTCATTTCAAACGGCATAAGAAAAGAAAAAACATTATTTTGTAAATGGTGGAACAATAGCAATAGGTAGTTTCGTTGAGGCATTCAATGAATTATTCATCATCATCGGGCGCGTTGCACAGATCTTCGTCGAATATGGAAATGATGGATTTGCATAATATGAGATTGGTAATGTTGATGTTTTCTAAATGAAATTTAATACATTCAACTTGTGTGTGTGTGCGTGGTAAACTTGAATTTATTTGGTCGAAAGTAAAAATGTCGAAAATACGCACATTGAAATAAAACTTTGTTGTAAAAAAAGGAATTTAAAATGAAGACTGTTTGGGAAAATGTGTGATGAAGATGTCATTATTTCACGACGAATATTGACTTATCTTATTGTAAATCTAGGATCCATCTATCACACTATTGCTCATTCAGTACAAAGAAATGGACAAAGAAGAATACGAATAAGAATCTTCAATCATTCATTATTCGAGAAACAAAATAAAAGTGATGGCTCCTTCTGGTTCAATATCTATCATCAATCATGATTGATATTTCATTCATTCGAATAAAGAAGGCATAAACTTGAATGACCATCTGGTGCATCGAAGCCGAAAGACACAAGAACAACAGCATTACAAAGTCAAATAAAGACGTTGTATGATATATATAGCAAATATCTGTGAACTCCTTGAAAATTTGTCTTTAATTGTGGTAAAAAAAGAAGTTTTAATCAAGCAGATAGAACATTGTTTAAAGATGGATTAACAATCATTCCCATAAAAGCTTTAGACTGTCTGTTAGTGTTCTTTTAATAATAAACGTTAAGTTTACTGGCTGATTCATTTTCACAAAGAAAAAAAATGTGTGGAAGTATCACCTCAGTTTCGACATTTTTTTTCGACCAAATTCAAGATAGTCGTGTGTGTTTCACAGTGGAATGAGTCGGCACAAGAAAAGCATGAGCAAAAGGTTTCACTTAGAAAGCATGTCCAATCAAAGAAATATAATACTATGATTCTCTAATATGTTAGTTCTCATGAGCACTTTTAAGGCTTTTAAGAAAATGTTTTTCAAACTACTTCATCTAAAAACCATCATAAGATACCCATAAGGGCCTTTTATCATGAAGTTTTGTATGAATTCACGATCTTTTCTTTTAATATTTAGTGGTCTCTCGTGTTGCATTGAATTAAGAAAGTTTTGCTTTAGCAAGATCAATTATTAATATATATTCACGGCCTGTAGTGAAGATAACTTTTCAACGTCATTCCCGAGAAAGCTTAAATTTGATAAATCCTTCTAAAATTAAGACGTTACGCAACTGTTAGAGTAACACTAAAAGCAAGTTAGTAGAATAAGCTTTTCGATCTCATACTACAATTCTTCTGGTTGACTATTTTGTCACTTTCTAAAATATATATTTTACGTTATGAAGTGGCCAATTAAAAAAGAAATCCTTATTTTATTTACATGCAATTGTGCTGGACTATTTTTAATATGATAATTAGCATGATTCTTTGTATTATTTTGAATCGGTGTTAATGACTCATGATCATATTGAGACCAATCAGCTTTACATGGTTCAGTTAGATGACCGTCCCAATTTGATAGTTCATGCTAAATAGAAGATATTGATTAGAAGGAAAATAGTGTTGAAGAAAAGCCTAACGGAATCTTACCGTCCGATAATATAAAAGTAGTTCATCAAGTGATTTATGTACTTTTGCTTCACCAATAACGTTATATTTTAAATTTTTCAATTGATTAATCATATAATGGCGGCATCGATCTTCGGCTCTAAAAACAAACGAAAGAAAATAAAAGAAAATTTTCATAATTTTTTAATCACCGAAATGATAATGAAAAACCAAAACGACTTTCGCTAAGACGTATTAAGAAACAACCAACTGACTGTTTTGATAATAATTCTTCTGCGCGACTATAAAGAAAAAAGTGATTCATTTGTAAGCAGCGTCTCTTTTTCATTATCTTACTGTCGAGTAATATTTCCGTGAAACCAACTGGGAAATGTTCCCTTATGGCAAACATATGGATATTGTGTATCACGAAACCATCTTAAATATTAAAAACAAAAAAAATGTTTTCATTGAAAATTAAATAAATATCGAAAACAACTTTAAACAAGATTCGCGTTCACCCGGCGAACCATATTTGAGTGTTAGATAAGACAGTAAAGAATCATAATCAACCATTAATTGATTCGTTGTTAATGTACTCGTTGGTGTTGTTGGTGGTGATCCAATTTTCGTTGTTGGTAAAGAATATCTCCCACCCAATCCAGTGTTATTAATTTGTGATGAAGAATTAAGTGAACTTTCACGAACTGGCGGACGAGGTCGATGATCATCTTCAGGATTAACACTTGGTACTGTTTTACCTATGAACAATAAAATTTCTATATGATTCAAAACTGATGCATGAGAACGCTAGTGGAAAAAGTGATATTGTGGTTGGTTGGCTCGAAAAATAATTTCAGGTCTGCCATAATGTTATGATCGAAAATGTGGAAGTGATTATCCCATATGCGAAAAAAAACAGAGTTTGGGCAAATCCAACTAATCCTAAAAGATATCAAACCTGGAAATTTATCGCCGAGTTGAGTAAGTGTTTGAATCATTTGGCTGTTGATATCTTCAATATTAGCACAAAATTGGTTAACTTCATCTTTGTATATTTGCGAGATTGATTTTAACTGTTTAAAGTGTTTTCTTCCCACATAGCCCCGAAATCCTAGAGATAAACAAAAATAATTAACCATTAAAATATTGTTTGGTAAAAAATTTACTTCGTTGAATTAGTAATGCTGCTTGCCGATATTTATTCATTAATTTTTCCAAATTTTCCGGATGATAATATTTTAAAAACACTTTTGTTTTTCTAGACAAATATGATTATAATCGTCGATTATTCAAAATTTTCCTTTTTCTTCTTACCCTAATTGCCATTCAGTTAAATGTGTTTCTTCAAGAATATAACGACAGGTGATTGACGGTACATTCGATGGACGAGCTTTTGATAGGAGACCATATCTATAAATGATACAAATCGATAAAATAAATCGAAATTCAGTGTCAAAAAGTAAATATTATACTTTTGTATGAATTCTTCAAAAGACAATCGTACAGAATAACCTTCTTTACGTATTCGAGTTGTTTCCAGCATACCACAATAACGAAGCTAAACGATTCAAATAGAAGAAGTAAACATATTGTCTTTCGTTGAAATCCGTCTTACTTGTGCACGAACAAATGGATCATCAAATAAATATGCTTGTTTTTGTTGATTAGGCTTAAGGCAACGCATAAATACAGGATGTGACGCACACATACGATCCATTAAAATTTGTAAAGAATTCTAAAATAGATAAGAAACAAACACGAAATAGACAGATATTTGCGTGTGATATCAACGGTTGTATTTACTCGGTATTGAGCACCAACTGTTAAGCGATTTCGAGCATCTTTTTCGGCTGCTGTTCGATGTTGAAGCTTAAAAAAATGAAGAAATCTTACGATCAGATAGGGTTATGAAGCACATTCATAAAATATTCGTCTGCTGCATAGGAACATTTACAATTTGAGTGAAGTCCATTTCATATGAAATTATTAGAAAATTCTAGTCACTCTGATGCTTGCCTATAAATAACTGGTCACTATGCGTATTTTTTATGGAGATCTATCAATTTTCGCCTGGTTAAAATAGGAAGCTGAAAAAACCGAACGATCAATATGATTTAACAATTCTCTAATAAATGTAAACGTTCATATTACCATTACGCCTACCCCTTTATTTGAATCGATACTTCCATCCGATGGATTTCCATGGAAAAGTAAACGTATAAGATCATCACGACTATTTTTAAACATATCAACAACACTATCCGATAGTGTATCACGATTTTTTTCCAAAAACCCCAAGGCACAATACGAAACTTTGCCAGCATAATGATGAATCGTAAATGAATATTTATTATTACGATTGATTGAATAACATTCATGTTTATTTGAACCAAAACGATAATTTAATTTTTCTACAAATGTCTGATCAGTTGCCTAATTTAATCGAAATAAAATTCAATAATTCTTAAAACAAATCGAAAGGTGTTATTTTTACTTTTGGAAGTCGACTTTCATCATCTAATAGTGAAAGTATTCCTAATGGTTTAGCCATAAAAAGCTCCTTGAACAATGAAAGAAATTAGAATAATTTAACTACTAATATTCTGTTTTACCAATAATGTTTGATTGTCAGTAAATGTCAATCGTTCAGCGATAATACCTTCATTTTCATACTCGGTCATTTCCATACGAAATATATGCTAAAAAGATGCACTAAATACAAAACAAAACTTCTTGTCTATTTACTTGATTGAAAAAAAATTGGATTTGTTCATTGGCTAAATTGATACATAATTGTTCAAAACTGTTTAATTCAAAATGTTCAAAACCTATTGCAATAGACAAATATAAAGTTTGAATTTTTTTAATCTCGAATCTTTATTTTCTCTACCATAAATATCCAATAAACCAATTTCAACAACATGATGATATGATTGAGATGGATACGGATTGTTTAACGTCTCGTTTATTTTCCCAATGAGCCAAGAAAATAATCGAGCGTAGAGATGTTTTGATAAAGCATCACGGGCATCTAATATAAACAATATATTTTGTTTTTCTTACTACAACAACAGATCATTCTTTCTTAAGTACCTTGGCTTGACTGTAAACTAAATTTTCGAATCACTCTTTCATTACGAGTTAACGTTGTCATAGTTGTTAAACACTCCATAATTAAATCCGAGTTAACGCCAAACATATTCTAGATAGTTTGGAAGAAGAAGAAAAAAGTGAAGTTTATACATTTAAAATTAATATTCTTGTGACATACAGAAATTATGGAAAGATTCTTTTTAGCTTTTTCTTCATCGGAAGTCTGCTGTGTAAAACCTTCGTCATCAATAGAAAATTCAAGATTACCAATGGTTAAAATACCAGACAATATGCGAAACATGGAATGTTGTTCCTAAATAAACATAGAAATTAATTGGGAATATGATGCAATCACCGGAGGAAAAATTCTGTGTTAATCAACATTGATACTCCGACGTATGTTCAGATTTCCGAAAAAGAAAATTACAGAAATTTCCGAAGCTTCCATCAACTCGATTACTACATAGCAAAGCAAATGAAAATTTTTTGAAAATATTTGAAAGTTTAGAAATTTCGGAATCTTCTGTAATTTCGGAAATTTCGCTTTGTACAGAATTTTGGAAATTTCAGAAATTTCGGAAATTGTATAATTTTGGGAAGTACCAAACAATTTAGAACACAAGTACTTGAAATTTCCAAAACTTCCAAAATTTCCTTTTTTAGAAGTCTGAACACTGCTGGATACTCCACAATTATTCGATGGATCATTATTTTTTAAAATGCGTACTTTATCAGTAAAATTTAACAAGCTCATTGCATTGATAACTTCATCTAATGAATTCATAGCAGTCGTATTTTGAACATCTAATGATGGATTCGTCAAAAGATATCTACGAGACAAATAAAAATAATTAAATTTCTTTTTGCACTCTTTCAATTTACTTATAATCATGTTTCGTTCGAAGGCACAAGATTTGTTTTGTTTCCAATGGTAGATTATCAAATAGATAATAAAATATATGAAAATTTCTTTCGCCTGGACTTTGTATTACCACACGTGATTTTTCTAACAGATAATCACTTATTTGGGCGCCAACAACTAAAATAAAATACTTATTCAATAAGACGTTCCGTTTGTTGTTTTTACCTTTGCCATTAATAAATTTCAAAGCAATATATTTTCCAAAACGACTTGAATTATTGTTCATCACAGTTTGTGCATTGCCAAAACTTTCTAATAATGGTGTTGCCTAAATTAACAATAATTTTATTTCTAAACTCAATATAACCGTAGATGTTTACTTGTAAAATCTGTTGTTCTAATTGAGAACTACCACCACATAAATACATCAATTGTTTTAAAAATAATTTTGTACTTTCAGTTTTTCCTGAACCTGATTCACCACTGAAATTTAAAAACAAAAAAAGAAAACCACATAGACTCAAATTGTTTTGATTTTTCTATCTCACCTAATGACACAGCATTGTTGTTTATATATACCATGGCAAACATTTCGATAAACAAGATCGACAAGCGCATACACATGTGGTGGCTTCTGAATATCAGTCGAATATCTGTAAAAATCACGAATCTAAAAGTAAAATATAAGGAAAAAAATAAACATTTCTTATCATTATTACTTGTGTGGTATAAAGATTTGTTTCTTGAAATGGATTAACTGCAACAAGAATATCTCCAAGATAAGTCTAAATAGTCAAAAGTCATAAAATTCCCTTTGGCGTTTCTGTTTTCTAAATACTTACATAAATTAAATTTTTATCATATCGATGTTTTAAATGTTCAAGTAAAATATCTTCTGTTAAAAGACTTAGTTTGGCAAGATCATCATTTTTGTCTACCATCGATATAGTATCTTTAATAGATGAAAATAACTGTTGTTCCTGTGTCAACATGATTGTAATAACATCTGAAAGACATATGAAAATTAAAGTAAAGAAGAAAAGTAAGATTATACAACAATTCGACAGTCTCGCCGAATATTACCGTTCTCAATAGCTTATATTACTCGCTGACGGTGTCATCAGAACATGCTCAACACCTTCTTTTCGGTAAGATGATACGCGTGCACCATCACGACTATGTCTTCCTTTGCTCATCCATATGCAAACAAAACTCATCAAGACATAAGAGAAAAAATGTAGTTAGAGGATGAGGAGAGGAGGAGAAGAAGAAGAAGAAGAAAATGTATATACGCTATCAACATATATATTTAATCGACAATTTAGGATATTCTTTCTCGTTCATCAATCTTCTCATTCATTGAACTCAAGCATATATTTATCTCACTCTTCTACATCGACCAGAATATTGATAAAACAAAAAAAGTGATAATTTAGAAAATCAGCTATGCTAATGAGGCTACTTTTTTGTTTTTTGTTATAACCACTATAGAATGTCAATATGAGAAAAAGAAAACTCTAAAGAATGTGACCGGTTCTTTTTCTTCTATGTCACACACACACATAAATCACCGGAAATCAAAAGATTGATATAGTATCAACATTTATATCCCCGCAAATAGACACGCATAAAAAACATCAGTCTAGTTTTTATCAAATTGGCCAGTAACTACTTGAGTAACATAATTGATCGTTGTTGGATGCTTTAGAATAGCTAAATGTTCAACACCAGGTATCTCTAAACTATGTATATCTTCGTTTTGTTTACTTTCCCAATGTTTAAAGCCAAGTAAACTTCTTATGTTAACTGTACCATCACCATTATCGGGCAATACAACTGGTGGTAGATCAGGAAAAGTACGATTATCATATAAAAGTACTCCGGGCGTTGGCATCTGACTACCATAGATTTGATGTGATTCAATTTTAGGCGGATCTTGTTCTTGAACTAAATCTTTATTATTCAACCAATAAGCATAGCCAGTTGGAAATTGAATATCATTAAAGAGTGCTTCATAATCATTAACAGTATAATTACGTTGTGGTGTAACAACAACGACTTCATCTTTATTCCAAAAATTTACACTTGGCATTACAAATGCAGTTGAAGGTGCTGAACGTTGATAAGGACGAACACGAAAAGGCGAAACCACATACACCTTAAGATTTCAAGATGAAATGGTTTTATTCGTTGCTTATTGAAATACGAAATAAACGCTAGATCATTTTCTAGTTCACTGAGTTTTGTGTGTAATCGGCATGTATATGTGGATTCATGGAATAGAAAATATTTGTGAAATGAGAAGAATTCGAGAGAGAGAGAGAGAAATGTGTAAATTGCTATTGCATAATAGTATGATGATAACTATCGATCGATCACTTCCATCTGATTTATACGTAAAACAAAATCACGATTTCCTGTCTCGCTATTCATTTTAGATCCTTTTGCTTTATAGAAGATCGAATATTCATGTATGTTTTACAAATAAATAGTCGAACTTAGTAAAAAAAAAAGTCATCGGTTGGTTTCTAATCCTATGAGGATATTGTCCGAAGCCCTTTCAAAACTTTTAATCCTATTTTTTTTTGTGTAAAATTTTCGTATAAAAAATCTTTAGATGGCATGAGTGTAGGTTCTATTTTGATTGAGATGTTAAGATTTTTCTTCGAAACTCTAGATACTTTCAAAACATTTTACTTACTCGCTGAGCTATATTAACTAGACTGCCTTCTAGAAAAACGAATGAAAGTCAATACGAGTATTTATGTCGATAGTATTCTAAGAGTTTATTTTGCGATGAATTTCTATTCATTTTTCGATTAACCTTGTACCCCCCACGATGATGAGAGTTAAGATTTTCGTCCCTAGATCACGGTGGGGCGTCTAAAGCAAGAGTAAAGTGAGATTTCACACGGTTATTAGTTGAATTTCAAAAGAGAAATACAACGAACTCTCTTGTAACTCATCTCTAGACATGATATAAAATATGTAAATTTCATCGATGTCAACTCAAAACAAAACTTCAAGGGACTAGGAAATTAACTTTTATCTGTAAGTCAAACCTTGATATAGACTCATATCCTTTTAAACCTTTCTTTGATAAATTAAAAGTCCTTGACAAGCTTTCGATGATTTCGAACAATATCCTCATCAGTTTTCTTTTTTTCTTTTGTAAGCTTACATCAATATTGTCACCGCTAATCATAAGTCGAAGCGCTTTAATAGCACCACCCCAAGGTGCAGCAATATTAACCATTGAACGAATATATTTCGTTTTAAACTCTTCAGTTTGTCGATGAAGCCAATACAAAGCAAATGGACCTAAATAAATTCTCATTAGTTGATATTCTGATTATTGAACGAAAATAAATGGATAACGAACCTCCCATACTATGTGTTACAAGTACAACTTTAGTTTGATTATTTAGTTCATAAGTATCTTGAACTAATTTAGTAAAGTTAACAAAAAATTCCTCTTGCTCATCGATACCTCGACGAAAGTCATATCTAACAATACGAGAGAGAGAGAGAGAGAAAAACAAAGGTTAAATTTATTCTTTTTCAGTCAAAAAAAAATTGTATCTTACGGAGCTCCACGCAGATTAACACCTCGTGTATAACCAAGTGTAACGAGACTGCGTACTATCGGTGCGAAATAGGATGAATAAGAAAAGCCAGACGCATCAAAATATTCAATAGTTGATGTTTCTCCAAAACCAGGAATCTGTATTTCTACGCCTTCTAAGTTCGATGTTTTTTTTGTTGTTTCATTGTACAGTAAACGCATATTATCAACGAAACAATCGATTACTTCAGGAATAATAAGACGAAGATCAAGCCATAATTCAAACCAATCTGAATGGCGTGAACAAAAGAAATGCGGTGGAGGAAGTGTACGATTTAATCGTGCCCAAATTTGAGAACCACCATCACCAGGAATAAATATAACTGGATAGTGAACACTAGCTGCGTTGATGTTAGTAAATATATAGATGAAAGACAGAAGAAACAAATGGCAATTCATATGTCGAAAAAAATTCACGATAGCTAAAAATATAAAAAAAATAATATGCTTATATAAATGTTTTTTTTTATAACAATCGTTTCTATTTGTTATATTTTTTATAGTTCGGCTCACAAGATGCGATGATTTCATTGTCGTAACAATACTGTAGATAAGAGTAACGAGACTAATCGTATGAATCAGAATCAGAATCATCGGACAGGAGATGATGTTTAACCAATAAAATCTTGTCTCAGTCCTCTATTGACTGAATGAAACAAAACAATATAGTGAAAAGCGTAAGTGTGTTTTGATTGGTCAATTTTTTCGGATTTTTCAAAAAAAACCTGGAAACCTAGTCTGACAGAGAATAATTCTACCTAGCGTGTTTTGTCAGTATCATTTTCGGTCCCAGTCGAATATGAAAGAAAAATTCCGTTTAAACGATCTATTTTTCGATGAATCGGACTGTAACGATTATGTTAAGGTATAGATCTTTCTTTTTTCACAGAAATCTTCATGCATATGGATCAATTTGTAATTAAAATAAACTTGACATAATTGCGAATCTTCTGATCGAGTAAATACTTTCATTTGAACTTGAGCATTTTCATGGCTAAACTTTGAATAAACAATTGACGATTAAAAACCGTACCTCTTTGATAGCAGCGGGTCAAACATCAGCTAATTTATTAACAGCCATCCAAATGCAAGAGGACTTATACCATTGACTTTAATAAATAAAAATAGCCAACTTATTCAAAGATTATCTTATTGAACGAATCATCTTTTTAAATGAATATTGTTTAAGCCAAGGAAAAATCTGCTACACCTATGATTTTTCATATTTCATTGTGTACATCTGTATTTATTTTCGGCAACGTTTCTTTTCTCGTACACTTCTACTGTGTTCATCAATATCAATAGATAATCTTGATCGTGTGAGTAAACCAAACAAATAGATTCTCATATCATGGCATTATTAATGATATTGAGGTTGATCATAACTCATAAATCAACCATTTCAGTAGAGAAATCACTCCTTTTATCTAATGTATTCTTGTAAGTGTAAAACGGATACAAGTTTTACACATTTTGTTATACATATATATCGATTGTCTAAGGATCTTGATAAAAGATATTTAACTTTCACTTGAATTCTCTGACCGTTAACTAATAAAAGCTTTTTAAAATACTCATGCCTTGTTCAATTTTTCGTACTTAGTAGAATTTTAAAGTATAGCTGTTGCATATTTAGTGTAAGATTTGTCTTGAGCAATGTGACTATAGTAGTTAAGTTCTCGCCAAATAATTTTGCAGACAGTATTTATGCCCTTACGAAATAAGTCTTAGTAGAAACGCTGATTCTGACGAAGAAGATAATCAAATCTAAAGATTTTTCTCGAATCCTGGTTGAAGTAACAATACACTAATAGAACAAACTGCCAAAAGCTGTGTACCTAATGATACGATTTTCAAAACAACTTCAATATAATTAGAAGTAATCTGCATACAGTATTCATACATGATTTATATGTCAAACACTTTTCTAGGTTTGACGAAAATCAATATCCCAATGAGAATAAGTGCATCTGTTATTGATTCTTTTCTAAGTAAAAGTTACTGAAGTTAATTTTATTGCATTGCAAAGGAAAAAAATGTTTTTCTTAGTTTTTCTCAGTTTGTTATTACCATCATCGGCAAGTAAAACTGTTGGAGATGTTTCTTACGGTACGTAATGTTGCGAAAAAAAAGACGTTTTACTAGAATCGTCATCACTTAAAAAAAGACAATAGAAACAGATAATATTTTTGCATGGGTGCTATTGTCGCTATTAAGTTTTCAATAGGAACCACATGAAATTAAAAATGAAACAAGTGATTCATTTTTATTTCAAAAACAAAAGAGTGCAAAAGAATATTTATAAATTTAGTTTTTAATTTAGTTGCCAATGTACCATTACAATGGGTTAATTGTAGTACATGGACTGACCAATTAGCGATTGAAAAGGTTGAAGCAAATTTATGGCCACCAAAACGAAATCAGTTATTAACAGTATATGTATCAGGTGTGGCGAAAGAATCATTTCTATATGGAAATTATGACAAGACAATTGTTTATCGTGGATATTCCTTACCATCAATATTCGGATCATTAGATGATCTCGGAATTAAATTGGCTGTTTATCCAGGTCCATTACAAATGATTATATTCAATAGTACAATACCTGAGGTAGCACCCGATGGGCAATATGATATATATGTTAAAGCATATGAGCAAGATCATGCAGAAGTCCTATGCGTTAAATTCAGTTGGGAATTCTAAGTTATTTAAAATAAAAATCGATGACTTAAATATTACTCTTTTCAAAGTTTCTTTGCGGCATGATTCTCTAATAAAATCAATTTTGTATTAGTTTTTCATTTCATATCGAACTTTAGCATGAAGAAAACATAAGTTTTTGAAAGCCACTGCTAAACTCATGTTTTGCAATTAGAAACAAATATTCAGATCCTTAAATATCATTTTCGATGCAGAAAGTTAGTTGAGTGCAATTAGTTTATATGTTTTACTTAATTATTTCACCTGGATGTTTACTCCTATAAATATCGTTAAGTTGAAGAAAACTATACAATTATCTATTTAGCCTTAGCAATGGAATCGATTCCATGTTTTGTTTAAAAAACTCCATACTCGCTTATTTAAACAATTGACGAACATCTTCCAAACCAGAAGGATATTCCTTCGTATAAACATTTTCTTTGAACATTGGCGACACGGATTACGTGTAACATAAAGTCTAGCAATTCGACATAGACGACGACCTATGAAATGAAAACCAAACCATTGTAGAGCGCGTGGATATGGGTGCCACTACGTCGGCACCCACACTCACGCCCTCGATTCTTTGTTGTTATCGTGCGATCTGTATAAACCTATCTTGTAATTTTTGTTTCCCAATACGTGCGTGCTAATCTTTTGAAACCACACTGTCGTTTTCTAATCACTAGTCTATCATTATTGCATTCCGCCATTGGCAAATTTTCTGAACTGGTTTTGAAAACAACAAATTTAGAGCATGGGTTCACCCGAATCTTATAGCAGCAATGGTGTTATACTATAATTTTTAGTATTATGAATTCTGCTCTTTCAGATCACCATAGTTTTTGTTGTGAATACATTTATCTGTAGCTATTAAAAGAGATGAATAGAATTTCTTTCTTTCGTCTCAAACTTATTGAGTTTTAATATCTGTTTTTTCCAATTTATTTCACTAGTGCATTGTTGAAATACTTTATTTGAGATATGTTGCACTATTGTAAGAAAATTTTTGATTTAATTGGCATATTTTTTTTATATTCCAGATGTATTTCTAAAAAGTAGTCAATCGAAGTGAAACGACGACCAGTTGCTAGATATAGGTAAAAACTAATATTCATTGTCAAGAATTAAAATCTTTACTGAAATATTCAATAACTCAATTGACATACATCTGGAAGCGCTAGACTAAATTGATTTAAATACATATACGAGCCCTCATATAAATCTTACAGAGATATTAGTTGTTTGTTTTCTGTATTTTTTATGATCTGTAGTATGAGTAAACCAGATCGACTTATAATATGCAAAAACAAATTTAACCTATGGTCGATATCATTCCATGACTTTACTGAATTGTCAAAAGTCAAACCATTTTATTGCAACAACACATTTTTGTTCACTAATTTAGTGACACGTATAACAAAATGAATAAAACAAGGCCAGAAAAAGTAACTAGCAATAACATAATTATTATAGACAGTTATTCAAATTACAAATACTCTCATCCTCAAAACAGTGCTATATCAATCAATATGTATTTAAAATGTAAATTATCTGGAAACACAAGCCCGATATACTTCTCACAAATAACGATAGTTATTTCAATAAATAGTACAGTTGAGTTCACTTATAAGAGCTCCGGATAAGGGAGCGGTCCGCTTTTAAGAGCCGTTTTCGAATTCCCCTGTTTTTTCCTCCAGTGTTTTACGTGCTGACAAAGTCCGCTTATGAGAGCCTCGGATAAAGGAGCGGTCCGCTTGTAAGAGCTGTGTTTTGGTGCGTTTCTGTGATTTTAGTCCGTATAAAAGAGCCTTTTAATCTATTTTACTACAAAGCTGCACCATCGGGCACTCTGGCTGTCGCCGACAGTCATCTTACTGGTGGTAAAACACCGATAGATCTAGTAACTGTCCTTTTTTTGTGCAATTCTACGGGAACCGAAAAGTAGGCATATGCAATTGGAAAATTCAAAAATCCGCGTTGTTTCAAGAAAGCTCGACCCCCGTTGTCGTACTACAGCAGCAAAAACGCTTGGATGACAAGTAGGATTTGGTCAGATATTCTGCAAAAATTCGATCGAGAATTGGGTAATCGAAAAATCCTTCTTTTCGCCGATAACGCCACCTGTCATAAGACCGATGAAGCGTTGAAGAACATAAAAATCATTTTTATGCCGCCGAACACGACATCCTCAATCCAGCCTTTGGATTAAGGTATCATTCGTACGGCGAAGGCGCGTTATCGCACTCAAATTATGAGAAAAATGCTTCAAGTAGTCAATGATGGCACGTCGATAATCGATTATGCAAAATCGATCGATATTTTAAAAGCGTTGCATATGCTCAAACGAGCTTGGTTTCTCTTTTCGCCCGCTACGATCGAAAACTGTTTTCGAAAAGCCGGTTTTCCGGTTATCGACAAAATTAGCAACGTGAACGAAATGCAGATGGTTTTGGATGTGTCGGAATTCTGTGAAGCCATACAAGAAGAAGATTTCGAGGCGTTCGTCGATTGTGATAAGGAAGCGGAATGTTTTGGAAATCTCACGGATGACGAAATTTCCGATTCAGTGAAACTATATCGACAAGGGATAGCCGGTTTAGAAGAAGAAGCCGGAATTTCTTATGAATCGATACCAGGTGTCTCTCATAAAGATGCACCGATGCATCTTTCGATGGTTCGCAAGTATTTGGAAGAGAATTTTACAGAGTATAATTCATATTATGATATCGAAGAAATGATCGAAAAGAACGCTTTAATTAATCGTACTCAAAGTAAAATTACGGATTTCTTTAAGTAAATGTATGTATGTCTATGTACTACTTGATAAATGTTGACAAGAAACAATTTTTGCACTGTTTTACATATAGTTCGGATAAAGGAGCGGTCCGGATATAAGAGCCATTTTTAGAAACCCCGACTGCGCTCTTATGAGCGGACTCGACTGTGCGTAGAAGAATTAGAGACAATACTGACTTCGCTACAAAACTAAATAATTCAGTTAAAAGTATAATTGCCAATGTTGGTCCTTCGATTTTCGAATCAAATGTACTTCTCAGTATTGAAGAACAATGGGCAATGTTTTTACGAAAAATTGATCATAGGAAATCTGATATCGATAACGAAAAATTCATGAAGACTTCGAAGAATTTAGTAGTAAGATAATTAAAGATTACGAAAATGGTTGTGTTATTAAGAAGTATTATTATTATATTGTCATCGCTAATGGTTTAGTCCCGGGTGTAAGGGGGGGGGGGGGGGGGGGGCGGGGGGGGGGGGGGGGGGGGGGGGGGGGGGGGGGGNTTTCGTTTTTTTGCTCACCAAAACAGAAAAAAAAGTTTACGACCCTGCAGCCAAAAGTTTATTTTTTAGGTCACGAAAACAGAAAAAATTAGAGTTACACCCCCCTGTGACGGCACAACGTCACCTGGATTATGTGCTGATACTAGTTATGCTTTACATATATTTTCTCAATATAATTTCTTGATTCTTATTGTCTAGGTACTACCCGCGTCTTTACTTTTATCTGTATCTTTCTTTTTTTCATTAGCTTGTTACTTTTCTTCTCTGTTAGTTGGTTCTATTATAATCAACTCCTTTTTCTCTTTTTTTCTTCTACGTGACTCTAAAACTTCTTCTTCTGGAAGTCTTGTCAAATCGTACAACTTATCCTTGTTGTATCTACTGTTTCATTCATTAATTCTAATCTATTAAATAAATTAGTGAATTCTCATTCAAGTTTCATTTTCTTATTTACTTCATCTTGCCATTTGCCGTCATTATCATTGTGGCATTTGTCAATACTTAAACAGTCGCATCTTCACCTAAATCTTAATCGTTAAAATAACGACATGACACCCCCCCCTGCTCTGAGATCTGACTTACGCCCCTGCTAAAAGGTCGAAGTTTACAAAACAACTTCATGTTCAAGATTGTAATCATGCTTTCAGATTTATTTGTCCTGATAATTTCTCTTGACAAGATATTACAATTTTCAGAAAGATAGATTGTAATTAATTTTTGAAATATGATCTATCATAACCTATTCCAATTAGCTACAGAAAGAGAAACTATACCGTATTTTTGTGCGGCTGAAATAATAAAATTAGAGAAAAAGCTTTTTCTCTCTTTTCTTCACCAAACAAGCGTGAGAATCACAGAATAAATCAATAAGTGAATTTTTTCATTTCCGTCGTCTGACTACGAATTGTCTGCATTACAAAAAATACAAATTTTGATTATCAAGGAATGTCACACTCATGTGCTGTACTTCAATGCGAGCGAAAATTTCGAGCCTTATGTGATTGTTGCAAACAAAATCTTTGCCTCCAACATTTGACTGAACACAATATGATACTCGTGTCACAATTGAATCCATTGACTAATGAAATTAAAGCACTTGGTGAGCGACTAGAATCCTTGAAACTACATGACATAGTAAGAAATGGTCATCAAAAACTTAAACAATGGCAACAAGATTGTCATGAAAAGATTGATCATTTGTTTGAGAAAAAATATCAAGAACTCGATCGACTAGTGACCGAGAAATTAGATCAACAGCGAGAAAGCATTCGTCGTCTGCATTCAAAACTCAGCAAACTTGTTCACGAACAAGAAGCAACTCGAAATGATATTGATATGTTGTCGACAGCAATTCGCCAAATAGAAATAGATTTGAAAAAAATCGAACAAACTTCGTTTCAGATCAACACTCGTTCATTAGTTATAGATGACAGTTACATTCAAGTTAGAAAAATTGATGAACACGAACGTGATCACTCGACTCTTGCATCCGTTTATAGAACACTCGCTAGTCCGAGTGGTAGTTACGTAGAAATAGCCAGCAATGATCAATTCTTATTGGTTCATCAAAAGCCAAACCTGTGTATAGTTGATCTCGACATGAATATCAAGCAACAGATCTTATGGGAACATAAACAAATTTGGGATATGTGTTGGTCATCGGTAGCAGATCGATTTATTGTGATTGACGAAGCCGATATTTTTCTTATCGATGAAAGATTAATCTACGTTGAGACAGTAGACACAGATAAGAGACGAAAATGGATGTCATGTGCATGCTCTCAAACGTCGTTATTTCTCTCAACTGATGAGTGGGGATCTAAAATTATGCAATTTAGATTGTTACCTTCGATTACTTTCACCAAAGAATGGAAACCTCCTTTGGTATGTACAGAAAATGAGCGTATTGATGGGATTGCTTGTAGGGGTGATATGTGTGCTCTACTTATTATGAATGGTAAAGAAAAATCATTGCGAATAGAACTACGAACTTGTGCATCATTCAAGCGCATCTGGTTACGACTCATTGATGGCATGTTTGATTCAAATTTTATACTTCGTTGTTGTTCACTTAAGGCTGATGAATGGTTAGTAGCTGATTGCGAAAATCGTTGTCTTTTGCATATTACAAAAGACGGAAAATTAAAGATGACAATTAAATATCATGACATACCATATCGTATTAAACTATTCGGTCCAGACATGATTGTTGTATCGACTCAGAAAGGAATCAATTTTCATAAAATTTAGTGATAAACATCAATTTTTAATTCACTTAATTCATTCTTATTCTATTAATTGTGTATCTTAACCAACATGATCAATAATTATAGATGTACTCATTGTATTTTTGTGTTTAAATTATATTAAATAAACCATACCAGCTTGCAAACTGAACGGTTTTTACGTAAAAATAAGATATTCTAGGTAGTTCATTTCGTATTAGTATTTTTTTTCTAAATGCAACAGCGCTAGATTGAATTCTCGTTAGATTTTCTCCTATTTTGGCTCATGAACTTGTCGATTCTGAAATTAGCTTCAAACTCATACAATTTTATAGTCTTCCAAAACAAAACAAAAACGGGATTGTTGTATGGCTGTCGCAATAGTTTTTGTTTTCAACTAGAAAGGATTCGAATGCCATTTCACTGCAAAATACTATACGATGATTCGAATGACGATTGATTGATAAGTCATAATATGTTCTAAAGAAAAATCTCGTGCACGATTGAATATAAAACGCTGTTCTTCGAACCATAATCGATTTATGCGCGACTTATTTTATCTTCTGCTGCAAATCGAAAAGATGACTTATCGATTCATTTTCATGTTTGCTTTGACTTACGCTTCTATGTATCAAAAATAAAAGTTAATAATAGAAAGTTTAATTCAATATGTAAATAAAAAACTAAGATCAAAATCATGCGAAAACAACACTTTTAATATTAATGTTCTCGTGTGACATAGCGTCGCAGACAAAGAGCAGAAGATAGATCAAATAATTATGAAGTCAACAGCATGCCACCGTCAATAACACCTTTTTTCTCGTAAAAGTAATATGAAATTGTTTCAACAGAACCGACAGAAAAAATGTTAAATATTTACATATAATTTGTGTTTCACAATATATTTTTCTTTGGCTAATGAAAATCGACAGTACATGCTATCGGAAATCTTGGATAATATTTTTCACAGGATATTAGAACACTGCAAATAAAGAAAGAATATCTTTTGCTACTCGCTTTACAGCGACAGAAATCGTTTTTTTTTCTATTTCACAGTTAAAAATATTCCTCATACATATCAATAACTGATCATATATTCTATATATTTCACAGGATTGAATTGTAGATGTTAGCGCCATCTACAAATTTTGATTTGTATAAAAAGATTTACAAAAGTTTTTCATGAAAAACTTTTACTTCTTTTTTTGCATAATTTTCAAGGTTAAATAATTCAGAATTCTCCTATTTTAATTAATCGAAATAGTGCATTACGTGTACTTTGTGGTTGGTTGTCGGCATTTCATCTTGTTTATTACTCAGTCCAAAACTTGCAAATAAACATTTATTATTCTAATAGAACATGTTTGGATTTTACTTGAAAATTAATTACTGTTTATTTAATTTCTAGATCTTGTTCTCTATACATTCGGTTATTTTTCCACGAACAAGAAAATAATAACACCATGGTTCGCTATGCACGTAAGTTAAAGTCATTACGAAGAGGCTTTCTGTACTTTTTTTGTCTCTCTTCATATAGGCACTGTTGAAAATCCAGCAAAATCATGCAAAACTCGTGGTGCCTATTTACGTGTTCACTTTAAAAACACACGTGAAACCGCCAATGCTATTAAACGTATGTCATTGAAACGTGCAACACGTTACTTGAAAAATGTCGTCAATAAAAAGGAAATTGTTCCATTCAAACGTTTCAATGGTGGTGTTGGTCGTAAGGCTCAAGCCCAAGTATTCAAAGTAACACAAGGACGTTGGCCAAAAAAATCCGCTGAAATCCTTTTACAATTATTAAAGAATGCTGAATCAAATGCCGATGTAAAAGGTCTTGATGTTGATCATCTTGTTATTGATCATATTCAAGTAAATCGTGCACCAAAAATTCGTCGTCGTACTTATCGTGCACATGGTCGAATTAATCCATACCAATCATCACCTTGTCATATTGAATTAATCTTATGTGAAAAAGAAAATCTTTTAACACGTACCGGTGGTGCCGTAGAAGATGAACCAGCCGCTAAGAAAAAAGAATCAAAGAAGAAACTTAAAAAACAAAAGATGATGAACCGAGAATAAATCTTTACGATCTAGAATATTCTCATCAATATAACAAGAAAAATCCGTTGTTGCTTTTTTTTTGTCTAGAAACAATATGTTAATGTTTCTTTTAATAAAATATAAACATCCAACGATGGATAAGAAAATAATAGATTGTTGTTTGTTCATCGTTGATAAGAAGCATAAGAAGAAAAATTTCTCTATACGATCAGTTGTAGATTTTAACTTTAATGTCTGTATTTACTCGAGCGAAAAATGGATTGTTTGGGCAAACTAAACCACGAAATCCACATTCGATTGAAAATCTTAAGTAAGTTCTTGGATCTGAAAGAAAACAAAAATCCTCAATTGTTCTTTTGTATTTTATTCAGATACTTATGTGGTGTTCTGAATCGTAATCCAATTGTATCAGATGCAAATCGTGATTTATTAATTGAAACGCTTCGATTCATATCAGAAATTCTTATTTGGGGCGATCAAAATGACAGTTCTGTATTTGAGTAGGTGTTTTTTTTATACATGTTGTTTGTAATTAATCTTGAAGTACGTAATTCACCGAGATACGAAATATATGTGGCTATGAAATTTCTATTTCTGACTCAGTACAATCTTGCCTTGTTATTACTTTCAAACTGTTCTATGTTTTGATCGAAAAAATTTGAATTATCATAGACTAAAGAAAACGTTATTATATAGAATCTTGAAATCACTGTTGTGCTTTGTAGCTACGTTCATTACAGTATCATAGATAAGAAAAATATATGGAACTAAATGTCAATGAAACTATTGCAGACTTTGCCATGCTCTAATCATCGTGGTTTATTAGGATTTTTTTCGAGATTTATCGACAGGAACTTTCTTTATATATCTCATTAGTGATTATATTCATGTAATTTAAATCCGTAATTTCTGACACTATGATCTATCGAATAAAGGTGCACTCGTTTAATTTCTACAATATGTTTTCTTTTTCGTTTTAGTTATTTTCTCGAACGAGGAATGTTAACTTATTTTTTAAATTATATGCGTCAAAAACATGGACGTTATATATGTGTACAGGTTTTACAGACACTTAATATTCTCTTCGAAAATATTCGCCATGAAACATCTCTATGTAAGTTTTATCTTCGTATAAAATAAATCTTAGAATGTTTTCGTTTTCATTGTAGATTATCTTTTATCAAATAATCATATCAATAATATAATTGTACATAAATTTGATTTTAACGATGAAGAAATAACCGCATACTATATATCGTTTCTTAAAACTCTCTCATTGAAATTAAATACACAGTCTATTAATTTCTTCTATAACGAAGTACGTTATACATTTAGAGTTTTTTTTTTTATCGTATCTTATTTTCTTTATTTAGAGAAATCATGATTTTCCGTTGTATGTTGAAGCAATAAAATTTTTTAATCATCCAGAAACTATGGTTCGAATTGCAGTACGAACGTTAACTCTCAATATTTATAAAGGTAAAGATTATCCGAAAGAAATGAAAATGATCTTTTTCTCTCTTTCTCTCTAGTACCTGATCCTGCTATGCATCGGTTTATATTAGATCGTACAGCAACAGAATATTTCTCCAATCTAGTATGGTTTATACGAACCCATATTTTAGATTTTGATCGTTTGATAAGAAACAATCAAGAGTAGGATAGAAACATGTTTTTGGTTTATTCATTATGACTACGTTTTCATTTTATTTAGTATTAACAATCGTGGTCGTGTAACATGTGGCTTAGAAGAATATCTTGATCACATCCATTATCTTCAAGATATATTTTTGCTCAATGTTGATAGTCTCAATAATGTTCTTAAAGATCAATTGATGAATCGACTTCTTATACCGGTTTATGTATTTTCATTGATTAAACGCGATAAATTCTCGCGAATAACAGTAAGTTCAGTGATAGAATTTTTGAAGAATGAACACCTGAATACAATCGTTAACATAGTTAATCAACTTATTACATTCGTGAAACTCTATTTTTATTATTTTCATCGTGCATTCCGGATTTCTCTTTGAATGCAATAGGCACACATTTGAGGTTTGAAGAGATGACTTAATATCTATATGAATAAACAGTATTTTTTCATTCGAGAAATTTCGGATATCCCCAACGGTATCTGATATTCAAAGATTTCATCGTTTTTCTTTCTACTCTATTAAGGATCCTCGAACTAAACTTGATCAATCATCTGCTTTATTCCTACTTGCCGAAGTAAGTAATTGCTCAATGGACGAACTCGGCATAATTGATTAATTTTAGTTTTTTCTTGTGACTCGCTATCTACCGGTTATCGAAGAACTAGCCGATATAATCCTATCGGCAAATATTGAAACTGTTGAAGCCGTTCAACGTCGTTATGGAGAACAAGTAAAATCTGTTCTTTTTGTTAAAAATGTCACGTCTTTCATTTCATATTTCTAGATATCCTATAGTTTGCCTCCAACATCTCTCGATATTTGCCTAGCTAAACCCGATACACTAACCAATAAAAACAATTCTGGTATTAATTTATTTTTATTATGACTCGTAATTTGACTTGTTTTTTATTTTAGAAATTTCCCTTAATGCGCTGGACATCAATAATGGCGCATCCCGACATCATCATGGACATGAACCCAATCGAACACGTTCTGCATCTTCATCGCCTATTTCTTTTGCAACTCATCATCCACTAAATGAATCGATTACGAAATCGACAAGTTTATACATATCGAATTGGACTGATGATGAAAAAACTAAACTTCATATTGATCAGTTAAAATTTAACGAAGCTGATTTAGCTAAAAGACCGTACTTTGAAGCATTGATTCAAGCACTTGACTGTACTGAAAATGATCAGAAGTGTTTCTATGCCTTGAGCGTACTTTTAACAATGACAATGAATCCATGTAAATTACCTTTTTATTTCGGTAGATTTCAAATCTTTTTTATTTTTTTTATTTCTAGCTGTTGATACTGGTATTCTTGAATCCGTTGGTTTAACAGTGAAATGTTCGGTATGTCTGTTTTTTTTGCATCAAAATTTCAAAGAATAATAAATATTTTCTATTGTAGAACAAAACTTTTTATAATACAATATTAGTTGATCAACTTTGTGAAATTCTTTCATTATCTGTATCACCGGGTAAAATAAGAAGTTTTTAATTTCTAATTTTTACTGACGATTTCCTATTTTAAGATTCAAAAATTCGTCTTGTTACAATGAATTTAGCAATAAATTTATTAAAAAAACTTGTTTATGATGAAGAAGAAAAAGTTTCTTATCTATCTGATCATCATTTGGCACGTATCGAAGGTGTACATGAACAGTCAACTGAAGATTTAAGACGACATTATCGAGTAGACATCTGTAGTTCTATTTGAATATCTACACAAGTTTCTATTTATTATTTTAGCAACAAGAAATGTTTCTTGATATGTTTGAAGATGAATATCGCCAAATGGAATTAAATCCAATACGTTTAGAATATTTACTAAAAGATCCATGTATGCTGTATCCACCGACAACAACACCATTAAGCGGAGTCGAATTCATTAAACGTTTACCATCGGGTGATATTGAACGAGCACGAAGAGTAAAGAGAATACAGATGATGGGACGAATATTTATTGAGTCTTTTTTGTTTTGTTTTAGTCTATTCGGATGTTTTTTCTCATTCGAGGATTGTCGTTGGGATTGAGATCAGTTACAGAAACAGAAGTACCATTAACCAAGGCAGAAAATTTAGTGAAAGAAAATGATAAACTTGATTTGAGTAAGTAAACGCGAAAACAATAGAAATCTGTTTATGATAAAAACAAATGTTGTTTTTAGATAATAGTGATTTAATTGCATGTACTGTTCTTATGAAAGAAAAGTAGGGTTTATCATACGCATGTATGTTTCTATTCTTATGATTCTATAGGAAAGACCGTCGTTTTCTTGTAACAGATCCAATGCAATTTATTCTTATTGAACCAGATGTGAAAAGACTTGGATGGGGTATTGTGAAATTCTGTGATTTAATGCAAGTTAGTATTTTAAATACATAATTTCATTGAGCAAGTAATGATAGAGCGCTAAATTATATATCTTACGGCACATTAATGAAATTGTCTTTTTTTAAAAATTAATAGTATACTTTCCTTGTTAGAATGATTATAAATACTTAGCTGCAAGGCTTCGGGTTACTGTGACTTATATTAATGATATGACTGTTGGAAAAGGAATTGGCGATCTGAAACTCTTACTATTTGAGTCTATTTTGGTACGGAAATAGTATGAAAATGAAGTTTTCTACATTTTGTCGTAGTTATCGACATCAGTTTTATTCAATTCAAAGCGATCTATTTCCTGTCCAAAAATAGCTCATTTCCGTCACAGCAATACGGATTGTTTTCTCTTGACGTTGAAAAAAATTCTTTGTATTCCAGAAACAAAATAGAAAAACTTCTTCCGAGTATTTTAACAGGATCTTCATTATTGTTCTAAACAGCTATTGTGCTTGAAAAAAACTATTTTCTAAATAACTCTATTTGAATTTTGTTTCTTTTTAAGGATGTTAAAGTAGCCAATGATAAAGAAGATACACGTTCTCTTCATATAACAATTCATAAACCGGTTAATAATACTTATGTTAAATCGAATCCGCCTATACTTAATGCAAAATTTACATTTGATGACCATATTCGTTGTATGACAGCTAAACAAAATTTAAGTAAAGGTCGTCTAAGGTAGTATATGATCTTTGCTATTTTTTTTCTTTTTTCATACGCAAGTCAATTCTCGTTTACTTCTTCTTGTAGAGCTCGTCAAATAAAATTATCTAAAATAGCGGCAATATTAGACATTCCACAAACACCAAGTCAATCAAATCATATTACACCTACAAGAACAACATATTCACAAAATCAATTCGGTAAGGGTTTCAATGTAACTATAGTTCGAAATTCTCCAGCTAAATAATCTTTATCTAATCGTTTTGTTGATGGTATTTGTTTAATTTTTGCATAACGTAATTGATCTGGTGTGACACTTGCCGGTTGAATGAAGCCTGTTTGTTTGCCAAGTAAATTAGTTGACGTTGAATTTGTTAAATATAATGATGAATGAGCCCGACGACGATACTGACATAGACATTTATGATTTTTACAAGTGAATTTTACATTTAGTAATGTTCGATGATTGTGAGGATTTTTATCAAAACGAAAAAATGAACGCGACTTTTTCAACGGATGTGTGTTGATTGCTTTGTGAGAATAAATAAAATAAATAAGAAATAAAAATATGATAAAAGCCATAATAAGAAGAATTAGCCAAACAATTAAGACTTGTTTATCAGACTTTTGAAAAGATTTTGGTAGCATATTTTTACTAGTATTGAAAAGCCATAGAACAAATGGTGAAAGTTTATTTGATGATGCGGTAACTACAATTATTGGTTTTCTAGTTGGCGTTGTATGTAGAATAAATTTTGTGAAGAGGGTTGGCTGTGAGGAGACAATAGATGAAAGATTAATTATTGCGTAGATTGATTCGGAACGAGGCGATTTTAAATTGAAACAGACGAGACAGTTGTTGGATTTATTACTGGAATTAGAGAGTTTTTCTAATGAAATTGAACGGTGCTGTTCTATGTCCCAGGCGGACAATAATGTAATATTTTTGTTAATTTTATTTTTCCACGCATCAATAATTGGAGATAACACACAAGTTAAATTTTGCTTCTTCTGAATATTTGTCGTAATTAAGATATTTGCTTTCGTTCGAAGAAAACATTGTTGTGCAATAATACTAATATTTTGATATTGAAATGCGTGTGGAGTATAGCATTTTGGAATCGGTCGACTCATTAATAGTGTAGGAATATTTTTACATGAGCAATGCCAATAATTCATATTTAAATTGATTATGCTTAGAGCTTGACGAGGAAAAATATTTGGTAAAATTTGTTTTAAATGATTATTATTTAAATAAAGTTCTTTTAAATTAATCAAATTATTAAACGATTGTTTTTTAATAAGTATGAAATGATTATAACTAAGATCGAGTTTTTCTAATGATGGAAAATAATACGAGAAATTTTTATTTATAATTCCTAGTGAATTATGCGATAGATTAAGTGTTCGAATACTATACAGAATAGGTGATGATAATGATAATGACCGATTAAAAATAACAGGTGAAAAATCTGTTAAATTAGCATAAGTAATTGACATATATTCAAGATAATTCCAAAGAGAATAATGATCAAAATAAAGAGTTTTCATCGAACAATTTATTGTTGTATAAGATTGAATTATTGAATAGAAACGTTCTTGATATTGAAGTGAATTGTTAGCTGTATTACATATGACGGTGAGTTGTTCGACATTTGTACGGTCAATCGGCAGCGTATTAAAACATTTGTAACACAAATTAGATGAACAAGGTAAACAAGAAGAATTTGAGCCAGAACTTGTTTTATTGAAAACAATAAGGATGAAAAGTATCTTGAAGATTTTCATCGATATTGATTGTTGTATCATCAAATGATTTGTCATAAGTATTGGGCGGTCAAGTGGTTTTTTTCTCTCTTCACTTTGTCTCACACCATCAACCATCGATTGATTAATCTGAATCGTATGTATATTTATATACGCTCATGTTCGTACACGCGTCGCACGTTTACTCTCATTATGCATCATCATTATAACTACTGTGACGAGCCAGATGATATTTTAATAGAATAGGGACAATTAAACTTGACGAGTGATGTATGGTAACTATCATTTTACGGAATAAGCCTCTCTATCATAAAAATACAAAAGCAAGATATCGAATTCTTACTCTATGTGACAGTACGAGTAAAGATGTCTGTGACCTGTCATACATGAAATATGTGTATAGTGATAGTATAATGATACGTTCAATGTTTTTTTTATTTACCATTTAGGACTTTCAACACCAGCCTTGTCGAATCATCCTGGTACGTAAAAATAAAATCTACGCGTATAAATGAAATGCTTTCGTCCATCCTATTCAGATTTTAGCATGCCGTATTATGAAATGACAGATTAGATTGATATTCTACTACACACATTTGTTGTTTCATAATTATGCACTTTATTTTTCGCATATGTTAAATTCATAAAAGCAAAAATAAGAAATTAACTGTTGTGTAGCTTTTCTTCGTACATAATCTTGCTATAATTTACTCTTGATTCATGATATATATATATATATATATTTATTTTTTAATGATAATTTTTATTCCAGGTAGAGCAGCTTTAATATCGAGCCTCACGCGCCAATCTCCCAGTCAAAATATTTCAAATCGCAATCGATTGATTTCGTCAAGTTCAGCAACTGCCTCGTCGCCGGCGTTTATTACAATTGAACCTAGTCAACAGTATTCATTCTCAGATCCGCATTCTGAACAACCATCGACTAATGCTAGTGTAGCATCGACACCATCGACAAGTCGTCGCGCATCGACATCTGACACCAGTGAATTACCACAAAGAGGTTGTCGATTAATACAATATACATTTCTATTTATTGTAAAGAAATTTATCTTTTTCAGATAGTACTAAATCTAATTGTAGTATAACAGCATCCAAAAGTTTACTTGAATGGCATGAACAGCCAGTAGATCTCAGCGAACAACCGCCTCTTCCCGAAAGAGGACGCGTTCATATTCTTTCACCAAATACTGACCGAGTAAATAAATTAAATTAGACCTATTCTTTTTTATTTTCATTTGAATATTTTTAGACGGCTGCTCGGTTTTTTGTTGACAATGACCTAGCAAGTTTGATGCTGCCAAATGGAGAATCGACCACGGAAGAAACTATAACTAAAACTGAACCCACAACTAATCCATCGGATAACAATGAGAGTACATAAAATTCTTGGAGTTCTTTATTTTTAATCTCTTCATCTTCGTCTTTCATAAATAATCGAATGAATGAGATGAATCAATCTGAATTATTAATTTTTAGAGTGGGTTTATGAGCGTGTATGAGTTCCTTTTTTTAATCCCCGTTGCATTTTTTGTGAAGTGTGTTAATTAGAGAGCTGCGGATTATTCTAGATTTTCGGGTGTTCGCTATCATATCTAAATGTTATTCAGGTCCTGCTTATATTTTTTTAGAGAACTACCGAAGTCAATCTACTCAGGTAGAATATTTCGATTATGGGATTCTGTTTTTCGTTAGGCAGATTAGTTTTCGAAGACAAGTAAAAAATAGCTGAAATTTTAATCCTATAATTGGTTATGTACACTGAGGATGACAAAAATATCGATCAATAGAAAAATTCGGGTAGCAAATCGGTCAACATTCATAAAAAAATATGTAGACCCGCAGCTCTCTAATGCGACTTTAGAGAATGCCAGCAATATGACAGTATTATTCTATCCGTTATATATATATATATATATTTATTTTTTCTTTTGGTTGTTAATATTGGGTATGAATAAATTATACAGTTAGTTTCAATGATCTACATGTATAAAACAAACAATTACTATTCGATTTATGTATTGATTCCTGCCCTTTTTCATGAAATGACGTTTTAATGTGCGGATTCTAATGTGAATCTGAACATAGTATATAAAATAAAATATAATATTTGCTTGTACGTGTGCTATTTCTCACTCCGTAATTTATCTGTATATAGTAGATCTAGGGGATTGTTAAAATGGGATATAAAATAGCAAATCTTTTTAATCAAGCTCAAGATGATTTTCACGGGAATAATTCATCAAATGAAAAACTTTTTCAGTTGATTCTGTTAAATGTCCAAAATTATTCAGGGAAGTAGAACACTCACGATCATCTATGAAAGAAGTTTTCAAGGGTGATAAATAAGGATGATTTCAACCTTTGAAGGTTCTGTGATTGAAATTAGACATATGCTCTCGGACATACGTATATTCAAATTGAAGTTCGAATTTGCCATAAATAAGGGTGTGTGATGGAGGTAGTCTTTTGTTTCATGGAAACGCACACCCACACTCTAAAAACTCTTCGGCAGACTTGCGTATGAGATATAGAAACAAGAATCTGATACATATCTAAACTTATACCACTATTTGTAACAAGCCATGAGATGTTAGAAATTAACCTCTTGCTTAGCAATCAATGAAGAAACTAGCCATTGTACCATTGCGAACTATCATTGGTTTATAAATCTACGTTGAGTTCTCAAGTACTTGCAATACTCTCTGTGCAAATTGTATGTTTTTTAGAACGTACTTTCCTACACGTGGAATTACATGTCGATAAAGTAAATGGAATATCTTTATATGATAAAGTATAAATAATAAAAATATAATATAAGAGTGGCAAATAGAAATTCCGCTTGAATCGGCTTCTTCGCATCGCATACGAAGTCATCTATTTTAGTACGCTGATGAGAATCTGAACAGTCTAATATTTTAATTAAAATAGAAGATATGGGCGATGAGAGAACTACTCACGTCAAAGGATCATGATCGAAATTATATGTATCTGATCTATTTGACAAAGCAAATGCCCTTTATTTATTCTAAAACCGACATAGAATAAAATATGCTCCCTTCTTAAAATATAGAATTCACTGAAAATCGCTTTTGATAATAATAAATTTCACAAGATATACTCAGTGCAATGCTAGTATATGAGAATAATCATATGATTTATTTATTTATCAATTTCGCACGAGAGAAAAGGAAAACTGTTTGAATTTTCTTAGGCAATGTATTAAATATTAGTAGTTGGTAAGTACGAGCCAGTATCTTTATATCGTTTTTGCCAACATTCGCCTTCGTACCCTAACCACTTACTTAGTTTTTCCATGAATTTTCTAGCATACAGATGTTGAAGCCAACGTTCAGGTAATTTTCCATAACCATAATAAGCTCCAGCTAGCTGTCCATAGATAGCAGCTGTTGTGTCTGTATCATCACCAAGATTGACAGCAGCAAGAACACCTTTTGCAAAAGAATTGTCATCAGACCAAAATGCCCAGAGAGCGGCCTCTAGAGCACTAACTATATAACCTTTCCCTCGAATACCAGCATTGTATCCACCTACTCTTTTGTATGATCCTTCAGCAATTGACTGAATACCAGGGTGAAGTGGGATGTTACGAAACCATTCTGCGTGTCTCGAGTAAAATTTATTATCGAGTAATTGTGATTTGGGCTCACCATGAAGAGCAGCCACAATTAAAGCACCATAATAACGACATGCATCGTAGACTATTGTATCTCCATAAGTGATTTGTCCACTGATACCGGAATATTCCACAGCTATTGCAGGAAATCTATGAAAAAATAATGGTACCGGTGCAAGACGCGTAAGAGCACCATTGCCTGCAACACCATCTTCACTGCAATAGATATCAAATTTCTCTAGTAGTGCCCCATCAGAAAGTTGATCCATATCTGTCAAGGGAATGCTGAATTCCTTTGCAAATGTTTTCTGACGACGCTCAAATTCTCGTAGAGATTGCCTAGTACCTGCTCCAATATCAAAACAATTTCCAATCGACGACATATATCCAAATTGGTGCCACCATTTGTAGCGAACTAGTTGATCATAAGGATTAAAACCGTGACAAGCTACTAATGAATTAGCCAAACAAAGTGCCATGGAAGTATCATCGGTAAACTAAAAAATAAATTTCTATATCTCATAACACAGAAACAAATTAATCGAAGACATTTCGATATGAAAGATTTTTCTTGAAAGATTCAAACAATTCTTGGGTTAAGAATTTATTCAGATATATCTATTTTGAAAATAATTTTTATTCTAATTAAATATTTAATCGTTTATTTTTCCGTTTTATTTACTATATAAAAAAACCTTACATTTCTATTATGCGAAATTTTATCGATTACAAAATATAACTATTTGAAAAGACTGAATTGGACAAAGCTACTTGGTCTTACATTGATTTAAAGAAAGAGAAAAGAACTGTTGCATCGAATAAGAGTTATTATTGACGATAGCATGAAGATTTTTATAGATAAAATCGAATATTAATTCATGCGTCAACAAGAAAATAATAAGAAACAGAAAACACTAAAATGTTTCAGGTAGAAAAAAATAGGTTGTTTTGTAAATGTCAAATTCTATTAGTTCATTGATAATGAGATCAAAAAATTAATTGAAAAATCATTAGAATAGAAAAAATCTTTATCATTAGCTTATTAAGGTTATTTTTAACCGAGCTTATTGCTCGTTCTACATAGTTTAGCGCAAGATCAAATACTTGAAAGATTTTAGCCGTTTCATTCAAAATATTTTTGGAAATCTTAATTATTAATCAAATATTCAAATCTAATATATCATGATAATAGTTATTTATTTTTTGCAAACTATTTTCATCGTATTAATGGGCAATTATATAGAAGAGTTCTAACTAAGAAATATACATTCGAAGCGCTAAAAGATTTTCTTAACTATTCTAGTTTTATGCTCGATAAATAATATAAAAAGAAAGAAACAAAGACGTACTTGTCCTTTGGTTAGACCCCATGTTCCTCCAGATTCAAGATCAGTTACTGGGTGGTCTACTAAGTATTGACGCGGTCGAAATTCAACATAAGCGCCAAGCGCATCACCTAAAGCCAGTCCTACCATAGATCCTTGGATACGATTCAAAATTTCTTCATTAATTAATGCATCAGGTTCATTCATTTCATTCTCAAATTTATCAGGCTTTTTTACTATTGTTTTTTCTTTGTCATGAAATTGAATATCAATCCAAGTTTTATCTGCAAATAACAACTTATTACATGAACAGTGGTGTGCCTTCTCTCATTTTGTTAACAAATCAAATTCTTTACTCTAATGTTTATGCTTAATTTGGTTATTTAGAAGGAAATGCCGCATAATTATTCTTTGTTTTCAAATTAGCAAATGATGTGATGAGCATGGAATTTTCAAAAAAAACAATCCTTGTTACTAACCTGCATGAGACGGAGACGTTTGGATAACAGCGCAACTAGGAGATCCATGAGGCACAGGATTCTTTTCTCCTTTAATACTTTTTGATTTATTTGAAATCGCCACTTTATCAGTAGCGGTATTGTCAGCTAGTTGAATGCTTTTGGGTTGCGTGGATATCTTTCCGGCACCAATTTCGGTAGCTTTCATCGCTGAAAAACTGCTTGCCATAACAGGGGGCGTCTTTTCACCACTTGTTGATATAGCTTCCGTCATTTGATGGCTGCTTGAATTTTTAGAAGTTGCTACTTCATCAGTCAATAGAGCTTTTGTCAATCGAACAATCCATGGCTTGGCAACGGGCTTCTTTTTATCGCCTTCGATAGTTTCTGCCATTTTCTTACTGCTTGAATTGCTAGAAGTTACCACTTGGCCATCCTTTCTGTTAGTTGTAATTGACTCACAAGATTCAGTTTTATTCGAAGTAGAGGTATCCCGGCCACTCACAATATCGTGTTGAGTTGTAGAAGAAACAAGATCAGGATGCGTCAGATTTATAATATCACCTGTATCGATGAATGAATGCCGTTAAAATGAAGTTCATGCGGACTTATCATCAATAGATATACTTCTAAGAGGCAAACGTTAATAAAAAAAAATGACTAAATCTCTTCTGTCATACGTATTATCTCTCATTATACGTGTGGGCATGAGTGTGGATGAGACTATTTGCTTTAGAGTCGGTTCCATGTTTAAGGTAACTGTTGCAGGATAAGCTCAAGCTATTGAACATTAATTATTTTCCGTCGATATTTGTTTTTTCGGCAGAGCTGTCGGGGTTTGGAGAGACATGATTTACAGAGCAGAAAGAATGATTATGTACGACTAATTCGAGAAATTTTCGCACTTGTAATCAACTGAAATTCATTTTATTGTTTTATGCCCATTTTCGGGACTATTTATTTTAAAATAATTTGTAATTCTCTAGTTTCTTTCAGTTCGTTGATACTTCAGCCTCTGCGAGTTCCTCGAATTTCAAGAGTTATGAAAGCTCTGAGAGTTCCGTTGCGCTGTTATTCATCCAACATTTCCCCTTCGTTACGAAAATAAATGAAAAGACGTATTTTTAAGAACTCTCTGAAACACTGTCGTAAATGATTGTTGCAGTATGTACAATAGAAATTTACATCTATATTTCTCTTTGTCACAAACTACTTCAAGAGACCGTCACAGATCATGACAAACGCGCTCTAGAAAGCAGTTCTATCGTGTTTAACATTTAAATCTCAGACGAGTTGTTCTAATACTCGTTTAGAGTAAAAGCATTTAAAAAGGAAAGTAATCAATTTAACTTATTTTCATAAAGATTTTTAAAAAAGGCAAGAAATTTTACTCAACCATCATCGACAACATATAGTTTTCGCCTTGAAAAACAAGTGTAGCATCCCGAGACATGCAAAAAGAAGGTATTTTTTACATTATTTGATATCAATAAATCCATATCAGATCTCGCAACAGGATTCATGTTTCTATCTTCTAATTATACTCAGTATCTTGTTTATCTTATAACATCCATTTTTGCTTATTTTTCGCTAATCGCATAAACTACTCAAGAATTTACAGTAGATGTAAGTACAAAAGAACAATTATCACCTCTTGGTTCAGATGCAGCTTGACTTTTTGGAACAACTGTTTTTGTGTTAACTGATGTTAAGTCGAATGGTGGCTCGAGTAATTGATGCGGTGGACTTTCTTCTCGTAGATGAACGATGTATAAATTATCTGCCGGACTGTATTTATCGATAACGGTAAAATAAGTACCTGGCATCAGTAAGATTTCGTTTTCATCGTCATGGGCAGAATAAGATTTAATGTTTTTTCCATTGATACATTCAATTAAAAACAATGTACGCTCACTGGATCGATCAAAAAACTGCTCCACTGTCGCCATTGTGCCAGTGCATGAACTGAAACCCCACCATATGCAATCATTTTCATATAGGTGGCTTACGTTACCAGGAATTCCACGCCAAATGTTTTTTCTTATCGATGGAAGTTTGTATAAACCTGTGAGAAAAAGCTTTAAATAAGAGAACCATGGTTTTAGATGCTTCCGTTGTTTAGAACGAAGTTTTTTATTTAATAACTTGTAAAAGCTATCATATTCTTCCGGCCATTCCAATGTATATAAATAGATGGACGCTAATTCATCAGAAGTAAGACCATCTCTCGGCTCTCGCGCACTCCTTTTAGCCGTCCATACCATTGAGTCAATATTATGTATTGGGACATCTAGCGTAATTAATTTAATTGCCTCTTCAATGGATACCAAATCTTTCTTTGCATAGCCTTCAAGTGGAGGTAGTGTTTTATTAGGATCTTCTCCAACATCAAGAAAACGTGTTGTAACACGAGTTTGAGACATGGATATGTAAACAGGCAAAAATGTGTCCCGTTCAGATAAAAATGAAAAAATTTAGCAGTGCTTTGTTTGCCTACTAAAACTATTCATTTTCTTTAGTCGAAAGAAAAGAGAAGAAAAAAAACAACATCGATAGACTTTTTTGCTTTTGTCTTCGTGTGATGTTCTTCAGTGGTGAATGAGAACCATATTTGTTTTTCAACTTAACAATTTACACAGAATGTTGAAGTGGTCTGCGATGCAACTGTCAGAAAAAAGCTCGCCCAAAAGAGTTTGCTAACATTTCAACGTCCATTCTGCATATGTTTAGACTCACGTTTTTCGTTGATGTAAATAGGAAGAACAAAAAATTGTATTTGAAAATGTATAGAAAACAACGAAAAAAGCATGCTGCGTTTATTGTTATGGTTTCCTTTTATTATGGTAAGCTGATCAACATTGCACGCGTGAAGCGAAGAATGAGCTTGGGAGAATTTGCAATGTTTGAAATTAATATTCACGAACGTGACTGGAATAGAATAAATGCTGATATTCATGTTCAGATAAATCATTGATAGGCATTCGTAACAACGTTTCGTTTTTGGATCCAGCATTTTTAAATGATGATCTATTTGCATAAATTTAAAACTATTGTATCAATGATTCTGAAATCTCACTTTTGCATCTCTGTGCATGCTTTCTACTTGCTGTAATAAAAATATGCTCTCTTGGTTCAAATGAAACTATGTGTAAACTGCAATCCATGTGAGAAAATATTATTTTTATAATAAATCTCTAAAAATGAGAAATCAAAAAAGGAAAATTTCTACTACGGAGTTCACAAATATCTGGATTAGCCAAATGAATCAAAAATATATCGAAAGTTGTCGCTTAATTAATTTGCACTGGCTAATTATTATCTTCATGATTATTAATTTATTCGATAACTTACGAATTCACATAATATGTTGCCAACAGAAAGTGAAACAGTAACATCGCAAAATAAATAAAGCAAACGAACGTTAGTCTATGTTTTGACAACCACCACCCTCCTTCCCTGTAAAAATCAGTGCTTGTGCAGATATACGGTTTCAATTTGCTGACTATCTATTCAGCCACAGTTATCGTATATACAAAAAAAATCAAACCAATTTTCAGCATGGGACGTCCGACTAGTCCTATATTCATAATAAGAATATTTTCATCTACAATCTTTTATTTTTTAAACTCCCAAAAAAGAACAAAAACAAATAATCAAAATTTATCTAACTCGATATTATTTTTCCCTAAAAGAAAAACAAAAGAAGATCTGACACTAAAGTCATTTATGAAGCATGAATTCTATCTAATAAAAATTTATACATATTTTCATCCAGTTTATAATGTTCAATAGCAGAAGTTAAAATTTCATTAACATCTCCATATTGTTTTTCATTCGTGATTTGAAATTTTTGTTTAACAGTTCTATCACTTTCATTTTCATCTTCACTTGATGTTACTGATAAGCCACTTTCATCATCATTATCTTTATCACTCTCATTGTTCAAACGCAACTTTTGTGCGCATACATTCATTATAGTTTTTTCATTATCATGATCACATGCATAATAAAGATCAAGATACGTAGTTCGATTTTCTAAATGTTTCGCTAGTTGAAGAGCTTGAGAATAGAATTTTCCTTTCAACAAATAATAGAAATATCTCGTAGCTATTTGATTGATAAATGAACGGTTGCGTAATATGCTTGCATCGGATATTGGACGAATGGGTGCATAAAATGTTCGTAGGATTTGTTCAATATAAAAATATTCATTAAAATTCATACGACGAAATATTTCTTGCGTTACGTGTGATACAGCTAGTCGACAATCATTATCTTGTCTTGACCAATCAAGACACCATAATAAATCGATAATAGATGAATAATTTTGAGAGTTTATATAATATTTAAATAATGAATGTATATTATTGAAAGGATAATGAATATCGATTAGACCAATAGGACCGCCTTGAGAAAATTGTAGAAGTAATGTTAAATTCGATGAAGAAGTATTTGGTGCAATCAGTTGATTTATTCCTACAATAAATTTGTCTTGATTTAATACATGATGAAAATTTAATTTTTTATTTGATGATAAAACAGGCCAAATGGGATTGAGAGCAATATCATAGAAAACTAATGAACCTTGTTCATCAGCTATTGAAAATAATAAATTATCAATAATCCACCATAGTCCGGTTAGATTTCTCGATAGTACGCATGATTTTGAACGTTGAACATGATTGATTTCATCGATGGAAATCAATGTAGCATCTGTTAGACAAAGTATTGTATGACTAGACGAACGAATAACAAACGATATGGAAGATGATAATGATGGAATGTGAACTAGACGAAGAGGTACTGATCGGAAGTTTTCATAATAATATACACTTAATTCGTATGTACGTTCGGAGGTATTAGTCTAAACGAGAAAATTATAATAATCAGAAATTAATCGAATGTTATTAGAAGATTCAGGATGCTGTCAGTCTTGATAATACGCTTTCTATTTAAAATAGCTCGTAATGACAGTTCATTCATCTGTGACAAAATAACTACGATGACTCTATTTTTACCTTATCAACATGTTCATTCATTTCAATAGTAGTTAATCCCGATGATGACGATGTACAATAATAAGGATTTACTGTATCTGTTTGTACTGAATGCATTTTTTCTTGTTCTTTTCCAGGTTCATCTTCCGATGGAAAAACAATAGATAGGCAATTAAATCTTGACTTTCTCTGATCGCCATCCATTAAAGATGCATTTGCAGATATACCTTCAGTTAATGCTGACCACCAAACAGTTATTGTACGATGTTCACGATCGATATTAAACCATCGTCGAACAGGTATTGTATTTGAATAAGGTGGCAGCTCTTCCGTTGTCAAGCGTACTGGTTCATTTGATAAATTAAATTTTGAGTCAAACGCACGCACTGGTTTATTAAAACGAAATATATCAATTTTTGACAGTGTCTCATAGATAATATAGAAACCCAAATGATTAAGATAAATATCAGATATTGTCGCTTTAATATTAAATTTTTTTTCTAAAGTTGTCTTATCAATAGAAATATTTTTTAATGTTCGACTTAGTTTATCAATATGAACGAAGACAATTGTTCCATTTGAAAAAGCAAGAAAAATAGTATCAAAATATATCCATAATGTTCGAATAAGTTTAAATTTGATTAATAATTCATCGAATTCATTTAGTTTATCACGTAAATTATGAAAAATCTTATTCGACAGATGAAATGGTAATGAACGTGACACAAAATAATCATTGTATTCATCATAATATGTTGCTTTTTTGGGTGTTTTATCATTAGCTGAAGATGAACTTGAACTACTATGAATAAATGGTATGATTGATTGTTTAGATGCAGGTGGTTTTTGTTGATAGCTATGAACACTAATGTCACGTTCATGAAGACCAGCATATTTCAATGTCCATAGTTGAAGAGAACAAAGTAGAGAACATTCAGAAGACATTTTTAGATGATTTCAATTAGTAAGAACAAAAACAAATTTCTAAAAAAATAAAAATTATGTACAACAGTTCAGAACTAGTTTATATATGGGCAAAATCAGGCAAAGCGGGACAAAGCCCCCTTTGATGTGTCTTGTATTTTCAGCAAGATCAGGCCCGAAAAATTTTCCTTAAAAAACGATTCTCTAGAGGTTTCATCAAATTCAGAAAAAAAATTTGTTCTATTATCAGCTCAAGATACTGAGGAAGAATTTGTACCTTTTTGAATACTTTTAAAACTTTTCATTAAGTTATAAGAGCATTTTTTCGTTTGTACAATCGTACTGCATCACGTCACCAACGAGAAGTAGATCTTCTTCTTTTAGAAAAATCTAGACATGCTCACAAACACTTTTGGATAACATTTTGTGGTTTCAAGAGTTCTCTACAGAATGTTTTGTTTAGTTTTCAAAAATGTTGTATTAATTCGGAATTTTTTAAAAGTGAAAACTGATGTCCTTTTTTGTGTCACGTCACTAACGTCAGTGTTTCAGTGATAGCTGCTCTGAACTAAGTACTCTACGGGTGATTTTTTCGGGGTATCTAGAATAACTTAATATATATATATATAACATATAAAAATGAGATCGTGAGAAGCTCATGGTCTCAAGGTATACGCGTTGCAATTTTTCGAAGTCACATCGCTAACAAATCATTTTGCCTATATACGTATGACTCGATACTGAATGAATAGGGCACGTTCTCTCATGGGAAAAATAATAGTCTTTGAACGTTCTTCATCTTACCGGTTAGAAAAAAAGATATTTCTCGCTATTTAAAAAGAAACTATAAAATCATCATTATTAATAGTAGACTTTTCTATCTTAACACTCAGATTAGACGCATTCCAATTCTAATTTCAAAGATATTAATACCAACGGTCAATTGTTCAGTAACACTCCGACATTTTATTCTTCGCCATTATGTCTGATGCATGTCAAATAATTACTTGGAGCAATCCACTATGATGAATTTTATTGTTTACATAGTAAAATCCTATGATATAGGCAAATCATCAAGATGATTATTCTATTTTTATCAGCAACATTAAAATATTATTAAATGCAATTAGCAGCGACATCTAAAATAGATTCTCGCCATCTTTGAATACTTAAAATTTAATTATCTAAAACTCTACCATTCTTCTTCTTGAATATTGGCATCTTTTTCAATTATATAGTTTAAATTAGAAAAATTCATATAATTGGATCATCATTAATCTATGAAAATTGTTCGATTGGTGGTTTTCGTGTTGTATGATATTCTTAAAAAACACAACAAAACAAACAAATTGTTTTTCTTGGTCTATCAACGAAAAAATTCTAATTATTTGATGTATTAATCTATCTTATTCATTTTTACCAAATATACAATGAATCTTTCACTCGATACAATACTAACCAACGCACGTGAGCTTGTTTCACGTTTACGTCGCGATGATACTACAGCTGACACAGCTGTAAGTCAAGCACAATATGTTCAAGAACGAATTCTTAGCATGAAACAGGTACGAGAAACTAAATTTGTTTACGTAGGTGCTTTCCTTGAAAACAAAATTAGTAACAATTTAGCATTTCATAGAAGATGTAATCTTCTCGTAAAAATTGATGCACATTCTTAAGAGCCTTCTATATGATATCTTTCCATAAAGCTTATGTGAATGTATAGAGAAGATTTGAACTAAAGGAAATGCTTATGCCGTGTGAACCGCACCGTGCAAAGCATTCATATTTGCTATTTATACACGTACTAGTGACTTCTTAAAGATATGATATTGCTTTTCTCTCTTGACAAAAAGCTACTTAAAACAAAAAAAGAATCTCTAACACTTTTATTAATTAAAGTATGGTGATGACCTTGCTGAATTGAATGACATAAGCTCTCATCGTCCAAAAACAGCGATTCTTTACAATATTCAAAAAGAAAATCGTCTGGTGAAGTAAGTTATTATCAAGATAATTAATAAAAATATATTTCTTCTTCTTTTTATTTATAAATTAGACAATTACAACAAGAAAACGAAGAATTAAAACAATTAGTTATTGAACATCGAAGTGTACTAGAAAAAATAATGTACAAATATCGGAAAGATATACAACAACTTATTTTAATGAGTAAAGAAGAAACAAAAGCTGTTAATATATTTAATACGTCATTAGCTCAGGTGAGTCAATTGAAAAGTATGCATTTAATCAGAATTAGCTCGATTTTCTTGTTGTAAATATCATCAAGGTCACCAGTTAGAAATTGTAAAGGTATTCGTTAGGACCTGCTAATATTCCATGTCGTGAGTACTTTTCTTTCTATATCCAGAACATGAAAAAGTCCTATTCAATTTCATTTAATAAATATCTCCTATTATTTATTAATAAGAGTAGTTGTAATTTCAGTGCCATGCTCTATTCATATTTCATGCACGGATTAGACTAAGATTTGCTTTTGTTTTGAAAATCGTTGGCCCGTTAAATCTCGAAGATCTTACGCTTTACTCTGCTGTATAATAAATTTACCACGGACAATGACTTCGATTACAAGTTCATACTAATCAGCTAGAGTCGAAAAATATCAGCGACTCCTGTTAAATTCAATTTTTCTCATTAAAAAGCTGAGAATCACTGGTTTCATGTTTATCTAAAAACAATAAAAAAATGATTGATTCACAATATAGTTAAGCGAAGTTGTTGAAAGCACGTAACTAGTGACGTTAACTAACATAATCTGTCATACTTAAACTATATAAGAGTACTTATTAACGATGTCTACATATATTTAAAAAAAAAGGTGAGTCTTCAAAATCACAAAGAACACGAGAGTGTTTCGAACAATACCGTGGTAGGCTTACAGTTTTTTTTTCCAAAAATTAGCATACATTTAGTCATAAAATATGTTGCTACTTCATGGTGCGACTCAAGCTCGTTACATGTTTGTATTCGTCTAGTCTGCATCTGACACGCGTGATTATTTTGACATTCAGTTGTTATACCAGATATTTTACTATGAAATATCAATGTAACGGTAGATGTTCACCTAGAATTAGCTTTGAACGCTATCTGTTTATTCCTAAAGTTCAGCACGTTCACTTTTCTGAGTACATCTTGTTCAATTAAAGTGTAGCCTTAGTTAAATAGAATGAATGTTTCTTCCGAACTAATACAATAATTGCACTTCTTTTTGATTAAAAAAAAGAGTAAATAATTTCTTATAAATACAAGAAAACACGCGATGTGAACAAATTTGTTTTTGGAGTGTGAAATGTACAACGAAGAAAAATGAAATTTCTTATTATTTAGGATATTCAAGATAAATCATCAAAAATTCATGAAATTGCATCCGTTATGCGTCATGCGATTAGTATCGACGATACACATAGTGCATCACAAGACGAACGCATTAATGCATTGCTGCTCGAAAATCGAGGTTTAAAAGAAATTTTAGCTGTACACGAAACTATGCATCGACCAAAGCCAACATCAACAATTACATTAGAGGTTTGAAATTAATTATGTATATGCATAGATGCTATATTATTATGACTTTCAAGATCAAAAGAATTCCTAATCAAAAAAGGATTTTTTTATGTGACCGCAATCAATTCTTTTGTAAATCGAATACACTTCCAAAACAAAATGCCATGTAGTTTATTATAAATATTTCTCGATCAACTGCGAAAAATATTGAAGTCATTTTTTCTCTCCGGACGTGTTATTGACTAAGTCAATATGTGTATTGTGATTTACTTATTTTGGAAAATGAAAAATAATTTCTTTTCTTTTTCTATTCTGTTTTTCAACTTACTATGAAAAGGCCTTTGAGTTTACTGGAATTAATCAGTACGAAGTCTTTGTTTTTTTTTCTGTTGTTATTTCCGAATGAGATAATTAGGTTACTACAAACATTTATATCATCGAATGCTTTTATTGAAAATGTGAGATGAGCTCTCTTGAGGATGTGCATTGCTCTTTTGCTTCAGTTTACCATGAGCTCATCGGAAATCAAATGATTATCTCAATGGATGTTTTGAGTTTAACAATCGATCGTATCTGTTATGATTATTAAAATGTTGGAATCTAGTAGGCAGTGTAAGGATTTTCGTCAGGGGTAATGTCGATGACAGAAGAATGTATGCACTGCATGAGTCGATCATTATAAGCCGAATGGCAACTAAAAAACAGAAAGACTATTTTCTTAATACCTATCATAGCTAAGTAGATATAATACAAAAGAAAAACGTAGGCAATTGAAAGCTGATATAAAAAATAATGGAAAAGTTAATCTTTTGAATATTTTCTAAGATCTACATGACTTTTCATTAAGTATATTTTCATAAGAAAACTGCCAAGTCTATGCATATGAAAAACTGCGATGCTAGAAAAGAAAAGCATAGCTCGGATAATAAGATTTATTCTCTCAATATATATAAAGCATCATATTTAATTATCATTTACTGAATGAATATTGCCAACGCTTCTCTTTCGTCAAATACTTAATGTTCATTGACAATTGAAGTATTATACATCGAGTATAGCTACTGCGTATGTCGTGCACAAAATTTAATAATATATATATATTTTTGCCTTGAAGAACAATTTCATTAAACTTTAATGGGCAGATAATTTTTGATTAATTGCCAAAAACCATGTTCTCATAAGACTTCAATAGAGAGAAAAACATTCCTTTTTATTTATAGCTATCGCTCATGTATATATTTCTTTTAGTCTACGGTTGCTAAATCTCCAATATTGCAAACAACAACGACAACTATAATAGCACAAGAAAATTCTCCTCCTTCTTCTTCTTCTTCTTCGTCCTCTTCTTCTGCTAATGTGACTCCTGATCTTACTACTATAATTTCTTCGACTCAACAAGATTTACCTTCCTGACAAAAGGAACTTAGAAAATCTAGTGTGTTTTTTTTTGTCTTTTGATGTTCCATTGGTATCATTATCGTTTCACATGTATCATTTTTTTTGTCACTTTATCGAAAAGTGTTCCATTTTTTTGTTACGGTTCCTCCTGATTCCAATCTAGTCGAGTTTAGCAAAGAAAAACAAATCTAAAAATTATTTTCTATTTACAGGTGTCTGTGTCATAATGTGCTCATTTAATGTAAACCGACACGAATGGAGCTTTTCTTTTTCTCTCTTTAGATTTGTAACGAAGTATCGTTCGAAGAAAAACCTTCATGATTAGTATACTATCATTACAGGTAAGAAACTCGAAAAAAAGGTTTTCATGATATTAAATTAAAAGGGAAAAGATATGCAAAAGCAGATGCGACTTTTCTCGTTATGAATTACAATGCGACGATATTAGTCTTGTTTTTCTATTTATTGACAGATGAGAACCTATTGAATATCCATGATGATGATTGTTCGACTGAATAGAATAAAGCTATTGCTAAATCGGGTAATATAGTCGGATTTATCTATTCTTTTAAAACTATTCTTTAATTTCGTCCGTAGAATTACTAAGCAAAAAGAACGTCCTCTTTTATTGAATATGATTACACCGAAATCATCGCCAGAAAAAAGAATATTTGATTGGCAAGAACAGAAGCAGGTAAATATAGAGAGAGAAAAAAAAAGAGAACAGAATGTGTTGATTTCAATGTTCAGCTTACTTCTTCTGTTTTTCTCTGCTGTTATTATTATTATTTATATCAATAAATAATGGCTATCTACTGCTTCGGGATATGTAGAATATATGAGTGACTAATAATATTTTGGTAAATGCTAGATGTTATGACGATGATGCGTTCGACCGGATCACTCTTTTTTCCCGTTATTCTTATTTCAATTATTTATGGCACTCGCTTGCGTTCTTTGTGCGTGTTCGAAGTCTCATTCGGCTTTATAATCTTATTTCAGCCGTCTTTCTTTTTCTACTCCCACTCGTTTTCCTATCACTATCGCACATAAGCACATATATTCTACTTCGCTCTCAATGGTTGTGCTCATATATTGGATGTTAATACCGATGAAATATTAAGCCCCTTTAGCAACGTCAGTAACCAACAACAAAAAAAGGGAAAATCCAATATATTTGATCGATTCTATTCTATTCAAAGAAAAAAAGAGATGACATTGATTACACAAGACAAAGTGAGTCTAAGAGATTAAGAAATGTATTAATATGCATTGTTTTGCTTTTTAATTAATCATAATCTTAATGCTTAGAAATCAATCATAATAGAAAGTAGAAATTTTTTTTATCTGTAGAGTAACCTAATCGGTGAAAGTAGTGTTCAGACATTTATTTATAGTTTGATTTTACTGACATACAATGGCTAACATTGTTGATACATTATTTTAATTAATTAATTGATTGTTTTTACTTATTTGTTTACATCTAGTTTCTCTATTGACGAGAATATAATCATAGTTGCTCTTGCATGCGTAGGTTCAAATTATTATTTTATTCGATCACATATTTCCTTGATGAAATGCTTGTTAAATACTAAGTGCGTTCTATGCTATTGCTTATCTTCCGTTCTTTCACTTATCTATGTTGAGTGTCTGTAGAAGAACAAAAAAATAATAATAGAATACGACAGTAGGCATTGTTAATGTGTATGCAGTTCATTGAAAAGAAAAACACATACAGAAAAAGATGAGAAGAGAAAACTTGACGCACATCTATCTTTAACTTTCGCTTCGAAAGAAAGTGATGAGTAGACAACGTGTTGTTATTTTGAAAGATGATCTACTTCGGATGGAAACAGAAATTCTTGATGTTGAATATATGTTAAAAATAAAAGAAAACAGCATATTTATTAATGACAGCTGTCAAAATCGATGCATGTTGGATGAGGTAGAAATCACAATGATACATAAGAAACGAGGGAGAAAGAATTCTTTCTTTTATTATCTATTTTTACTTTGATTTATAGTCAAATACAAAAAATGATATCGATGCCACTTTATTCTGGACAAGAAATTCCATTGTTCTATCGATTGGAAGCATTCTATGCGTAATTATTATAACATTATTAGCAGTTGTAAGTAAAAGATATTTCGCGGTTGATTTTTTGTTAAAATTAAATTTTCAATTAGGTTTATTGGTGTTCAAAACAACAAAAACTATCGAAGCAAAAGTCTCATTCATCTGAATTGTCACATTTTACAGCACATTCTGTTAATGTTAAAACACCGAGGCCAAAAGAAATTAAATTATTTCCTATTGTACCAAAATTAGTACAGCCCAATTCGTCATCATCATTAATACTACCGTCTATTGAAAACAATACTATCAATGGAGATACATGTTCAACAGCCGATTCATCGTCGTCATCGACGGCTATAGCTACGAAGAGATTACGAAAAAAAAATTTACTTGAAAGGTAACTTCGATTTGAGCTTTGTCCTTTGGACTATAGAGAGTAAAGAAAACAAACTTGAAGGCGTTCGATGAGAATCATCAAACAGCTGTCCCGAAATAATTTACTAATGAAAAATAGAGTCGCAAATTTTGTGTACGAATCTATAGATGCTATTGACAAGAAACATGATTTTTGCGTTTTGTTGTTTTGACGACTACCTGTGTTTTTGTTGTTTTTCTCCAATCTAGCTATTGCCACCTACACCTACGCGTATGTATGTGTGTATTTGTTGAGATTCGTGAGGAAATGACTAGTAATGTCTATTTGTTTAAAAAACAAAGCTTCGAAACATCTTCGTCAATATTAGTAAGAGAAAAAAAGGCTATACTGACAGATACAATCATAAGTGAATAGAGTTTTGAGACTTCCTTTTTTTCTTTCCTTTTATGTAGGCGTAGTTTTTATTATGCCTGTGAATAATAAAGAAGAAGCAGATGATGAGTGAGGCAGTATTTAATTGAAAAGTCTTCTAGTGATTGTGTAGTATTGTTTTGAATGTAGTGGTGAATTCAAAAGTGTTAAATTCGGTTAAAAAAATAGAATTTTGACATTGATGTCAAGTCTTATGAAAATAGTACTCAAATAGAGACTATATTTTTTTGTTCTGTTCGTTCCACTGACTGCTCTTAGAATAATCACAACCAAAGTAAGAAGGCAGAAAAAGAAAGAGGGGGAGAGCAAGAATGAAGAAAGAAACAACAAAAAATATTAACCCTTTTTTTTGCACTTGCTTCTTTTGAGAACAGTAATGAGGGAGCGTGTTTAGATTATCATATCTGCAAATCTTCTATGTTTAATTTTGAGTGCTACTATCTTATAAGAAAAAAATAAAAATGACTAATTGAAATATTGGAGATATGTATACGAAATAATTATCACCATTATATATTAGATGATGTTCTAAGATCTAAGTACATTAAGTTACACCAGACGTATTAGAATAGAAAATCATGGAAGTGGAATCACCACCTGTTATCTGTTGTGCGTATTGGAGTTCATCAACGTCTTTATTATACAAAAGAAGGTGGGTAGTCTTGTTTTTTTTTGATTCATCAAGAGAATTTTAAGAACGAAAAATGAAATTTTAATATTTTAAACGAACAGTACATTTTCTATATTATAATCGAAAGCTTCGTATCATGTTTCGTAAAATTTTACTATCTGTTTTTGGTCGAAAGAGAAAATAGTGTACTGAAAATTACTTTTAAAACAATATTTTTACCATGCTTACAAATCCTCCGTAAAGTTTAAATTTCAACTGATTGTTTTCTCTTTCTATTATTGCTTGAGGTCACAATGGCAAAATTGATTAGGAAAAAAAAATAAAAAATAAACTATAACTTTTTGTCTTTTTTTAGGAGAGGCTCAAATAATTCGTTAACAATATCCATAGCTCCAAAACATCGTCTTCTAAATAGTCCACCAGTTGATTGGTTAGTGAAAAAGAAATTTTCTTTTTTGATTAATTTAGAAACTAAATTATTTTAGTCCATCTGATGAATATTTACAAACTGGAACAAGAAAATTAACAATCGATGAACTTCATCAACATGCCCAAGATGCTCGATCACTTTATCATGAATTTTGGGTTTGTACTTTTTTCGAAATGAACACTTCAAAAAACTTCAACTTTATTCATTTAGACTATTCCAACAAATCATCTTGAAAAACTTCGTCTTTGTGGTGCTGGCACTAAAAATCGTTATGGTACAATTATTGCTAGTAAGAGAAAAATATTAAAATTTCGTTTTCGTCATATTAATTTTTCTACAAAATTTTAAGATGAGCATTCTCGTGTAAAACTATCTGAACTACCTGGTGATCCACTGTCATCCTATATCAATGCGAATTATGTTAATGGTTATCTTAATGAATATCATGCATTCATAGCAACACAAGGCCCACTTGCCAACACAATTGTTGACTTTTATCGAATGATTTGGCAAGAACGTGTGCCCGTAATTGTTATGATAACTCGTTTATATGAAAAAAATAAAGTAGAATATAAATAAATGCGATTTTATAGTTTCTATGATAAAATTTCTTTAGGCAAAATGCGAAAAATACATTCCAGATAATCAATCTGCGCAGTATGGTCCTTTTCAAATTCAATTGAAATCAATAACATATCGAACTGATTATGAAATACGTCGATTAGTTATTGAAGTAAGAAGAATATCTTGTTTGTTTGCTTGTCTTATTTAATATTTTATTCATTCAAGTTTGAAAATGAACAACGCGAAATTGAACATTATTGGTATACAGGTAATAGAATAAAATCAAACTTGTTCTTTACTGTTTTTCTGAAACAAATATATTTTATGTAGCATGGCCAGATCAATCATGTCCAGATATTGTTCATCCATTAATTGAACTGGTGAAAAATGTTGAAAAAAGTCGTGTCGATTTGCCGGATTTAAATAAATGCTCTGGTCCTGTTGTTGTTCATTGCAGGTACATGACGTTATGTTTTGTTTTGTGGAACGTAGTTTGCGGGGGAAAACACGCTTGCGTAGTATTACATTTTCTATAGTGTATCTCCTACGCACAAGAAAGAAAAATATTGCTTGTTGGTGCTACTTATCGATGATTCACAAGCATGATGTCGTATTATCATAAATAAAATGATGATTAAGCTCTTAATTTGAAACAAGCGGAGGTTGACAGATTTCAAAAGAGCACGTCTACATAGCAGTTACAATCTGTACTATTTTTAGAAATTGTTGAATTCAATTGGTAGAAGTATAGGATGTTAATTCTTGTGGGAAATAAATAAATTCTTTTGCACTGTTGACTATATTTAATATGAGCTGTTCTATTTTAGTGCTGGAATTGGTCGTACGGGCTGTTTTATTGCGCTGAGCAATGGTATAAAACAGCTTGATACTGAACATACTATTGATATAGTTCGTATACTTTGTGATTTACGTCGCGATCGTGGCGGAATGATTCAAACCAATGATCAATATCAATTTGTTTATCAAGCATTGAGCGAATATGCTAGAACGTTGCAATCCTCATCTTGAAGATTTGTTTTTTGTTTTCTTTGAATCATCATTTTGTCGACAATCTTTTGTTTATTTTTTTCGCTCTCTTCCTGGTTATCGATTGTTTATTTAAGTATTCCTCAATCGTCTATCCTATTTGCAGATATAAAATTATTGAGGTGTGAGAAAAGACCTATATTTTATTGTATTGTTTTATTTTTCTTTATTTCTATTTCGATATGCGCATTTGTGTGTGGTCTATAATACTATTTCGTGTGTATGTGTGTGTGTTAACCAAAGCGAAAAAGCATCAAGAAAAAAGTGTGTTTATTTTTTTAAACTTCAAGAAAAAAAAAGAGAAACTCGATGGTGATGACAATGTTTATTTTTCCTAATAGTCGGTATTCATCACATCGAATGAAATCTATTTGTTTTCCGTTGTTTTTCTTTTTGTTTTCGTTTGTTTTTGGCTAGGGAATATATGCTATTCACTTTAACCCGTTGACATTCCAATGTACAGTTGTCTGATGTGTTTAATTTAATTTATTTCTGAAACATAAAATGGATTTGTAGAAATGAATATTTTGAAAAAAAAAACAGACAGTAAAGATTTGAATTTTTCTTCTTATCATTAGATCATGTCCACAGTGGCTCTACAGACGGGTAAACGTTCATTAGTGAACATCCGTTCACTCGTATTGCATATTGATTGTGCATATGCATCGACTGAGGCACCCGTCCGATCATCAACAAAACCGGCAACATCAGTTGCATATGTCGGTGATAATTTACCCATTAATATGGGTTTAAACGAAGTAAAATCACTTCGATTAACTGATATGAGACGGGGTGGTGGCGGTCGATCAAGCTTCAGTGGTATCGTAGCAACTGTTTTTGGCGCACAGGGATTTGTTGGTGGTGCAACTGTTAATCGACTTGGTAAATTATTTAGATATAGTTAATAAAACATAATTGACATTTTTTTCCTGCTTTTTTTAGCAAAAGAAGGCTCACAAATCATAGTTCCTTATCGTGGCGATACTTATCATTTGCGTGAACTTCGTGTACTTGGCGACCTTGGTCAAATTCTTTTTTCAGTAAGTGAATATTCTGAAACTAACAACATGCGATATAGAGATTCATTAAAAGAGAGCTTTGCATTCTTTTACCATTTAACTAGATGAAGTGTAGGTCTTCTCTTTACCCACGCACCTTTTTACTTAATTGCCAAGCAAACATAGACTATTTGATTATCTAATTGAAATCAAACGATGTAAATCATTCGAGCTGTTTACATTATGTTAACTGCGTACTTTACTTTGAATGATTCATTTTTTTGTTTTTAGCCAATTAATGGTAAAGATGAAGCATCGATTCGTCGTGCTTTACAACATTCAAATGTTGTTATCAATTTAATTGGTCGTTCAAGCGAAACTCGGTAGGTCAGTTTAGATTTGATTGGAAAAATATTTTTCATTTTATTTTAAAGAAATTATTCTTTTGATGACGTACATGTTAAATTAGCCGGAACAATAGCAAGATTAGCACGAGAATGTGGCGTACAACGTCTTATTCATTTTTCAGCTTTGAATGCTAGTCCTAATCCACCAGCTATTATCGTTCGAAAACCATCAAAATTTCTTCAATCGAAAGTAAATTAAAATTTATTAGAGAAAATTAATCTTTTTCCGTTCGTTTTTTTATAGTATGCAGGCGAATTAGCTGTTAGAGAAGAATTTCCGGATGCAACAATTTTTCGACCATCAGCTATTTATGGAAGTCAACACAATGATGGATTTATTGCCTATCATTTTTCTAGATGTAAAATTTTATTAATTTTTTTATTAATAAAATGAATATTTTCTTTTTTGCTTCTAGGGGTACGACCAATGTCTTATCTTCGTGTGCCTCTTTATGCATCAGGAGAGAAAACTGTTAAAGCACCCATATTTGTAAGAAAATAATTTTTATTATTCATGAAAAATAATCAACAATAAATTTTCAGGTTAACGATGTTTCAAATGCAATCTATGCAGCAATTCGTGAACCAATGAGTGTAGGAGAAACTTATGAAATTTATGGGTAAGTGATTTAATAAAGATTTTGCTTTCCTATTTATTTATTTTTTTGTTAATAGACCTGAACGTTATAAATTACGTGAATTAATTGAATATTGCCTTCGATATATGCGTCGAAAGAGTATTATTACACCGTTGACACCAGATGTTTTGTAAGTAATATCTACATATAGAGAAAGAGAAGAATTAAGTTCACTTGGTCTTTAGTGTGAAAGCAATAGCAAATTATACGTTTCATAAAAGCCTTTACAATATCGATCGTATGCAATGCGTATGTTTTTTTTGCCAGTGTTTCTTTTTCTTTTAGTTCTTGATAACATCTATATTTTATTTAGGCATATGTTTCCGATACGTTCACACCTGGTTTACCCACAATACGTGATTTAGGTATTGAACCAGTAAAATTCTCGGATGCTATTGGACATATGATGGCTTCAATGAGAAAAAGTGGTCGATATGTTGAAAACCCAGAAGATTTCTTAATCCCTGATCCACCAAAACCAGTTACACAAGAATATGAACTTTCACAGAATTTATCCTTTCCTTAATTTTGTTATTGTTTGTCTTTTATGCTTGAGCGGTATCCAAGTAGTAGATTACAAAAGGTTTTTCTTTCTTCATGTTCCTTTTCGATATATAAATAAAAGAACCCTTTATATAATGATCAATATCTACTCAAATAAAGAATCGTAAGAATATTTCAAATTTGCACAATTAATTTACATGTGTTCTGATCTATGTTCTTTTTTGCTTCTTCAATTGAATTTTAAATTGTAACGGATTTCTCGTTAGAAGTGAAACAAGAAAAAATTTCATTTAGCTTTAAATAATTAATTTCTTTAGCAAGAATAAGACATCGCCGCTGTGAATCAATGTAACGAGTTTATTTTTAAATGAAGTCTACGATGCGACTTTCTGATTAATAATTACTTGCATCCACCCACACACTATGCAAGTATATTTTTAATTTGTCATGAAATGGTTTTACTCCTATGGTGAGACATTCATTGTGATGTACGCAAAAGTATATTAACCGTAAAATGATTTGTATGCTTGGTTTATTTATAGGTGAATGATTTTGTTAAAATTTAGAACCAATTATTAATGCATTGAATCATGGAATATATGACATTTCTTTTGTTCTTAAGTATCATGACATAAGCGAATGTAATAATAAAAGCAGATAAAATCTGGCTTTTATTCATCTGCTAATTTTGATTCTAACGAGTCAAAGCATCGCCTGTTTTTTTTTGTTGCAATTTATCGTAAATCTTTTCTCAAAGTCGGTATCAAATTTGGTTACTAAGGGAACACAATATTTTCATCTGCACCTGATCATGAACTAAACTGTGATCTTCACATTTGAAAAAGTACTTTCTAATTTACCGTTCGAGGCACACATAATGCTCCTGAATACTACGAAGATATTTTGAACTATATAAACTAGAATGTTATTGCAACATGTTGTGTCTAGTGAATTTCATAAATAACGTTCTATCTATATTTGGTATACCTGACAAAATCATCGTCATTGAAACTTCCTCTAATGTTGGTTAAGAACTCGTTGATTAAAATAAATTAAAATTTTTCTATCTTGACAATTTAATAGCGAATATTGACCATGATCGTTCTATGTCTAAAACTGTGTGACATTATATTTTTAAGGATTACAGTGTGACGTATAAATAAAATCAAACAAAAAAATAACTTCGACTATCTATTTCTTGAAGATACAGTTTTTTAATATACGATCTGACATAGGTGATAAAGTATACAGGGTAGAAATTTGCATCTATTCATCCAATCTTGATAGACGGTTTCTAGACTCATAGTGAATCATTCTTTACATTTTTAATCCCACACAGCTTGTGCTAAGACCTTTTTAAAGTACATTTTCAAACTATAGTTTGCAAAATATTTTTCTTCTCTGCTGATAATTGATAGGAAATGTTGTTTGCGTGTATAATCAATCTGTTCTTTATCATGCTTGATAAGAATGATGGCTTCTGTTTTTGACTGCGACTTTTTCAGCGTTCTATTTACTCGAAAATCCAGTGACCACACAACAGCTATGAACTATCTATAAGTGATAAATAAAATGTTTCACTTCATGAAAACGTCTACAGAAATTCTTCCTATACTATGTTCTTTGCGATAACCATTAACTTTCAAAACATCGTCGTGTTGTGTACTAAATAACGTTATTTAATCAATCAAATAATCTAGCACATTTCTTCGTAGTAAATCTAGCTGCTTTCGATTATTTTTTAAAAACTGACAAATTTCATATTTTATTGATATTCTACTCTGTAATCGATTCAACATTGAAATACTTCGTTCATATGATTGCAATGAAAGTTAATTGATAAAAATCTTTTTGCGTATAATCATCAATGTAATTCAAAACGTTAATAATTCACTTTCATTCTTACCGCACTTTTCGCTACCAACCATACAATTGACTATAGCCAGGCACAAAATGAGTACACACAATATTCAATTCTTTGTATTATCTACTTTTCTTACGCCACCATCATCAATCTGAAACTGGCACGATTATTACTCCTGCTATAGAGTATAATTTACTATTATCGTCAACAGTTAGTTAATCTTCTACTTTTTTCATACAACTTCTCCGGTTACAAAAAATAGTATACTAAAAATAATTATAGCAGACCCTCATCACTTCTAACCAATGATCGCTCGAATTGCACAGAGACCAGTGACTTTGAAAATCTCTATAACCTGTGCGCCCGATATTCCCTCAGACAAAAACGCCACACTTATATGAAACAACAAAATGTAATTATACCCTTTCATACGTCCCAAGCAAACTGTATCTATTTCATTCTTTTCTGTAAAATTCACTTCTGTATTTAATAGAAGTTTACGCGATTATCTTGGCACAAACAAACACCACAGGCGCTTCGTTGCTATACTTGGAAACACAACCTTAGAATCGACCAAGTGATTGAAGATCACATAAGCAACGGCCACTGCACAAGAGTCTTCTTTTCACTTATTCGGCACCATTTTAAGGGCTACTTTTGAGCCGAGCACAGAATGAAGCACACATCCCGGATGAACATTTACCATTATGCTTCTATTTACCACTTTTACGTAGATCAAAGCACATTAACGAGTGGAAGATGTGATTAAAGATCATATGGCAACCAAACCTATATCAGCAGTCTACTATTCATCTCGCTTCCACACATCAAAGAACCGACTTCACGCAGGCGAATCGGCTAAAGCTAACACGGAAAACAAACATACCTCAGTAGTCTTCTATTCAACACACTTCCACAGTTCGAATTATGGGTTTTCAGTGCAAGCGGCGATTGATGATTACATCGCAAATTAACGACCATCACGATTCTTCTGTTCACTAATATTACATACTTCAAAACACGAATTTCGAATGGGTTAAGTGATGCAAGGTCACACAGAAAACTAGCACACATCATAAATCTTCTGTTCACCACTCCTCCATACTTCGAAGTACACATTTCAATTAGGTTAAGTTACCGAATATTACATGGGAAACGAACACACATCAGGAGTGTCCTGTTCACCACTCTTCCCTACTTCAAAACACAAATTTCGATTGGGTTCAGTGAAGGAATATCACATGGGAAACGAACACACATCACTAATCTTCTGTTCACCACTCCTCCATACTTCGAAGCACAAATTTCGATTGGGTTCAGTGACGGAAGATCACATGAGAAACGAACACACATCACGAGTGTTCTGTTCACCGCTCTTGCCTACTTCAAAACACAAATTTCGATAGGGTTCAGTGACGGAATATCACATGGGAAACGAGCTCACATCACTAATCTTCTGTTCACCACTTCTCCATACTTCGAAGCACAAATTTCGATTGGGTTCAGTGACGGAATATCATATCGGAAACGAACACACATCACTAATCTTCTGTTCACGACTCTTCCATACTTCGACGCACAAATTTCTATTGCGTTCAGTGACGGAAGATCACATGAGAAACTAGCACACATCAGGAGTTTTCTGTTCACGACTCTGCCATACTTCCCAGGAGAGCTTTCGAGTTATTAAATTGATTGACGATGTCACGGAAAGTCACTATTCCGCATCATCGTTTTTTTCATCTTTTGTGTACAATTCGCAGCTCCGATTCCCAATGGAAGAAGGAATTGGAGATCACATAGTAAATGAAAAGTTCGCAGAATACTCTTATTCATTTCTTTTGTTTACTTCACTAGAGAAATATCCAGTTGCCAAAATGATTGAAGTTCACATAAGCAACGAACATTTGCGAAGAGGGCTTTATTCAACGCCGAGACACATTCGCAGCACAGATTTTAAGTTGACCATGTTATCAAAGTTTCCAAGGCAGTCAAATGTTCTTCATTAAGCGCCTGTTCAGATCATTTGCATAGTTCGATGCATAGATTTCGAGTCGATCGGATGATTGAATTTTACATAAGAAGCAAACTTCTTCATTACACTTGTTTTCAACTTGTCTACATAGTGTGACGCTTTTATTTGTGGTTTACCAAGTGATCCAGAGTACGTGGTAAACGAACATTCATAATGAGATTAATGTTTCCCTCCGTCATAAACTTTGAAGCAAGGATTTAGAATTAGAAGATTAACCTAAGCTAACATGGAAAATGAACGTGAGTGAGCAAGGTCCTGTTCGTCCAATTGGTACAATTTAAATCTTGGATTCGGTGGGGGCGAGGTGATTGTAGCTTACGTGACCAACGAATATTCCTTAATAGATTTCTGTTTTACTGCTTTGTACAGCTGAAATCTTGAATTTAAAGAAGCAGAAGTGATAAAGATGATGTGGAAAAGCAACATTCATGAGTAGCCTTCGGTTCATTGTCTTTGCTTGGCTTGGAGGACATGTTTTGAATGGATCGAGTGATATGAGATTACATGACAAACGGACACTCCTGATAAGGCTGGTACTCACCAATTGCGCATGCATTCGAGTACAGATTTTGACTGGCCACATGATTGGAGATTACATTTTTAACGATTTTTATCAACAACACGTTATACCAACCATTCGTTCATCTATGTTAATGAGTTTGAAACAAGATGCTCTTTACAAATGTAAGCATACGCACCAAATGACCGGTAAATAGGTTTGATAAGTATGATTTTTGTTTATTTTAATCAATTTAAAATAAATATTGAGATATCGTAAAATAGACTATCATTCTGTATTAAAAGAATAATCCAAACGAAAACTCTATTCATTTATGTCATCTGTCTTGAGATACATTGCATGTATTGATCATAAAATTTTCACCATGACATGAAAAATCGATGATAAGAACGCTTAAACTGTTGCGCAAGGCTGCGTTCGTCAATTTTTATCATCTCGTTTTGAAGATTAAATTAAGCTTTATGAGTCGATTTGTTAACAAAGTACTACATAATAGATGATTGGTTCACATGTTGAGAGTTTCATTCCTGTATTTTTCACTATTGATATGATAGCTAATGCGTTTTTCACATAGGTATATTATAATACGCTTACCAAATCATG